ATGGCTGGCGCGGCAGAATTTGAGCAGCAAACCACACCCCCACCGAGCCTCCCGGTTGGGTGCCCAACAGGGGGCGTGGCGCGCCAGCCATGAGGATAGGGCAGGGGGCAGAACGCCCCCTGCATGACGCGGGAATCGTCTCCCGCTCACAACACCTCCCCTCCAGAAGGAGGAGAGGCCTTGCGGCCACATTGTGCTCTGAGGGGCTCTTATAGTTCAATGTCTTCCACTGAGTTGAAGGTGCAGAATGAAAATGGTAAAGACAGACCAAGTGTTGATTACAGGTTTTGGACTCTAAATATTGGGTTAGTTTTACCTCAAAATGTTTGTTGTGAATGACTGTTGTGAAAATGATAGAACAGAGAGTTGTTTGTCCACTCCCTCCCAGACTCTTTTGTTTCTACACGGCTTCTGACCTTGATGAGATACAGCAAGCTGATAACGCTCAGGCTGCAGCAACAGTGAGTCCTAGAGGATGTTGTTATATGTAGCTATTAAAAAACACAGAAGCCACAACTATGTCTCAGAGCCAGACTCAGGGCAATATTGGCCTAAGTGCTTTTCCTTATGATTATATATAATTGAACATGGAAACCTCGGCTGGTGCCACTTTTTATGATTCTAAGATCGTCCTTCCACTGCAAATGGTTTCTCAGTCATTGATCTTCAGAAGACGTGTTTCTCAGTCTCAGTGTACCCCTATAATAAACTTGCCAGACCGTTTAGAGAGCCCTTTGCCTGGCAAAAATGCGTCCCTGGACTCTTTGCATGGAAGACTGAGAGGGCTGTGTGAAGACAATAGATATTGCTGTGTAGAGATGAAACTTACATTTGTTGCTCTGATCACCGCTGGCAAATGACCTTGATGCTCAGGCCTCAACAGCAACCTGTGAACCTAACAGGATATTATTATAAATAGTTAGGAGAGGAGAGGAGAGGAGAGGAGAGGAGAGGAGAGGAGAGGAGAGGAGAAACCACAACAAAAGGGGAAGAATCTTTTTCAGCCTGAGGGCTATATGGAAAATATACGGAAGACATGTTGGGATCACAAGGAGAGAGTTGGCATTTCAATGGGTTTAATTTTTGTGAGCCGCCTTGAGTCCTGGTTCTGGGGGAAAGGTGGGATGGTGATGATTTCATCTCTCTGAGGCCTTATGCAGCTAAACCCCAAACTAAGAAAGAGCTAATAATAGACTCTTGCATCCTACATAAGTTGTGTAGAAATGTGTTGTCTTCTGAGGAAGGGATGTGGCGTTCTGCTAAGACCACAGGGTGAGAAAGTATACTCATAATGGTGGCTCCCCTCAGAGACCGCCAAGATAAGGCACCAGAGAGCTGTCCAGGCTTCACTGATGCATGATGACAGCGTAGAAGTAATGAGCCACCCCACTTGGCCACTGGCCAGGCCTCTGCAGTCTCCAGTAGGGAGAGTGGGAAAGCTTGGTGATATCGTCATAGGATATTTAAGAACAATATAAAGCCCAGTACTATCCTTGCTTAATTGAAGATCCTACTGCCAGGTGCACTGAAAGAATAGGAGGACATGCTGCTGTTCTGGAAGAGCTTTCCCAGAAACCCAGAGGGCTGTGAGATCTCTTCTTTCATGCTTTTATGCTTCTTGTTTAGCAAATAAACCCAGTTTAAATCTCAGCTTGGTGTTTCCTTTCTTGCTTGCCCTAGTGTGAAAGTCTCTCACACAGAGTGAGAGGAGCAGCCTGCTCCTCTTCAGCAATGGATCAATTTTTTAGGTCCCATTGGAATTTTTGCACATTTGAGATAAATGATATCTGTACGGACACTATGTCCGCTGTGAAAAGGAAGGCAACATCAGGGCCTGCTCAGGTTCGACTGTTCCCTCCTAGAACACAACGGCCGACTTTACATCTTATATCCTTTGTTTTGGTATTTTAAAATGGTATAACTCCTGGGGTGCCTTGACAGAAAGGTGACTGGCAAGTGCAATAACTACTGAAGTAAAATGTCTTTGGGTATATAAATTATGCTATTGGAACTTGCTATGTTAGGGGCCATATCTTGTGGCCTTCCGTGGGCTAGAAAATCCCCTCTATTCTCCTGTCCCAGTAAGGGAAAGCAAAAGGGGGGGAAGGGGGCACCAATTGTGGCAGGTAGATTGAAGTCTGTTTGGTGGGTTGTACAAGTTGTGCAGACCCTGTATATCTTCACATAATCCAAAACAATCTCAGGGAAAAATCAGCTAGGCAGAAGCTTAGGAGCAAAGGCTTTTAATAAAAGGTAGATTTATATTAAACATCAGGGGGGAAATGTCTAAACTAGGAGTTAGCCTATAGAAAGAAGATCACTGAAGCTTTTCCCTCTCTTGAGGTTTCAGAGGAAATGTTGGGCCACACATCGGGGCCCACCCAACTCTAGAGTTTGGCATATTTATATATATGCAACATGTTATTTCAGTCCAGTAAACACGTTATACAATGATCCCCCCCCCCCAAAAGGCAAGAATTTCTGCTGTCTCAGGCTGAGTGCTCTTATGTAAGCACCAACATTGCCTTTCACACCCACTCAGTGTGTGGATGGGCCAATTCCACACACACACACACACACCCTCCCTGCATCATGCGCCCTATAAAAAGAAAGCATTGTTATGTGAATTTGGGTCTCTGACTTGCAGAAAACCGAAGCTTTCCCTCTGGTTATTTTGAACCGTAGCAAACTGGGGTGGTTATTTGCTTCACTGTTTATATTGTTTTTTAAGAAAATATATAAACCAAAAGTGACAATTCTCAGCTACAACGCCTCACCATCTGCAAAAGGCAAAACCGAACAGAATCATTGCAGAGATTTCATAGTTAATGTATGTGATTGCCTGTACACACCATTTAAGAAGGGCAGGAGGCAAAGGCCATTGGACCATTTGTAATTATTCCCCAGGCAAATGCTAATATAGCCTATGCAGCTTTTTAGCAGTGCACTTTTGAACATATCCAAAACAGGCTTTTGTACCTTGCACCTTAAAGCTGTCATGTAAGTATACAAGTATGACTTCATTTATACTATCATGCTGCTCCTTTATTAACCTGGGGCTTAATCCCTCACTTCCTTCTCCCAAGGGAGTGTTTATTTTCATTTTTAATTAATTTCACCAACTGGCTTTTTTACGCTTAAAGCATGATTCAAGGAGCCCAAGTAAGCAGCAAAGGCTTTGTAGCTACATCACAGTAAACTATACAGTGGTACCTCAGGTTAAGTATTTAATTCATTCCAGAGGTCCATTCTTAACCTGAAACTGTTCTTAACCTGAAGCACCACTCTAGCTAATGGGGCCTGCTGCTGCTGCCGCACTGCTGGAGCCCGATTTCTGTTCTTATCCTCAAGCAAAGTTCTTAACCTGAAGCACTATTTCTGGGTTAGCGGAGTCTGTAACCTGAAGCGTATGTAACTTGAAGTGTATGTAACCTGAGGTACCATTGTAGTTAGCATTTTGTTGCAAACACACTGAACTAGTTCAGTTTGCTCCTCTCTGCTAGCATAACAAAAAAAGCCATAATGGCGTTTTCCTCCCTCCCTCCACCATCTTTTTTACTCTCCGGGAAAACGGCTATGCAGACCATGCTCCTGTCATGCATGCTGGATGAAGCCCCTTCAGATCCTATCCCATGGAAGGCAATAGCCCATTGAAGCTAAGGAAGGCTGATTCCTCTCTTTAAAAGGCCATTTCAACCTGCTGCACAAATGACAAAATAGGGTTGCCAACTTCTCAACCTGCCTCCTGTAACTATGCCTGTAACACTAACATCATCTTGAGAGGCAGACAATTAGCAGGTGGATAATGTTTATTTCCATGCAGAATCGGCTGCTGACAATTGGCCATCAAGCTGCAGTTCAAGAGAAGTGCCCTCCTTCCCCATCTGGCAACCGTATTTGCAAAAGGGCTCCGTGGAACATATTGCAGTCTGTGAACCAAATGAATCTCAAACAAGACAGCAAAGTTTATGCTGTATAAATATTTGCTTTCCCTTACAGAGTTATGGTTTCATAAGTGAGACACAGAACAATCCTAACCACAGTCTCCAAATTTTGATCAATGAATGCTCAGGTTTTGTAGGTTTTTTAAAATTTGGTGTGAGGATAGGCCTGCTATCCTGTTATTTATTACAGTGGTACCTCAGGTTACATACGCTTCCAGGTTACATACGCTTCAGGTTACAGACTCTGCTAACCCAGAAATAGTGCTTCAGGTTAAGAACTTTGCTTCAGGATGAGAACAGAAATCGTGTGGTGGCGGCCCAGAGGCAGTGGGAGGCCCCATTAGCGAAAGTGGTGCTTCAGGTTAAGAACAGTTTCAGGTTAAGAATGGACCTCCGGAATGAATTAAATATTTAACCTGAGATACCACTGTACATTTATGCCCCATCTTTCCCCCCAAGGAGCTCAAGGTGGCACACACAGCTCTCCCCATTTTATTCTCACAACAGCCCTGGGAAGTAGGTGCGGCTGGAAGACCAAATGACTAGCTGGAGGTCACCCAGTCAGCTTCAGGGCTGAACAGGGATTTGAATCAGTGTCTCCATCCAGTGCCCAAACCACTACACCCCACTGACTGTCAATGTGCTCAGTGTTTGTTGACACCATGAACAAGACACACATATAATATAAATGCAAACAAATCCAACGGAGTAAATTAAAAACGCTTAAAAATCTCCCTTCATTGGCGACCTTATCAACTAACCACCCAGCCACTGCAAGACAAGTGGCTTTTGCCAGGTCAGCAGACTCCCTAGATAGGCAGGAAAATGCTGTTTTTTAAAAAACAAAATGCAAATAATAACTCTATCACTAAAACACACACACACTCCTCCCGATGAGGGCTGCACATGAGCAAAGCTCCATGCGAGCTGAACATTGGAACCAGTGTATTTTTTATTGTTTTTAAGGCCTGGTTTATGCTCACAACAGCCCTGTGGGGTAGGTAGGTCAGGCTGGAAGACAGTGATTGGATCAAGGTTCACCCAGTGATCTGACAGGGATGAAATGGAGGGAGGGGGAGAGAGAGCAGGGAGATGGCAGTTGTGGCAGTTGATGGCAGTTGGTCTGGGGGTGAAATCCCAGCAGAGCTCATAGGTCTTGTAGGGTTTTGGAGCAAGGAAAGGTATATACAGCAGCAGCAGCAGCAGCAGCAGCAGCAGCAAGATGTCGGAAAGTAAGTCCATAAGGAAAGGTTTTTAAATGATGTAAATGGAAGGGAATGAGCAATGGAGCACAGCATTAGATGAAGAAAGGTGGGTGACATTGTAGCACAGAGGAAGAAAACAGGGCGCTGGCAGTTTCAAAGCCATAGATAAGGCGCCTGCGTTTGGGGAGAAGCAATTGCTCGGTGTTAGAAAGGAAACCAGAAATTCAGGTAAAGGAAAGGTATGGATGCAAGTGGCAGAACAGAAAATTCGTGAAGGGGGAAATGAAGGCAATCGTGGAACAATTAGGTATTATACGAAGTATGAACTTGTGTATGTGTGTGCAAAAAATAAAAAGGGTTTTGTATACAACTCCACTCTAACATATAAAGACAGTGTTGTATAGTGGTGAGAGGGTCAGACTAGAACCTGGGAAACCGGGTTCGAATCAGCAGTCAGCCATGAAGCTCACTGGGGTGACTTTGGGCCAGTTCGCTGCCCGTCCGCCTAACCTACTTTACAGGATATTAAGGCAAACCCAGTGGGAATGAAGAAGACCAAAACCAAAACAGGTTTAGTTTAAGTTCAGTTACTGGCTGCTAATAATAGTCCAATAAGATATTTCTGTGGCCCTCCCAGAGATTTCTAATACAGATCAAAGTGATATTTGAGAGCAGATTGTCAAAACTACCCCCAGAATCAAAATAATAACAATGGTGAATAATTTCAGTTTATTACCTGCCTTTTACCATAATAGGGACGCGGGTGGCGCTGTGGGTAAAAGCCTCAGCGCCTAGGACTTGCCGATCGAAAGGTCGGCGGTTCGAATCCCCGCGGCGGGGTGCGCTCCCGTCGCTCGGTCCCAGCGCCTGCCAACCTAGCAGTTCGAAAGCACCCCCGGGTGCAAGTAGATAAATAGGGACCGCTTACTAGCGGGAAGGTAAACGGCGTTCCGTGTCCTGTGCTGGCTCGCCAGAGCAGCTTCGTCACGCTGGCCACGTGACCCGGAAGTGTCTGCGGACAGCGCTGGCTCCCGGCCTCTAGAGTGAGATGAGCGCACAACCCTAGAGTCTGTCAAGACTGGCCCGTACGGGCAGGGGTACCTTTACCTTTACCTTTACTTTTACCATAAGGCCCCGTGGCGCTCTACAGTAATTTAAAATACAATATTAAAAGCAGTTTATAACACTAGCTAACTGTATGGAGGTTAGCAGACCTGTTGCCAGTTTAGTAACTGTAAGACAATGCTTTTCTCAGTTGTTTAGTATAGCAGCTCTCTTTCCTATCTATGTACACCTAAAAAGGAGATGCCTAATTTTGGCCCTATAAGGGATTTAAAATCGTGCTTCCACTTCATGAGTTCATGAGTTTTTCCTTTGCTAACTTCCGAAGAAAGGATATACAGTAATAGCAAACTGACCATAATAATTTACTTTAGTGAAAGAAGATTTAATTTGATGGTAGATCTGATTATACTACAGTGTAACTGAAGCTCAAAAACATACAAGTACATTTGCTATCATGATAGGGGAGAGGCATGGAAGGGAAGGGGTGAAGGACATTGCATGCATTTCCCTTCATGCTCCCTGGGGTCAATGTCCATCCTACACTTACTAACTTATTCTAGGGACTTTTTGGCAGGGGGCTGAAATCTGAAGAATCACAACTCTAGCAACTCACATGAAGAATTTTTTTGGAAGAAAGGTACCCTCAAATTTATCCAAAACATAAATATGGGCCAAGCAGGAACAATGTCAGTACAGGTACCAGAAAACAGGGAGAGTTACCTGGCAAAGGGATGATACAGATCATAGACTCCAATCTAGTTAGTCTGGACGAATCTCTAATACTTAATTGGGCTATCACGCAAGACAGGGAGTGGAGAGAAGGTTTGCAGGCTCGAGTAAAACATATTTATTCTGAAGTAAGCCCCATAGAGTTCAGTAGCATATACCCACAGAAAGCACTGCAGCTCATTTTCCTCTGCCTGTCCTAAACTCATTGAAATAACTTGGTTTATGTGTGTCTCATAGCCACATATTTGGAAATAATTCCTGTTAAATACATTGCGGCTTATTTCTAAATAAACATGCATAGGACAGGGCTATGAGTGTGTTTATCTGCTTGCACCGATAATTTGATTTAATTAATATAATTAAATCCTTCTCACTTTTTAGGAGAAAACTTTGGTGTAAACAAAAATCAACATAAATGCTTTTCTTTAAAGTGGTAGGCATACTCTCCTTACAGATCATCAATACAAAAGACATTAAAAAGATGCATTGGGATTGTTAAACAAAATATCATAAAAGAGTAGCAACATAAATGCATTATAGGGAACAAAATCTTTCCCAAACTTGGTTACTGCATGTGAGTGGGTTGCACAGATAGCTGCATTTCACACTTTTTTGTGTGCATGATCCAGGTAGGATTTAACTAGATTAGCTAACGAAAATCCTATTATGCACCAACCATATAAAAGCTGCTCTTAGAGCCTCTGCCACAGTCAGACGGTTCAGATTGGCAATAAATGTAGGGTTGTAATGGTTTCAGCAAGCTGCTTTAACTGTTCCTTTAACCTATGTAAGACAGATTTGTGGATGGTGTGAGGTACAGTTAACCCTGGAGCTGGTGGATCTGGGTGACATAGGATTCCTTCTGAAGGCTGAGGTCCACAATCTTGGGGACATGGTAGACCCTTCATTTGTTCTGGAAACTCAGGTAGCAGTCAGATCTATGAATCTGAAGTTGGTTTGCCAGCTGTAACCAATCCAAGAAAAGGCTGGCCTAACTATATGACGCACTTCCTGGCAATCTCTGGGCTGCACTACTGTAATATGTGGGGAATTGTCACTGAAGATTGCTCTGAAACTTCAGATACTTCCAAATGCATTAGCCTCTGTTTTAGTGGGAATGACTTGCTAGTAAGAGCTGTGCAATGGTTCCCAATTTGTTTCCGAGCAGAATTCAAAGAACTGATTGTAACCTTTGACACTGTAAATGGCACTGTATTGGTCCAGAATGTCCTGTACTGTGGGAAACTGCTCTCTGTGTTACCTTTCTTGGAGGCAAGACTAATGATAACAAGAAAGCAGGGCATTTTGGGTAATGGAACTTCCTCCCCAAAGAGACCCAGAAAACCAGATTGGTTTTCATTTTCAAAGCTTTGGGTTGTTGCTGTTTCACTTAAGAGTGCTTCCTTGGGCCTTTTTGGAGGTGACACCTGCCGACCAGCTAGGATACATCTTGTTAACGTGCTCTGCTGTTGCTGACTATAGATACAAAAGAGGTTGCTTATGGGGGCATTTAAACTGAACTTTACAAGTGATCATGTCTACCTTTGCGTTCCCTTGGCAACATTTTCCCCCAGCCCTTTTCAACCTATTTATTTATTTGGAATACTTGTTTTCCATTTTACAGACCCAAGCAGCTCTCAGAAAGGGCATACAAAAGATGTTTGCAATAAAAATCACATTCAAATCCGGCATATGGAACAGAACCAAAGTTCATGAAGGAAGCCTATGCCACAAAACCTTTGTTAGTCCACAGTGGGAGGCAGTAATGCTTCTGAATGCCAGTTGCTGAGATCCAGCACTGAGGGCCTTCTGTCGGTTCCCTGACTGCGAGAAGTGAGGTTACAGGGAACCAGGCAGAGGCCCTTCTCGGTAGTGGTGCCCACCCTGTGAAACACCTTCCCGTCAGATGTCAAAGAAATAAACAACTATCAGACTTTTAGAAGACATCTGAAGACAGCCCAGTTTAGGGAAGCTTTTAATGCTGGATGAATCATTGTATTTCAATACTCTGCTGAAAGCCGCCCAGAGTGGCTGGGGAAACACAGTTATTATTATAAATAATAATAACAATTGCTACAAACCCCAGGAAGGGAGAGTGCTCTTGGGCTTGGGATTCTCCTCGCTGGTTTCCCATAGGCATCTAGCTGGCCACTGTGAGACCAGGATGCTGGGATTAGATCAGGGCCGGATTTAGGTTTGATGAGGCCCTAAGCTACTGAAGGTACAGTCATACCTCATGTTACGTTTGTTTCAGGTTGAGTCCCGCAGCGACCCAGAAGTACTGGAAAGGGTTACTTTTGGGTTTTGCCGCTCGCACATGTGCAGAAGCGGCAAGTCGCGACCCATGCATGCGCAGGCATGGGTTGCGTTCTGCTCATGTTGTCAACAACAAATTGTCTGTTTTTTGGTGTTGAATATATGCTATATGGTAATTTACAGACCTAATAGGAATCAAAAGCCATTTGCACATGTTGCCATGCAACCAGGCCATGCAGAATGTAGGCACCCTGTATATAGAAATGAGCAAACCAGTGATATTTTAAGGAGCAGGCTAGCAGATGGGGCCCATTATTTACATCATAGGAGCCTACACAACACAAAACACTGTTGCTGTATGTAGGTTTTATTTCATTTGTTTTTTATCTTATATTTTGGAAATGTACATCCAGTTTTTTCCCTTTAATTTTTTCGGGGTTCCCCAAGAGAGTGGGGCCCTAAGCTATAGCTTGTTTAGCTTATACGTAAATCTGGCACACTAGACTCCCCCCCCCAACCCCTCTTCTTCCCTCCTCTCTGCTCTCCACGCGTTATCCTCCCTTCCACTCCACCTAAGCATCTTTACACCTCCGAGCCCAACGTCACTCGCAACCCGACGCAAGATCTACCTCCAGCCCCTGCCTGCGCGTCGCCATTGGCTCTTTCTTCCTGCCCGTCAAAGTGCCGACAAGCGGCTTTCTCCGGGGAGGAGGCGGGGCTGCTGCTGCTTGGCGTAGAGCTGTCACAGGAGGGAGAGAGGGGAAGGAAGAGTCTATATCGTGTCGCCACTGCAGGAGGGGGGGACTCCTGCTTTGCGCCGCCCGGTTTGCACGCACAGCATCTCTCTCTGCCGGGTTTCATCGTTTCTCTTTCTCTTCCCCCCCTCCCTCCTCCCCGTGATCTAGGAAGCAGCCAGGTCTATTATTCGTTCAAAATCCAAACTTTGCGCGTGGAGTCCGTGCACAGCCCTCCTCCGGCCGAGGGTGCCGTCCAGCAGCAGCAGCACTCCGAGGCGCCGCGCTCCGCCTCGCCGAGGGAAGCAGCCGTCGCTTCGCCCAAGGAAGGAGCGAGACCCAAGGAAGGAGCGCCCCGCAAGGAAGCTCCTTCACCCACCGAAGGAGCCAGACCCAAGGAAGCCGCTTCGCCCAGGGAGGCTCGTTCCCCCAACGAAGGAGCCAGACCCAAGGAAGGCGCGCCAGTAAAGCAGGGCTCGGCGCCTGCGCTCCAGCAGCTCCTTTCCCCCGGCGACAGGGACAAAGCCGCCCGGGATCCTGCCCCGAAAGTCTTCATCCCTTCCACCAACAGCATGCCGGACAAGAAGTTCTTCGAGAATCTCTCCGGAAAAGGGAAAGCCATCGGGGTGTTGACCAGCGGAGGCGATGCGCAAGGTAAGACAGTTACTCAGGATTTTATTTTTGTTGTTGGGGGGATTGGGTAATGCTATGCGCACTCCCCAACCCCACCGAAGGGGGGAGCTCATTGCCAGATGCCTCTAGGGGGGTGGTTTGAGGAGCAGGGAACGACCTGAAAGGGGACTGGACGTGGTTTCCGTGCAGGGAGGGTTCAGCTGCGCACGCATGGCTCCGGGAAGGAAGCTGGAAGCGTTACAGGTGGAAAGGGAGGGGTCCCTAAGAAGGCATAGGGTAGTGGACGTGAGACGGCTGGGCCAGAAAGCAGTGGGGATTCATATATGCAGGAGCAGGGGGGGAAAGGGTTGGTGGGGGGTGCTGACAGGTGAAGATTGCAGGAATAAACATAGGTGGTGGAGGGATAAAGTAAAAGAGGGTACGCGCAGCGTAGCTAAGATTATTATGTTTTATATTTTTCTGCTGGTGGTAAAGTAGCTAAGAACTGAGCTCCAGTTTAACAGGAGAAAAACCCAAACCTTTTTGCAAAGGTTGAGTTAAAAATGTTCTTAGAGTGAGAGTGAAACAGACTCGGAGGAAAAAATTGCTTCTGACATTCCTCCTCCCTCTCCCATCACATTCCCAAGCGTGTGACCTTCCTCTTAAAGGACCAAGCACCGCCAGGCTCTCTGGGAACTCGGTTATCATTCAGATGAGGATGCCTTTCACCTCTCTGGCAGGAGAGGGAAGACCAGAGGAGGGGGAAAGGCCGAGGGAGGCCTTTGTTGTATGGGCTGGTTTTGGAAGTGATGGGGCTGCCTGCCACAAGAGTGAAGAGGAAACCCACTGGGTGGTATTCAACTAACTTACTCATTTCAGAGCTGTTGAAACTAAGGGACCTAACTTAGTCATGTTCACTGATTTCACTGGGTCTGCTTAGTCAAATACCACCATCTGTGGTATTTGGTTCTGCCAGACCTCATATCCTCAGGCTTTCCCTTCACTTTATATAACACATAATTGATCCGGAATAGACAAAGGGCTCTCCAAGACAGCCTTATATGGCTAAAAACAACAAGCCACTTACTGGAAATAGTAGTGTGACTTGTGTGTTTGGCCAAAGAGGAAATCGGTTTTTAATTCTTAAGAATTTAACAGGCTGCTGGATGAGGCCCATCTAGTCCAGCATCCTGTTCTCACAGATGCTTGTGGAATACCAGCAAGCAGCACCTGAGACCCCTCCCTTCCTGCGGTTTCCAGCAACGAACGCGTTAATTCTGGACAGTTAATTCTGGATTTACTTCCTTCTGCATTCATACAATTTGAATCATGCACTGAGCCTTCAGAGGGCGAAGACAGTGGCGGTTAAGTGAACTTGACCATGTACCCTAAGAGGAAGAAATGGCGATGGCGCGGTGGTAAACGTGCATGGGAATCACGCACGTGTCTAACGAGGGCCAGGATATCACCCTGCGTCTCATTCATAACTTCCCCCAACAGTTGCAACCGGTGACTAATAGGGCTGCATGGGATTTCCAGGGGGTGGTAGAATCGCGTTGCAAGACGCCTGGCTCCTCCTTGGGCGGCAGCCAACTGGGGTTTGTTCTTCGCCTGCTCCTGTTGGCATCTGTCTGTCTCGGGAGGCAGTGGAAGATTAACACCTCTGGAATTTGCAACACGATCAAGAGCCACAATTTCCGTTAAGGGCTGAACCGGCTCAAGATCACTGAGTCGGTTGTTTCCGTTGAGATTCCTGCATTGTAGGGGGTTGGACTAGATGAGACTGCCCTGTGCAGCGGGTCTACTCAGAAGTAAAGCCCACCGACTTCATTGCAGGTTTCTAACCGGAGCTTGGATAGGCATCTGTCAGGCATGCTTTAGCTGTAATTCGTGCCTTGCAACGGGGTTAGACTGGATGAGCCTTTGGGGTCCCTTCCAAGTCCACGATTCTGTGATTCGATTATTCTATGACTCCGCTTGCAGCTCGCGGCCCCCGCGTGCCCTTCTTCCCGGTATCCTCGGAGGCAGGGCTCTTCTGGCCGGCGCAGGCTCCGCCTCCAGTGTGTACGTGATCCTTTGCGAGTCGCTGCGGATTGTGCCTCGGTACGTCACGCTCGCATGTTGGAAGCATCGGCGGCACATCTTCTCCCCGTCTGCCTTGCTCCACCGGGAACGTTGCCCATCCATCAGTTAGTGGCTGGACCAGGGCTTGCTTTGAGACCGGGAGCTAAAGCCTGCGGGTTCTCCTTGAGTACACGCGAAGGAAAACCGTTCTCCTGAGAGTGTGCAGAGGGCAGTCGCCTCGCCAGTGCTGTGAAGCTAGCTTTCCAAGCGGAAGGTTCTTAAGTGGTATTATTAAGTTGCACAGAAGCAATTTCACTGAAGTACTTGGCGTCAAATAATATTATTACCCCTCCCTCCTCCACGCGTTCTCTCTGCTTACTTAAGCTTTCATCATGTCATGCTGGCGAAAGAACGTGACCAGGTAGCAACCCGAGTAATCCACACTCAAGTGCTGCCTCTGGGAAGTAGGAGGAGGGCAAATCCTAGTTTTTCCAAGGAAATAAACTGCATCATTCGGAGGGCGAGCCCTGGCACACATTCCAGCGTGACTGGGGCTTATATAATAAAGGCAACAGCGGCGGGGCGGGGGTGAGAGAGACGGAGAGGAAAAATACATTTTTGCCACAAGGCAGTCCATTGCTACATTTAAACCTTCTCCTGAAATTGTCTCTCGATTTGGTTACCTAAATGGCCCCTTGACAACTGTAGCATGTGAACAGCCAAGAGGGAAGAAGAAAAGTTTGCATTGCAAAGGCTGTGGGCATCAGCCAAACCCTTTTGTTTTCTTCCAGGATCGGAAGAGCAGGGGCTGAATCCAGCCTAAAGACTTGGAATGATTATTTTTTCTGGAGGGAGATTAAAGGGACCCCTCTGGAAAAAGTAGGTGTGTGTTTTGTTTTGTTTTGTGTGTGTGTGTGTGTGTTTCTGTTTTATTAACCTGCCAGGGAAACAGAAACACAGGCAGAGTTCTGTATCCACATCCGGGAAGGAGAGAGTAAGCATGCACTGGTTGCCTTTGAGTCATAATCTTTCAAGGTCATTGAGACAAGGTGGAGCAAGTGCAACTTTCTGACTAAAAGTTGCAACGTTGGAGGTTACAGAGGAAAGCTTATGCAAATCAGCTCTTTAGATCCACTAGCTTTTCCTTGTTTGCTGGTTCTTCAGTGCCCAAACTTTTTCTTTCAACAGGCTTTATAGTCAGAGATATCTCATTTGTACCCATCATTAATCGGAACTGGAAATTTGAAACAGAATGCACATTCTTGCTCTGAAAGTCAACCACTGATTTAAGCGTCACATGTGCACATTTCTGTTATATCAAGTTTCTCCTTACAGTGGTACCTCGGGCTACATACGCTTCAGGTTACAGACTCCGCTAACCCAGAAATAGTGCTTCAGGTTAAGAACTTTGCTTCAGGATGAGAACAGAAATTGTTCTCCGGTGGCACGGCGGCAGCAGGAGGCCCCATTAGCTAAAGTGGTGCTTCAGGTTAAGAACAGTTTCAGGTTAAGTACGGACCTCCGGAACGAATTAAGTACTTAACCTGAGGTACCACTGTATTTGCTCCTGTATATTCATACAATCCTAGAATTTTAGTTTTGTATGTGTGTCGAACTAGACTGGAGAATACACACAGATATGAATACTTCATATTTTAAAGCGAGGATTAAGAATGTTGTCATGAACACAATTGTCATGGACAATTAATGCAGAATGCGGCAGCTAGACTGGTGACTGGGGGCAGCCGCCGAGACCACATAACACCGGTCTTGAAAGACCTACATTGGCTCCCAGTACGTTTCCGAGCACAATTCAAAGTGTTGGTGTTGACCTTTAAAGCCCTAAACGGCCTCGGCCCAGTATACCTGAAGGAGCGTCTCCACCCCCATCGTTCTGCCCGGATGCTGAGGTCCAGCGCCGAGGGCCTTCTGACGATTCCCTCATTGCGAGAAGCAAAGCTACAGGGAACCAGGCAGAGGGTGGTAGTGGCGCCCACCCTGTGGAACGCCCTCCCATCAGATGTCAAAGCAATAAATAACTACCTGACATTTAGAAGGCATCTTAAGGCAGCCCTGTTCAGGGAAGCTTTTAATCTGTGATATTTTACTGTATTTTTTGTTTCTATGGAAGCTGCCCAGAGTGGCTGGGGAAACCCAGCCAGATGGGCGGGGTATAAATAATAAATTATTATTATTATTATTAATACTTAGGGGTAAGTCTCGCTGACTTTGGCAGGACTCTAAATTACTGATGCATATGATTTGGGCTGCATATTTTCTAAACTGCACACTGCTATAGCTCCTTTTCAGTAAAATACTTGCCAGTGTCCTGTCTGAAAGTGAAGACAGTATGCTCATGATGTGCGAGACATTCCAAGGCTGCCTTTTCAGGCACTGCAAAAAAAGTATCTCAAGGCAGATTCCGGAATTGTACCAGCTCCTTATGGCATGCTCTGGGATATATTCACAGCGGATAGACATCAGCTTCATCATTATGATGTCAGGCAACAAATGGAAAGGATCTAGCATTTGAAGTCCATTTGCGGTTTTGGTACAAACTCTTACACAAACTCCCTTCAAGAGATGTCTCGGTGCCCATCAACTGATCAGAGCTGAGAGAAGTCCATTTGCAAACAGTTTTATTATTGATAGGCGGCTCATATTGGGGATAGGGCAATATTTATGACAGTTGTCATACATAAATACTGTGGTTGAGGATGAAATTTCTTTGTAATTCACCAATCACTAAAACCTACCTATACTAAAATGCCACTATTTCTGTAAAATCCACTGTATTTACTCCTGTATTTGTCCTGCTGAATTAAAGGGGACAGTTTGTTATAAAAATTGGTAGTACTGAATTGTAAGTTATTTTGCATTATCATGTCACGCATCTAGTGGATCCATCCATTCATCAAACAAACAAACAAACAAACAAACAAACAAACAGTATCTATCTATAAACCCTTTCGCAGCCAAAATAAAAGGCTCAGCATACTCAGAAGCTGCTGCTAAAATCTGATGTCTGCGGCTGTGTAGCAATGACTGAGCACTGTTAATGCTTGAGGATAGTTTTCGGTATATGAGAAGATAATTACATTATTGTAGATATAATTGAATTTCTATTACGGCAGTGAAGAAACCAAGGGTAATAAAATAAAGCCTTGCTTTCCATGGCCTCTCATTAGCCCTCTAACTAAAATACCATTCCTCTGTGTCTTCATATTCTCGTTGCCTGATTAGAAGTTTCAATATTAAATTGAAAATGTGAACGGTGACAAAAGTCTTGGGTTTTCTGAGAAGTAACAAGACATTTAAAAGTGTTGAGAGCTGACATTGGATTGGAGTTAATTGAATTTTGGTCCCATTGAAACCAGCCTGACGTTAGTCATACCTAACCCTCTTAATTTCAGTGGGAACAAAGACTAGATCCAACCCAAATGGTTTTGAGAATATGTTTGGTAAAAGGAGCCTGTAGAAATAACCACTTAAACATTATTTTTGCCTAATAATAAAATACAAACTGTGTTTCTCACAGCTAAAGGTCAGAGCAATCTGAAAATAAAGAAACATTTCCATGTGATATATACAGAAATAGAAAGCAAATGTGCAAATAATGAGCCTTTTTAAAATAGGGAAGTAGGCATCCCCCACCTCGGCCCTCCAGATGTTTTGGAACTACAATTCCCATCATCCCTGACCACTGGTCCTGTTAGCTAGGGATGATGGGAGTTGTAGTCCCAAAACATCTGGAGGACCGAATTGGGGGATGCCTTACTTAAAGGATATCAGCATCTCTGCATTTCACCTCCCCACTACATGAGGTTGAGGTAAACGTACAATTATTTACCCAGTGCCAATGTTATGCTATATCTCTGGAAATTTATTTACTTACTGTCTTGGCCTGAATATAAGCTGCACCCGAATATAAGCTGCACCTTTAAAATTAAAGGGGGGGGGGAGAAATGGCAATAGCCGAGGAGGAGCGGGGGCCAAGGAGGGCCAAGGAGGCAGCATCTTAACTCCACTGCCAGTGAGCAGCAGTGCTTCCAGAGGGTCAGTGCCACCATGGTTCCCTGATGGGACAGGCAGAGAGAGGCAGTGGCTAGCGGGACTCACGTACCCCTCGGCAGGCTAAAACCAAGGCAGCACCTTGGGCTAGGGCCAGTCCCAGCACACTGGCTGCATCTTCTGTTCCTTCTCCTAGCAGACTTTCTCTCTTGCTCTCACTCTCATCTGTGTTCCTTCTTTCCTTCCTCCTCCTCGCCACCTTCTGGCTCCCTCTCAGGGACCCCCTCGCCGTGCCGCCATCTTGGGAGACAGCCTAGCCAAAACCAGGCAACATCTGGGAACAAGCCCACTCCAAGCCAATTTTTTATAAGGTTGCGAATATAAACCACACTTCAACTTTTCACAGTCAGAATTTGGGGAATAATAATAATAATAATAATAAATAATTTATTATTTATACCCCACCCATCTGGCTGGGTTTCCCCAGCCACTCTGGGCAGCTTACAAGAGGAGATTAAAAATATATTAAAACATCAGTCATTAAAAAAAACTTCCCTTAACAGGACTTCCTTCAGGTGTCTTCTAAACGCCAGATAGTTGTTTATTCCTTTGACATCTGATGGGAGGGGGGAAAGTGCAGCTTATATTCAGGCCAATACGGTATGTTGTCAGCTTACAGACTACTTACAGTATATAAAAAACAACATGAAGTAGTTTGCAGTAAGGAGTCAGTGACTCGAGAATACTAATAATGATGTATGCACATGGATCTATGTTTTTGAGTGTCTGTTAGCCACGATGGCGAGTGCCAACAGGACTGGAGTCAAAACAGCCACCCTGAGAAACAAGAGGAAAGCACCAGCATTCTCCGGGAAACACCAAGGTTTTCAGAAAAACAAAATATTTTTCTAGAACTCAAACCCCCTCCCCCAAAGCAGGCCACTGACAACAGAGCATGTGTAGCGGGTTACGGAATTTTTTGGGGAAAAATAAAATTAGAAAGGGGAGATGTAGTTAACTTTGAATAGGGACTCTGAGGATCATCTAGCAATGCAGGAATATGCAGCTGTCCCATACAGTGGTACCTCGGGTTACATACGCTTCAGGTTACAGACTCCGCTAACCCAGAAATATTACCTTGGGTTAAGAACTTTGCTTCAGGATGAGAACAGAAATTGTGCTCCAGCAGTGCAGCGGTAACTAAACTATAGCAAAATTGCTCAGAAATAATAGGGAAGGGGAAATCAAGTTGCAAGGAAACAACTCGAAGATCTGACCAGACACCTTCATTTTAGTTGAAAATGACATGTTACCTAACAAGAGCAATCAGCAGCCGAGCTTCATTAATATAGAAGGCATGCAAGGGGGTGGGAAACCCCATTAACCTACCTATTCCGTTTTACTTTTCTAATTTGGGAGAAAGCTTATTATAAAAAAGGATTACCAGACAAATTCATTAAAGTGAGGACACTACTTACTAAGAAAGGCAGATTTGGGGTTCCCTTTGGGAAATATAAATTATGCAGCTTTAATCATGGTTTATAAGATTATCACGGCTGTAGGATATCTGATACTATTTTTATTGAAATACAGCATGGCTTTGATTAAAGCACCTTATTAGTTCTGTTCAAAATGAAACAATAAGTGTTGTCTCATTTTATTGGAGACGTGCAGGTACTGTCCGAGAGATCCAGCATCACATCAGCAGGCATGGTTGGGCTTTTTCTTCTTTCCTCCTTTTGCAGCCTTCACATTCTCAGTCTTCTCTGGAAAATTCTTCAACCTGCTGGAGCCAGTGTGGTGTAGTGTAGTGTAGTGGTTGAGAGCGGTAGTCTTGTAATCTGGGGAACCGGGTTCGCGTCTCCGCTCCTCCACATGCAGCTGCTGGGTGACCTTGGGCTAGTCACACGTCTCTGAAGTCTCTCAGCCTCACTCACCTCACAGAGTGTTTGCTGTGGGGGAGGAAGGGAAAGGAGAATGTTAGCCGCTTTGAGACTCCTTAAAGGGAGTGAAAGGCGGGATATCAAATCCAAACTCTTCTTCTTCTTCTTCAGATTTTGGGGGATGGAGTAGGAACTGTGGCATTGGGGCAGAGGAGAGGAAGGGAAAGCCCCATACATGCTAGTGGAAGTCTGTTGTACAAGTGAGATCCTGCAAGTGGATATAATCCAGTACAGTGGTACCTCAGGTTACATATGCTTCCGGTTACATACGCTTCAGGTTATAGACTCCGCTAACCCAGAAATAGTGCTTCAGGTTAAGAACTTTGCTTCAGGATGAGAACAGAAATCATGCTCCGGTGGCGCAGTGGCAGCAAGAGGCCCCATTAGCTCAAGTGGTGCTTCAGGTTAAGAACAGTTTCAGGTTAAGTACAGACCTCCAGAACGAATTAAGTACTTAACCCGAGGTACCACTGTACTATGGTGTGTCATGCTCTTGCATTATGCAATATGGGCAATCCTTTCTTTTGACTTTGGTGTGGGCTGATTATTGATAGATAATGAGCATCAATGAGCAATTGATTATTTTGAGCTGCTGAAATTTGAGTCGTCACCATCGATCAGAATAGAGGCTGAAACCGTTTTGTCTGAAATGGTTTGCATCAGAAGGGCTAGATATCAGCAGGTTTTAAATTTGGTTTGGAGAGAATTGATCTGGATTCTTGCGAATAGGGTGATACCGCTGAATTCAGCGCTGTATTTTCTCCTACACCCACACAGTGAGCACTCAGAATAAAGGCTGCACTTGACTTCCCTGGGGTTGGAGGCAACATGAAACTGCATAATCCAAGCTGTCTGGATAACAATCAGATCAGATTCAAATTACTGTAATTGTGGGTTCATGAAGAGGACTAGGGAAGAATGCATTCACACTAGGCGAAAGACAACAAAGAACCCTGTGGTGTCTTCAAGACATTTGTTGTTATTGCATGAGCTTTCGTAGACTGAGGCCCAATTAGCTACTGTGGCAAAATTATCCTAAGACTTAATAATGTCATCTGCAACATCAGGGATTCTTTCACTTGTTCATTTTCCAGGGTGATTTGTGCTATGCTATCATCTGCTCACAAGGGATGCGGGTGGTACTGTGGGTTAAACCACAGAGCCTAGGACTTGCCAATCAGAAGGTCAGCGGTTCGAATCCCCACCCGTGATGGGGTGAGCTCCCGTTGCTTGGTCCCTGCTCCTGCCAACCTAGCAGTTTGAAAGCACATCAGAGTGCAAGTAGATAAATAGGTACAGCTCCAGTGGGAAGGTAAACGGCGTTTCCATGCGCTGCTCTGGTTTGCCAGAAGTGGCTTAGTCATGCTGGCCACATGACCCGGAAGCTGTACGCCAGCTCCCTCGGCCAATAAAGCGAGATGAGCGCCGCAACACCAGAGTTGGTCACGACTGGACGTAATGGTCAGGGGTCCCTTTACCTTTACCTATAATCTGCCTACACTGCCCTGCTTCATTCTGCATAGGCCAGACCATTGTTTGAAACTCCCATTTTTCTAGACGCATTTTGTGACAGGGAATTTCATTAGCGTGAGCAGTTTCTGAACTCTGGGTGCAGTATGGCACCTAAGATTTCAGATGAAAACTGCAACGTCCCCACTTCCAGCTACTCTCTGAAACCCTCCTAAGAATATTATGGGGGTGGGCAGGGGAAGGACTAGACCATGTGAAAAATGAATATAATATTTTAGCTGCAGTTCATTCATTTTCAGCTTTGCATTCTTGTTATAAAAAAGTGTGCCTAGACATTCTGTTGTGGCGCCTATAACCTAGGATTAAGGTGCTATTTAGCTCCTGCTTTCACATCTCAGTTTCTAACACTGGGCCAGATAGGTCAGTCTCTATGCAAAACAATGAATGGACATCGATTTCAGAAATGACAGTATCTATAACCCAGTGGCAGAATGTTTTGGTGTCCCAAGACACTTTCTAACTGATCTTAATTCAGGCGGCTATTCTGCAGTGAAGGAATCCACATGGAAGAATACAGCATGAAACAGCTGAAACACAATTTATCAAGAAGTTCAGTGCCATCACTTGTGGGTTAAATACAGACAAAGGATTTTTAACACACTACATGTGTTAATATTACCAATGCCTGGACATCTGTGCTATCTATAACTGTAGCTTGTGATTAGCTCCATGCCCAACTGCAGGTGTTAATTCACTCAGCAATGCTGAGGTTGATTGCATTATCACCAATCTGCTTCTGTAAAAGGTTAAAGGTGTGTTTATTTAACATACACTTAAATTCTAATTAACACTGACTTCAATCCATCTCATTGCAAGGTGAAAGCGAAAGGTGAAATGCATGAAGCAAAATCTTAGGTATACAAAGCAGAACATTGACAAAGTAGACTTAAGTTCATGAAAGCTTATGCTAGGGGTAGTTAGGATTTTGCCTTTCAGGTGTTGTTGGTACAGCAGTGCCTTGTGAATAGCACATTGGCTAACCCTGGCATATGCCATAAAATTTAGCTAGTTCTTAAGGTACCCCAATATTATTTTGTGAGTTTCTTGAGGGGGGTGACTGTAAGGCTTCCCCTCCGGAAATTTTTACTAGGTCATGATTTTCAAATCCAGATGTCAATAGTGGCTTGGGAGATGACCCTCCTAAGCTCTGATGACTATCAAGATCCAGAAACTCCTGAGGCGTATGCAACTCACGAATAAGTAACCTTGGTTCTGACTGTAGTCTTTGGCAAAGTGAGTATTTTCTGGCAAATTTCTCTGGAATTTTGATGAGGCTTTTGAAGCAGAACAATAGTCAGACAATTTCCCCTCTCTTCATTTAGCACTGAGAGTGCAAGGGGGCCGTTAACAAATACAAACACAAAGCTACCTTATAACGAGTCAGGTATTTCCAAATCTTGCTGACTAGAGATGCCTGGGGCTTCCTTCATGTGAGACACGAACTGTACAACTGAACTGTAATCCCACCAAAGGAGGCATATGCTGGCTGCTCCCCGATATATCTGTTTCAGGCCACATGTGGTTACTCCTCTCTGGTCAACTCACTGATTCTCAGTGGATTTTAGAACAATTGAATGTGTACTAGCTGTGCACTTGTGCTGAAGGCACAGAACCATGTGCTCCAGATTATGTGAGAGAATTGTTGCAAGAATAGTCTTGCCATGGCACAAGCTAAAGTTTAGATCTGCTCATACATGTCCAGTTGATCATGGCATTTAAATAGTCATAATTTTAGGGTTCTCTACATGTACCAAATGACTCAGGGAAGGGAGGCAACTGACTCATATCATACTTCTGTCTGCGTCAGTTTTTAGTGTGACTCTACCCCACATTCTCTGTGAACTTGTGCAATGGGCACTGTGTGCTGCTGGACATGCTGCCTTGCCAGGGCACAAGGGGCATTTGCCCTTCACAAGCTGGTATTGGATTCTTGAAGATCTATTTCCCGCTGTTGTGGGCCTGTGCTCCCAAACCATAAATGATCTTCAGTGCATAAGAACCCTTCAGGCAATTAAAATTACAGTTGAATGTTCAGGAAGGTGAATGGATAGCACGTTGCTGTCATACAGGCAGTTAGGCCATATTAATGTTCATCATCGGTGATGGGATTAGGTATTTGGGTCATCTTGTTCACTGGTTTGCGCAACTGGTTCCAATGATGCCATTGGTGCATCTATGGAGCCTTGTGAGTGGGTCATCAAGTTGTTGGAAAAGGATGTTGATCCAGGGAAGAGGACAGGAAAATTTTTTCATTTGGGGCAGGGGGTTACAATTCTCTTTACAGACCCCTTTGTAAAAAAGCTTGGGAGCCACTAGCCTATGTTTGTCTTATGCTTTGTAAAACAAGAAGCTTTTAAAGTATTGAACCATAGTTTGTGGAACAAGGATATAAGCAAGTAATTTATGGTAGCTTGCACAGCCTTTTGTTACTAATCAGTGAAACTTGCAAACAAAGAAAGCTCTTCTGAACCTAACTGGGTCTATACCATCCACACAGTAAGGATGGAGTTTGGAGTGGTGTTCTGGAATACTGCCAGACAGGAATACTTTTTCTTAAGATAACTGGGGTGGGGGATTTTGGTGTAGATTTTACAGTATGACCATTGCCACTAGCTCCGTCACCTACATCGTTCCACTTCCCGATTTAGATCCCTTTGTGTTCCATTTACAAATTCCTTGATATGTATCCCTCATACCCAGTAGGGTAATTCTGCACTCGACCACTTAGAGATTACTGTGTGCTATACAGGGCAAATTAAAGCACATCACAGATATTGGAAATTCTTCATTGTGACATATTGCAATAGCTTTATACTGCCTTACACTTATCCTTCAATTTATCCTTAAGGGAAATTGCTGTTCTTGGAAATTTGCTGTCAGGACTACTCAAACCCAAATTCTGCAGAGCTCTGTGGTTCACAGTTGTGCCCTGGAGTTATTCAGCAAACACATGGTGACTTGTCACACCACACGCAGAACATTTTGCAGTTTACTGAAGAAAATGGGGCAATGCTGGAGGAGATCTAGCTATTTTGTTTGTATCTTGCCTTCCTCCATGGAGCTCAGGGTGAATGATTACATGAAGAATTCAACTATTGGTTGAAATAGTTCAGGTGAGAGGTAGTAATTGGCTCAGGCTCATTCAATGAGTTTCATGGTCGAGAGGGAATTGTCTCTCTTGTATCTCTGTCCATGCTGGCACCGTGCAGGCCCAGCGGTGTGATGTTTTCCTGTTCGTTGTGATGGGTTTTTGGGGCATCCTGGAATTTTGCATCAACAAATGTTCAACCATTCCTTGATGCCGTGTGAATTTAATGGGGAGACTGCACATTTCTACATGGGCTTCCTGTGCTGGTCAACTGCAGTGCATTGCTTCAAGCATTCATTAATCTCTCTATTTATGGCAACAAAGCGTATAATTATAATACACAGTGTCCTTTCTCCAGACACAATCAGAATTAGTTTTGTAATATGCCTTTCATGCTAAAAATTACAGTTTGTTTATCGTTAAAGACACTTCAAGTTACTGCTTGTTTGGTAACAATGTTAACCTTGCCTCTCTTTGCTTTCTCCTTTCCAGGTATGAATGCTGCAGTCCGTGCGGTAGTGCGTATGGGAATTTATGTTGAAGCAAAAGTATATTTTATCTATGAGGTTGGTGTTCACATTTGTTATATGTATGCCCCCACGGTCCATCTTTTGGTCTATGCAGAGAGAGAGAGAGAACACTCCTTTGGAAAGTGTGGAATGACAAGGAGAAAAGCAGGGACAAATTGGGAAATGCAGCCATTGTCTCTCAGCACTACATGCTTGACTGAAAGTATAGGAAACAAAAAAGTGTAGGGATCAGAAAAATACGGCGACATATAGAGGGAAAGTAAGGATTGCCCCCCTAATTTTATTCTCCTCCTCTGCTCCACACCTTTGCTCCCCGCCCCTTGATCCAACTAAGGAGGTCCACAGAATGGAAGCAGCCTTCTCTATGTGTGACACTTGCTCGATCTGAAGTCAGGAGTCTAAACTGGATGTGCATGTTGGTGCTGTCTGTCCATGCCGCACAAATTTATTTATTACTCTTTTTCATAATCTTATAAACTGCTTCACTGCCTGAAGCCACCCAAGTGGTTTACAGTGAGATAAAAATGAGATAAAGTACAAAAATACGAGTTCTAAATGCAATGAAATAAGGTGTACAATTATTATTCCATTAATGACTGGGTCACAGCTCAGTGGAAGCCTTTTTTAATGAAAAGGTATCTCCTGTAGGTACCTAAATATCACGACACACAACACCTGTCTAACTTGAAATGGTAACTGAGGGCTGGACCTGCAACACTAAAAGCCCAATTTCGAGTACAAACAAAACACCTCTGGGGTATGTGGTACTCTTTCTTGATCCTGCTCTGTTACTGGAGGCTGAGGTAGTCTCAGTGGCCAGAAACACCTTTTAGTAGCTGTTTAATAATATTTGGCCTCCCAGCCCATGTTTCTCACTTGGGATGTAATGACGACCACACAAATAATGGTTCTGCTCCCTACTCCCCACTGCAGCTCTCACCCTATGAAGGTTTTCTTCTAGTATGTTCTCACCCTGTGGGATGCACACCGCTTTCTTTCTCCTTTGTGACAAGACTTGTACATCCTCTGCTATGTCAGGCAACATATACCGTATTTTTTGCCCCATAGGGCGCACCTAGTTTTTTTGGGGGGGGAATAAAGAAAAAAAATTATTCCCCCCCCCAGGCACGGGGCTGGGGCAGGGGAAGCCTGAGCTTCCCCCGACCCCAGCCCCCAGAACAGGCTGCTATCCGCAAGCCTAGGGAGCCCGGCGGGAAGTCGCGCCGGGCTCCCAAGGATTGCGGAGAGCTGCCCGAAGCCTGGAGAGCGAGAGGGGTCTGTGCGCACTGACCCCTCTCACTCTCCATGCTTCAGCGAAAGCCTGCATTCGCCCCATAGGACACACACACATTTCCCCTTCATTTTTGGAGGGGGGAAAGTGCGTCCTATAGGGCAAAAAATACTGAGCCCACAGCAAAAGTAACATCAATGAACAAACCTCACAGGTAAAGAACACCAGTAGCAGGGGGATGGCACTTCAGTGACAATCGGAAGTATTGGTGTTGCCCCTCTGAGGTGACCCACAAGTGCACCATAACATGGCTTAATTTAAAATAATAAGGGCTTCTCTCCACCAGTGAGAAACTTGGCCACAGCTTTTCTGGCTCAAACATCACTGCTGCCTATGCAGCTGACATTCAGGCAGCCCAACCAACACAAGGCTAGTGGTTTACGAGGCAGCAAGGAGGCCAGATGACAATATTTACCGCTCCGATGTGCCATGTAACCTTCTGGCAGCAAGAACAGATTTGCACTTGAGTGTGCATCCCTATGAACATGTGAATTTAGGTGTGCATTCAATCGAAAGCCATGTAATGTGGATTACTGACACCTGTGCACCCCACAGTCCTTTCAACTTCAAGGGAAAAATCTCTTGTGATGTGGAAGGTAGACTTTGTTTTATTTTGTAAACTAACTTTGGTGATGGTGTCTATAGGAACTTAAGAGTAGAATATACATTGGAAAATTCCCCTCTGCCCAAGTTCATGAAGCTTGATTGCTGGCCCTAAGACTTCATTCTGCATATCCATCCAAGTTGTTTTTATAGTGGGTGGTATCCTTATTGTAGGACGTAATATATATTTGAATCTATGCATGCTGAATGTTCAGTGGACTTCTTCCAAAGCCATACAAAGAGCCTATTGTCCTTAAGTTTATAAGCTAATAAAGCATTCAGCTCTTGATAAAGTTGCATCTGAATTGATGTGATTGTAGAGATTCAAAGTGCATTAGGAAGTGTTTTTATACGGAAGAGTATTTTCTCCTGTCTGGCTCTTTGTCTTTGCTGGCCCATGCCTGTCTACTTCCGTAACTTGTGAGTCGAGGAACTGTAAAACATATGAATATGCAGGCAAGCGGAACTCGGTGCACCACAATCCTTTGTAGTATTGCCACAGCAACTAACCAAGTATTTGTGTGTCATGCCAGCGCTGGAAGTTCCTGTTTTACTGTTTTACTGAAAAGTATTTTGCCACCTTGCTTGAAAGAAGCTTGGAAAGATGGTTGGAAAGATTTTTCTTTCCCTTATCTCTGCAAAAAGTTATCTCAAATCTGTCCTCTTATAGTGCCGGCTGAATTGGGGGCGGGGGTCACATTCTGAACTGAGCACTGGCTCTCCACAGAATCCCTGAGCTGAGGTTCAGGCAAAGGGCCTCTTAAGCCCCACAGGCCCCTCTGATGACCTACATTACATTTAGCATGAGATACATACTAAGGAAAGTCTCTCTAGCTGTTCACCCTGGAAGAGGGTGTTAAACAGCCCTTTGCCTGTCTCTCTGTTCAAGTGGCAAAAAGCAACTGATACATTTAACAGGAATATGGAGACTATACAGGTGGGCAGATCGAGTCACTAATGGTTTTTCCCTGGCATGATTCCATTGGCGTTCTGGATACAATCTTCATTTCTGTATGCAATGCATTTGGAGTGCTGCCTTTTTTTTTGTTCATGCAGAAAACTTATTCTATAATGGAAGTTATTTCAGGCCATTAACATTCTTTTAAGCAAATGTTTCAAAAAGACTCTTAAAACCACTTAGTAGCTAAAAGATACCAATTTCCTAAGTTTATGAAAAGATAAGCTTCATGGTAGAGCACCTGTTTTGCAGGCAGGAGTTCTCAGGTTCAGTTTCTGACATCTCTAGGTAAAGCTAGTCAGACAACTAGATGCTGCCACTCCATGTAGCCTGTACTGTATAGATGTACCATTAGCTGACTTGGACAAGGCAGCATAATAGCTTCATATCTGTAATTAACCCAACTATGCTCTGGGACTATTTCCTCTTCAATTCCAAAGGTCAAAGGAAAAACTTGGGAGGTAGTAGCTAACTCCTGCTTGCTTCCAGTGTTTTGACCTTTGAAGGTGGGAAGGTTGGCAGATGTTTGATACCTTTTTTAAAGTTTAATTTGACTAATAGCACAGCTTACTCCAAAGTAAGTCTCACTGATTTCAGTGGGTCTTACTGCCTGCTACATAGAATTGCAGCCTATTTGTGTTTAGGATAATTGTACTCTGATTAGAGAGCCAAGTCGTGGAGTTCCGGGTCTTACACTGATGTGTTACAGAGTTGTAGTTCCTAGCATCTTTATTCTGCTTCTTTTTTTATCCCTTTTCCTCCCAGCAAGAGTTTTATTTGTTCAGTGAAGTAATTATGCGTTGAGGTCGTGGGGAAAAGTAGCCCCCATGTCAGCACTGCCACTGTTTTGTGTCAGCTGTGCATTCCAAGCTGCGATAACCTGGAAGTTGTGCTGACTGTAACTTAGCAAAGGCAGAAATGCAAACTGGCTGCGGACAAGTTGTGGGTGGTTTGTCTTCAATATCCCTTTCTGTTTAAACACACAAGTGCCTATCAGAAAACTAACTTTTCTCTAAGTGTCCCCTGACGGACAGTGTTTGATGTGTAATGATGCTGAATATATTTAGACTGCAGCAGTTAGCTTGTCCTAAATGAGAAGTTTAATACACTGCTTAACCTCACAATGGATCAGGATTTACTATAGAATAGATTTAATTCAAACACATTCAGCACCATCTATTATCTGGATAGATGGGTGTTGGGGGAATAGAGGGAGAAGTTTATTTGCAATTCTGTCCCCCACCCCACCACCCGCAAAAGTCTGGCCATTGGTTTTTCTTTTAAGAAGTGTGTGATATGAGATTCTGGTAACTAGAAAACCACAAATGCCTTCTAGCATTATAACCTTACCAGCTACAGTCTGTGAAATAATCTTTGCTTAAGAAGTGACATGCATCTGCTTCTAGAGACTTTGGGGGTGGTGCTGAAATGTAACAAATGGAAAATGTAGAAACTCTAGTGCATATTGTACCAACTTAAACATTAAAATTAAGGTACTCTCCATCCAAAACCTCAAAAATCAAAAGAGTGAGAAAATTGACCCTTCTCTTTTTTAGGAATAGGGATCAGAAATTCAGGACTACCCTGGGAGAACTGGAGCATTTGATGAGATGCAGTTTTGGTTTTTTGAATGCTTCATTAGCTGAAGAATGAATCATAGCCAACATCTCTTGAATGCATGGGTCTGCCACAAAGAGGTATTTGTTGTAGGTACCAGAATATAATCGGGCAAATCCAGTGCCATGGCACGTAGGCTGGGAAATTCCAAAGGATATGCTGAAAGGACAGAGATTTCCTCCGCTCCACTTCAGAAACCATCATGATCACAGCAGCTTCAATGGACGTTGTTGTTCTGGTGATTTGCCCTCTGTCTGCAATGGAGAGTAGCCATGGTTGCTGTAACATGCTTGTACTTGTAATTAGTGTCGAATTTTCTGTGTTTGTGTGTGAACGCCTTTGTCTCTATGCTTACTCTGTCTCTGTGAACACTGCACCATTCTCAGGTTTATCAGCTGCAAACTTGTTTTGATTTACATTACCTCAGCTGGAAGTACAGTCAAATTATTTAGGGAATGGATACACAGTAAACATTAAGGCTTCCAACAAGCAATCAGCTCTTTTAAAAGAAAAAGCAACAATGTTTCAGAGAAAATTATAGATAAGAGATTTGTTCTGAAATGTGTATTCAGAGAAAGGGACAGGTAGCACTTAGGAGTTTTGCAGATTATAACAGTGCCCTAACACCGTTTACATAAACCAGCCTTAGTGGATTTTTACACAAAAGGTTTATCTACACTACAAATGTATAGTTCTTAACATGTTTATGCTCTCGTAGCTTCCCCCAAAGACTACATGTGTGTGGTTCTGCCGTTTTCCTTCTCCTGCACCATTCTCGTTCTTTCCTATCCATCTTACTTGATCATAAACTTAGCTCAGTTTTATCATAAAAACCCTTTGATGTTACAACTGTATTTAATCCCCTCTGAAATGAGTGCTCTTTTTTATGTCAGGTTTCTATAATGTTTCTCTCTTGTCACAGGGTTACCAGGGCATGGTTGATGGAGGTGACAACATTGTTGAAGTCACATGGGAAAGTGTTTCAAGCATCCTCCAAGTGGTAGGTTCTGAATTAGGACTCATTTTCATGCAAGTGTGTTACTTTTCTAAAAACCATCCCTAAAGAGCTAATGAATAAAATGTTTTAGTAATTAAGCAAAATGCTTTGCACTAAACAGCTTTGTGTTTTGGTCCCAAGCCTGTTTATTTGAAAGTAAGTCTTAGATATACTTACTTAGAATTTTTGCTTCTGTCACCATCCAATATTTTCAGTGCACAAATATCTGGGCAGCCTTATTGTCTCTCTCTTTTTTTATGTTCAGGGAAGAGAAATGGAGCAGCATCCAAGCAGAAGGATGCCAGCAGAGCTCTCTTTGCTTTTTATTTCCCCCTCCTAGTATGAGTCAGTATAAAAAATGTTCCTATGTTCCCTTCAGGATTTAATAACTGTTTTGTGTTGGCTTGAGCTTGGCTCCTCTTGCAGGAAAATTCCCTGCCTGCCGTGACTTGCATCACGTATGGGTATGGTAGTGCCAAGAAATGTTTTCAGCGTAGATGAGCCCTGTACCACAGTAAATTGACACCGTTCTGAGAGCAAAATATGGACATAGCTTTAATTCTTTTTCCTGCATCAAAAAAGAGGAATTAATATTGCGTAATCAGCAACTAGCATGTTTTCAGCAAAGGAAATTACATAACACTTTTCTCTTATATTGACACTCTTCTAGTATGCAAAAAATACTTCTGACCGGTGGCAGAACTTCAGTCAAGGATAATAAATGTGATTTAAACCTTGACTGAAGAGATTTATGCTTTTGAACCATATACTATAAAACTAACGGAACAGATTATCTGTTTCATAAGATTCGGCTGAAACACTGATTCTTCCTGACTTTTAAATCTTGCACAGCAGCAGTTCTGAAGGTGTGGAGGAACAGAATACCAAGTCCAGATTGAAAAATTGATAAAGAAATGAAGGAAACTGTTGTGCAATGATAGCAGGAAAGCGAAAAAAAACCTGGCTGAAATGCTACTTTGTCCTATAGTCATGAGTAACAGTAATGTGTGTGTTACTTATTAAGGAATGTGTCATTAATGTAGTTTATTCCCCAGTAGCAATCACTTTATTATCACATCTGTTATCTATTATTCAAGTTTATATATAACTGACTACCAGCCATCATTTTTAGTCACCATCTGTACCAGACGACCATAAATGCTGTGCTTTGTGCGTAAGCCAAGTAAAGCAGATTAAAGTCCGTTAAATGTAAGATATTGGATCTTCTGGTCAATGTTGTACTTTCACACCTGCATCCTGCCCTTTCTTCGTGGAGTTCAGTGTAGCACGCAGGGGCTTATCCCATTTTATACTCACAACATTGACCCTAGTCTCTTCTTTTCTTGTTTCTTGCTCCCTCCCCCAAATATCCAACTGATCTGAAATGAAATGACCTCTGCAGAGAACCAACATACTGTTGCTGCTCTGTGTCGGATAAGCACTGCACATGGTGTAGGGAACCTTTCCGTATCAATGCTCTCTGTTTTTATTTTAGCCTGGATCTCAGGCACGAGAGGGAAGCAGCAACTGCTGACCTCCTCTCTCCCCATGCTCTCTACTGCCCTCAACATTTTACCAGCTGAGGCTTCCAGGACTGATCCTTCTTGTCTGGTGCCTGGCTGACTTATGAACAGGTTTGACAGGAAACCCACCCTTAGCTACACACCCCCTGTCACCTCCAGGCTTCCTGGCAAGAGAGGAAGCGTCTCTCTTGTTACGGCAATTGAGTCAACTCTCCCTGCCACCTTGCTTTTCCTCTCTGCCATCCTCAGTTTAAGGTTCCCTGGTAATAAAGGCATTGCTATGGCAAGGAGCACTATCAGGTTGTAAAGGTGACCTTTTGTCTCATCATTGGTGTTGTTGTTTGACCTCTAATAATGAATTTTGTCCCTAGAATAAAAGGAATAGTTTGGAACCAGTGAGCTACAAAATAAGCGCAATAGCTTAAAATCATTTTCAATCCTCCCAAGGACAAGGAAATGTATATGTGTTGCATATTTCTTTAACCAAGTAGTGTTTACATCTGACAACAGACGTAGGAAATGTACACAGACTGTATCAGGGGTCAGCAAACTTTTTCAGCAGGGCGGTCCACTGTCCCTCAGTCCTTGTGGGGTCCGGACTATATTTTTTGGGGAGGAAATGAACGAATTCCTGTGCCCCACGAATAACCCAGAGATGCATTTTAAATAAAAGGGCACATTCTACTCATGTAAAAACACGCTGATTCCTGGACTGTCCACGGGCCAGATTTAGAAGGTGATTGGACTGGATCCGGCCCCTGGGCCTTAGGTGGCCTGCCCATGGACTATATACTCCATCATACTTCTGCCAGCACCAGCTTCTGCATTAGTGTTTATAGCAATGGAAGTAACATCTGGAGAGCTTGTTCCCTCAACCAGATTCTTCTCTTTTCTCTTGAAGGGAGGAACGGTCATTGGCAGTGCCCGCTGCAAAGCTTTTCGGACCCGGGAGGGCCGCTTGAAGGCAGCTTGCAACCTGGTGAAGTGTGGCATCACTAACCTTTGTGTGATTGGTGGGGACGGCAGCTTAACAGGGGCTAATCTTTTCCGTGAGGAGTGGAATGGCCTTTTAGAGGAACTGGCACAAAATGGTAAGTCATGCTTAATCTTGTGGGGCATTAAGCTCCTCACGTTCTGTGTTATTTATTTTAGTATTTTAAAATTGCAAACCACCTTTGGTACATCAGCAGAAAAGTGCTGCATAAGTGCAAGGAAACATATTTGTTGTGCTGTACAAGCGCTTACGTTGTTAGTTTATTGTATAAGATTTATATCCCTCCCTACATCACCATGATCTCAGAGCATTTTGCAATTAAATAAAAACCAAGTAGAATATACTTTAAAGTGCAACCTTCTCCCTTCTGTTAAATATATCTGTCAGATTAGACATGCACCGACAAATATCACTCAGACACATGACAGCCCATTTAATAAACCCTTTGTGGAATAGCAGAGTCTTCAGCTGTTGTTAAAATATAACCAAGGTTTGTGCTGGTCAAAGCTTGGAGGAGAGAGTATTCCATACCTGGGGAGCATTTACACTAGGATTGCAAGTGGATACAGAGGTGGAGGTGCTTGGATTGAGGTACTAGTGTTACACAACAATGCAGTTTGTCACTTATTTCCTTACTGATTCCAAGAAGGCATCTGAGAGACAAACTGTACCTAGATGGTTCTGTTCTCCCACTTGCCTCTGTAACAGAATTAGGCTCTTCATCCTAGCTTTTGTCCTTAAAAGCCAGTACTGATAGCCACTGCCGTGTAGTTTTATCCCTGGTTGAGAGTGCGTAGCACTGAGGTAACATCTTATTTCGCAGTAGAGGAGCTATAATGGCCCTTGATACAATTAACTGGTTTTGTGAAACTCTTAATAACAAATAAAGAGCATATGGCTGCTTTGAAAATGGCCAGCATTTGTAATACATGGATGACAAATGAGAATCTCAGTCACTATTTCAGGCTGGCCAGCTACTGTATTCTGCAATGGGTGCTCTCTTGTCCAGCAAGTGCTCTGGGGAACAGAAGTGTATTTTGCCTCTCAAGCAGTACTCAGTTTGGTCAGACTCTGAAGCGCAGTTAGTGACATCTGGCAATCATATTTTCACACCACAAAACCTAAAGGGATAAAGAGTTTTAAACCTAAAAATTTCAGTGTGAGCTCTCTTGTGTGGAAACAATGGCTTTTTCTTTGGAGTGAAACTCTGAACAAGCATTCTACCTTTCTAAACATTACTTAGGGGGCAGAAGTGGCTCTGAGGCCACCGGTTGGACCACTTTGTGTTGTATTAAGCACAACTGATTACATTTAAAGGTTAATAGTTGTGGGGGTTTTTCTATTCATACAAGCACAGTCTTATCAAAACTTAAGTTCCATGACCCCAATAAAGTGAGGACATCTCTGGTCTCCCAGCCCACTCCCCATTCTTTCCCAATAACTGAAGGCAGAAATAAAACTCCCATTCATTGGCAAATGCAGCATTGATTCACTTAATCCTTTCTTCACAAAGAGAATTTTCTTGCCTCTTATACACGCCTAGACTGTAATAAATGACAAAGCTACATTGCTTTAACTTCATGGGAGGGGGGTGTTTGTCAGACATTTCTGGATCTATTTTTCTCTTGCTTTTTTGCCAGGTGAGATTGAAAAAGGGGCTATCAAGAAGTACGCTTACCTCAACATTGTGGGAATGGTTGGCTCCATCGACAATGACTTCTGTGGTACCGATATGACCATTGGCACTGACTCTGCCTTGCACAGAATCATTGAAGTTGTGGATGCCATTATGACCACCGCTCAAAGGTACTTTGAACTCAGGATGTGAGATTTTAAAATAGCCACTTGGACAACATCTAAGAGCCATGGTTCTTTTATTTAGCAGTACTAAAGTGCACTGAAGTTGTATTAATTTCATCCTTTTGCCAAAGACGGAAGGGTGCACACGGAAAACCTGCCTGCATTGCAATTTATGACAAAGAGAAGAGCTAGATGAGAATCCAAATATGGATGTCAAAAATGGCATCCCTATCTTTCTTTCCTGTAATGTGTATTTGTGGAAAGATGTGGCAGTCTTTGACTGCACCCACTATTATTTTTTACCCTGTCACCACTGGCATGCGCAGAATGCTGCCCTCAGGACAAAAACGGGTTATCACTCTCAGTTTAAACTAACTAGAGCTCCCAGTTCCGATGGATTGAGGAACTGCTTAGTTTAAACTAGGAAGCACATATCTCTAATCTCCTCACAGCAGTTCCAGAGGAGGAGCAGGGAGCAAGAGAGGTCAAGGCTTACAGTTACTCATTCACACAATGCTAAAACACAGATTGGCGTTGCATTCAAACTTTTGACCGTAGTCTGCTTAAATACTATTGAAATCAATGGCATTTAAGCAGCTTCTGTGGAGGCTTGCAGCCTTCTGCATTGTGTAGCCAGAGGAAAATGGAGCTCTGGAAGGCATTTCTGGATTCCTGGGAATGGCAGCTGAGTCCTGTCACCACTTGGGCTGGTATTTATCACATCATCAGACACATGCAGTGGTATGAAAACTGCATGTGGAGGTCAAAAGAGGGGGAAAGCCCATCTTGCATAGGTCAGGGGCTTTTAAGTTAGGCTTTGCTTTAATATTGCTTTTTTGTATGTAGTTTAGTTCTGTGAACAAATGGGGGGGATTGAGATTTGATTGTGAGGACTGGCCTAGTTTTGCAGTTTTTCAAATAGTAGCCATTACTGAAAGGCAATTAAGATTTGAGGAATAACCTGTACACTCTCTCTTAAATGGCATGACTTCATTAAATTTAGTGTGACACAGTGGTCTGCAATCTTAGTTTGGGAGGGAAATAAGAATGCAAAGAATAATGGCACATGATAGTACGCTGCAAACCAGAAAGTTAAGAAGTGCCTGGGGAGAGACAGAAAAGACAAGCGCAAATATAGTTTCTGTAGTGCCAAACAATCGCCTGCCTTCTTTCTGTGCATTTGTACATATCACTTCATACTTTGATACTGTTGTGACACTATTAATATTTATTGTAATTGTTACAGCCATCAGAGGACCTTTGTCCTGGAGGTGATGGGGAGACACTGTGGGTACGTATGTCTGCCAACACCACATTTAGTTAAAATTGCCGAAATATATAGTTCACGTTCTCATTTGGATTTTCTGATTTTGTTCTAGGTACCTAGCTCTTGTTAGTGCCTTAGCCTGTGGTGCAGATTATGTCTTTATCCCTGAATATCCACCTGAGGAAGGATGGGAAGATCATATGTGTTCTAGGCTTTCTGAGGTAATTATTTTCTGCAGTGGCTTTCAAACTGTGTCCTGGGATCTCTTAGTCTTCTTTGAAAGCTTACGAGGTTCCTCAATGAAAAGATCAGGGATGGCCAGAAAGCTTTCAATCCCGCAGTGTCCTAGGTAGAGCCAAAACGGAAGAAGTGTTCCACAGCATTGTTTTCCTACTGTGAAATTGTCCTCCTTTTTCATCATCTTTCCATTTCCACCTAGTAAAGACCACCCACCCACCCATGGGGCAGTGTAGAGGGAAGGCACATCCAGGCTGTCTCAAAACATTTTGGCACCTGAGGTGAACCACAAAATGGTGTCCCCTTCCCTGCCAGGGAAGAAGGGGTGGGTGAAAAACTACATCAGGAACCGGGGGGGGGGGTAAATATCTACATTGGAATCTGCTGCCCCTGTGGATCCTGCCACCAAGGCAGTCACCTTGCCTCATGGGTGGGCCGGCCCTGTCTATGACACATGTTCAGGTAGCAAGCATCCCCTTGCCAGCAGGTACCTGGCATTTAGGTGTGCAATGACAGCACTGTCTTGTGAACTGCTTTGTCGTCCACCTGACTCTTATCTTTGGTGCTAATGTACAGAATGAAAGGTATTGCTAGTGTTGAGGATTTAGACCTGATCGGCTATAATCAGGGGTCAGCAAAATTTTTCAGCAGGGGGCCGGTCCACTGTCCCTCAGACCTTGTGGGGGGCCGGACTATATTTTGGGGAAAAAATATGAACGAATTCCTGTGCCCCACAAATAACCCAGAGATGCATTTTAAATAAAAGGACACATTCTACTCATGTAAAAACACGCTGATTCCCAGACCATCTGCGGGCCAGATTTAGAAGGCGATTGGGCCAGATCTGGCCCCCGGGCCTTAGTTTGCCTACCCATGGGCTATATGATGATGCTACTGTTGCAAGGAGGAAGGGTTATTTGCCAGCAAGGCAATCCACAGCTGCTGGGGTTGCCAGCAGTAATGAGGTGGTAAAAATGTGTTAGGAGGCATTATTTTTATCCTGGTTTAGCAAGGTCTGTGGGGTGATTAATGTTCATTTTCAAAATGGTAACAACACATTAAGTAATTGTAATAGTCTGAGAAGCTTTCAAGGTACAGCCCAGCTTTGAACTTCAGCTATTTGCTGTGGTCTCAGACCATGAGGCAGATTTAATGGCTTTTCTGCATTTTTTTACCCTAGAACCGTGCACGAAAGAAAAGGCTGAATATCATAATTGTAGCAGAAGGTGCCATTGATTGCCACAATCAGCCTATAACTTCAGAGCAAGTTAAGGATGTAAGTATCAAGCTGCCAATCAAATATTCTATCAAGGATATACGTAACTGAATGCTTCTCTTCCACATAGTGTAAAGTGTGTATCATTTCTCTATTAACATAATTAGCCTTTCTTTATATGGTTGATTGCATTTTAATCATTTCAGGCGTTACAATAAGTATTATATCTGTGTCCTTTAGTAGTAATGTAATCTTAGTAATTATGATTATAACCTAGCTGCTGCCTTTTAAAAGGCATAAAGCAAACATACAAATACAAATGAGTATACTATGTTATTTGAGTATTTTGTAGGACCTGGTCAAAACATTCAAAACAAGGAGGATGCCTTCAGTTCTCAGTGCTGAGCTGATTTTTGTTATCAAATTATATCCATTATATGAACTAAGTTTGGCACTTATCAACTTGGCTACAATCCCGGCAATTTGAGCCTGCTCTATCATCAAGGCTTCTCAGAACAAACTGTTACACTGTTCAGCCAGACAGTGACCCAGAAGTGCTATAAAAGGGAAGAAAAATCTTCACTTTAATGTGGATTGGAAAATAGTTCCAAGATGAGTAAGAGGCTGCTGCACAAACCACACGGAGGCCATAACATACCTTGACATAGTAGGGATTTCTTCTGTGTTTGCAAGTGGGGGTGGGGTTGAACACACAGCCTTTCAAAATTGTGTGGCCATTCCCTGCTGCATATGCTTTACCTTTCCTTCTGCTGCCAACACATTTATACTTGTAAAAATTCTTTTAAACCACCTCTGACTCAGATGTAGAGCCTGGACTGTTTGGACTTTGCTTTCTGTCACCTCAGCACACTGCAAACTTTCAAGTGCTTTGTGTGGTTCCTTATCTCTTATCCCTTCTCCACTTCCTCACAATGTATAAAAGGGAATGCCAAACAGGGAGATCCCACATTAGTTCAGATAAAAGATCTCTCTCTAACCCCATATACCAAAACCCCTTTCTGTATCACTTTCTGCATCCTGGGTTAAAAGAGATCTTGCATTCAGGCTTTCACTTCTGTACCTCAAGGCCTTGTCCCAAAGTTACCATACATGGAGGTAGGTGAAGGATTAATGCCCAAACAGTCCCACTAAGATGTCCAGTCAAAGTCTGCAGTTACAGGGTCACCCATTGTCAGGTTGTAATTCTTAATCTTGATTGGAAAGAGGCCAGATTCTCCAGGAATCTTGCCCCACAAACAGAGCAGACTATTCCAGTCCATATTCCAGTTCAGAAAGAAAAGTTTTCACAGATCTGGAGTTAGGAGAGTACAGACTTGATTGTAACAAGGAATAGGACATGACTGGGGTTTTTCCTTGCTATTACTCCTCTGTATATAATTGTAGATATTTTTACCTCAGCCTTGGAAGATACATCAAAAGTTATTCTTTTGTTAGTGTAATATTTGCACACTAGAGTTAAGTAATTCCAAAATGTTCTACTTTAATTATTATAGGTAACAGTTTTTCAGGATGAAGCTAAACAATAGTTTTTCAAAGACTTGAAGTGGGAGTAGTGGTGACATCATTGCCAGTGCTGTACACGTTTTTTAAAAATTATTCTGCTGTTGCTTCTAGTCAAACTGGTTCTGAAATCTTGCCACCTTCACTTTTTAAAAATACTTGCTTACATAGGGATCAATTTTGCTTGCCTTAAGGTTAAAGGGATTTGAGAGCATTGCTCCATCACTATTAAAGAATCCTAACTCTTCATAATCTTTGTATTGTATGCATTCTTAAAGTTTAAAGCTAGGATTTCCACCTACTGTTCAGGCACAATAGTACCCCAGTGTGTTTCTGCAGCTGTTACAGCTCATAATCCTGTTATCGTCTTTAACTTGACACTTTGTCTTTTTTGCAGCTTGTGGTGCAGCGACTAGGGTATGACACTCGGGTGACTATCCTTGGCCATGTGCAAAGGGGAGGCACTCCCTCTGCATTTGATAGGATTTTGGTAAGTAGACGCAGGCAGCCTGTGTGTTCAGCCCCTCTGTTTAGGGTGTGACATAGTTCCTTGTCCTCATTCAGATTGTAGAACAGTCACAAATGCCACTGGCTTTCTAGTATATGGGGTAGTGAGAAGAAGGTCATACATAAATGAGCAAGTCATGGATTAAAAATTGTACTCAGCCATTATGTTCTCTGGATTTTGGACAATAAGTATCTCTCAGGATAAAATGAGGTAGAACCATGTATGTCACCCTGACCAAGGAGGACTAGGTAATTCTGTAATACACATACAGCATCTAACATTGAAATCAGTTTTCTGTCTGTCTCATAATTTCCCATTGCGACATTCCATCAAAATGGCTGGTCCAGAGGAAATGAAGCCATAGCATATGAGGTCTGCATCTGACAGCCTTTAGCATGGAGCTAGCCTTCTGAAGGGTGCTATCTGACCACTGCTCATTGTCTTCTCCATAGGAAAACGGGGAGAATGGATAAGCAATATTTGTGGCAGTGGGGATTGGACTTCTTTTTGCTCTATTTCCTGCAAGATTTGACCTTCCAACACAATGAGTTGCTGATCAGGGAATAGCATTGGAACTTCCAAGGACGTATATAGGTGCTTAGCAAAATGGAAGTAGAGGCCATATAAAGAAGGAGACTCTTGATCACCTATGGAATTATGTACATGATTTAGGGGCTCTTTGCTTTCTCATCTGTTCTGCAATAGATTTTAAAGCAACCTGTGGTCATTTGTTCTTATAGTATTGTAATAATTATCCCTCCCTATTTCTAATTCTGCAAAACTGTTCTATACAAAGAACATTCTGTAGATGCTTGTTGGCATGTATCAAAGTCGGCATAACCTTCATGCAAAATGTTCACATATGGTTAAAGGTTTCTTACAGATTTCTTATGTTTTTTTTAATTCATTTTCAGGCAAGTCGCATGGGTGTGGAGGCTGTCCTTGCCCTTCTAGAGGGCACACCTGAAACTCCTGCTTGTGTGGTCTCCCTGTCTGGAAACCAAGCTGTCCGCCTGCCTTTAATGGAGTGTGTGCAGATGGTGAGTTGCTGAAAAGAAGCAGTTGTGTTTGTTCATTGACACTCTCTTGTTGGTTAGCCATCAATAGTTGGTTGTTACTTGGAGCCTGGAAAGATGTGAGCAGAACTCTTATCCACGTTGGGCACAATGAACTCCAGTCATTCCTTCAGTGACAGTAACTGGGCTATTTGTTACTGCCCCATGAATCTTGACAGCAAACAGCACTGCTTACCTTTTGTAATGCAGATGCCTTTAACATAGTAGCTGCACATTTATATTCACAATGAGTCTCTTGCTATCTAAACTCTCATTTCTTGTGGCTAGTTTAGTTTAGTGACTACACAGTAACACCCACATACCATAATACACATACATACCAATGAGCTGCATGCTGAGATTATTCTGGTTTCCCAAAACCTTCGCAATAATGTTCAATTGAGGCATTCTGTATGTTGCAGTCTTATAATGCATGATTTGAGACCATGAAGCTAATAAAATATAGTCCTTTCCTGTTTATTTCTGATTTTAAAATTTATGCTTTAGCTTTCCCAGGCATTGAAGTAACATTGGCTGAAGTGCTGGGCTGGTTAAGAGTCCAATTATATACATGTCTACTGAGACACCAGTCCCATTGAACTCAATGGGGCTTATTTCTAAGTAGACAGATTGCATTATAAATCCCACTGAAATAATTTGGATTTACTAACCTGAGCAAGGCTATAGCGATTGTCACCATTCAGATCTACTTCATAGCCTTCTAGCATTGTGATAGATAATATCATTTTCTAATAAATGATGACCTTTTTTCTTCTTTATTTCAAAAAGACCCAAGATGTACAGAAAGCCATGGACGGAAAAAGATTCAGTGACGCTGTGCAACTTCGTGGAAGGTACTCCTCTGTTGTTTATTTCTCTGCTGGCAGCAATAACTTTTCTAATAAATCATAGCTAATTGTGTTAAGGCAGGCATAGGCAAACTCAGCCCTCCAGGTGTTTTGGGACTACAATTCCCATCATCCCTAGCTAGCAGGACCAGTGGTCAGAGATGATGGGAGTTGTAGTCCCAGAACATCTGGAGGGCCGAGTTTGCCTATGCCTGTGTTAAGGGATTATTTTTCACGGCTAAGGAACAGGGGGGAATAGATTCTTTTACTCTAGTTTCTAGTGTACACATTTTAACCCCCCAAACCCTCCAAAGTTATGTGACTATTCTAGGCCAATTCTATACCGGAAAAGGAATTCTACCAGTATTATCTCTGCAGAATTTAAAATGCCATTTCATCAGAAATGGTGCTTGCATTGCTTTTCGCAGTTCATAGAGCACATAATATTGAATGCTAAGTGGGTATCAGTTGTGGAGTTGCACAGGGAGGAGCAAATGTAATTTCTGAAAGATTCCCTCAAATGGCAAATCATAAGTGGTCATTTGCCTGTCTTAAATGTATATGAGACATTTGTTGTTGTTGGCATCTGTCTATCTCAAGAGACATGGGAGTGCGCCTCTGGAGGTGAAATCAAACCGTTGAAAGCAGAGTGAAGATATTTCCCATTCAGTCCTCTCCAAAATAAAACAAGTTGCACGAGGGAAAATCATTCACATTCCATGATTTGTATCCAATGAAGTTGAAGGGCTGATGATGGAAAGCACTGGTGGAAATGGAGGAGTCTACCAGCCTAGCCAGGAAGCGGGGAATTTTTCACCAGTTCCCCCTTCCACCTTCAGTCCCCTAAACCACATCTCACATTGTTCCATTGGTTCCCAAGCCAACTAGAAGCGGAATTGGTGACTCTGTCAGCAGAGCAACACCAATGGCTACAACCTATGTCTCAAATACAATCTACCAAGTAACAAGTAAAGATATATAGTTACTAAATGCTCTGAGTGACACTTTAGGATAGAAAAATACATCTCGGTATTCTCTAACATTGTGAAATAGCTTTATTATTCAGACAACAGCGTGAAAATATCGTTTTCTGTTGCAGGAGTTTTGAGAACAACTTGAATACTTACAAGCTGCTGTCTACCAAAAGGACAGCTGCTGACCTTCCCAAGGTACTTCTTAGATAGTTGTCAAGTTGTCTGGTTAATTCCTCATTCCTTTGTCCTTAGGGTGGCCAATTAAGTGCATCACCAAGAAAGGGCATGCCAATCTGCATAAAAATTGAAAATGCTGATGTATATGAATTTAAAAATAGTTGCTACAGTTTAAATAGAAACACCATCCTGCCCTTGTGGGGAAGACCTTTCTCCTTACTCAGTTTGCTGTCCCAAGAGCTAATAAATGGATGGCTTACAGCAAACATGCCAATCTGTAGATTGGCCCTTCCTCTTCCTCCTTATGGTTCTTTATACTTTTCTTGCTTTTCAACTGCTTTCAAATAGAGGACTGTCCTCTGTGTAGTAGAAGACGCTACGTGTTTTGTTGAGAAAGCATCTAAACACACACAGCAGGTTGTTCAGAATTTTGAAAACGGTCTCCATGGAAACATCTGTGGACTATGGACTTGTATATTGAGTTGAAGCCTGGCAGGCAGTGATCTAAATTTTGCTAATACAGCATTTTGTAAACAGTCTAAATTTTGTAAACATTGCCATGTCTATTTCCTTGTTTAAACTCCCAAAATACAATTTTTCCTGAAAGGTCTAGGCCTCTCTCAGATAACCAATTCCATGTCTAGTTGTGAAATTCAAAGGTGTACCTAACGAGAGGTACTGAATGCATCTATATACCACAAACTGTGTTACAGTGGTCTACCAGCTGGTCAGCTGAAAGTTATTTTAAAACAAGGTTTTTTGCCCAGTGCTAATGTATGTCGGGAGAAATGTACATACTGGTTTTGCAAAATGGCACAATAAGTGGGAAATATCTGCAGCTACAGTTTTACTTTTAAATCTTTCTGTTTTCTTTAACAGGATGATATTTCATGTAGCGTATGTAAAAAATAAACAAAGTGACTAACCTTAGCAAGGTCTTTTGCTTGCTAGGTTGGCAGGCTCTATTATTTTTGCATGGCAATGGGATTTGATATATAGTTATTTTTGTTTTTCGACTGTGCACTTTTTTGCTTAAAGCTGGACAACCAGTATGCTCTTCAGTTTTGCCACAACTTTGATTTACACCAAGCGTAACTTTGCAGAAGCTTTAATAGAGCGCATAAGACGTGCTTATTGTGAAGTTGAAAGAATTCTCCAGAAAATGCAAAAGGTCCCCATTTATTGTCATGGTGAAAAGGTAGAAAAATGCCATGTATTTCAAGAATCGCTTGAAATACCACATGACTTTTATACCCCTCATTTTCAGTTCCACTATTTTTATATGACTTGGCATAGGCAGACATGGTCCTCCGAAAATACCCCTTGTTGTGAGGCCTCCTCATTTTCCATACAAAAAGTGACATAAATGGCTCCACGTGAGGCCTGGCATACTACCAGACTCTCCAATAGGGCTGCCATTTTTGTGATTAAGAAGGTAGAATGAGCATGAGCAGGTTGTGTTTTATTTTCTGCTTTCTGAGACTCATAAGAGGCAGATCATACATTAAAATGGCCTTGAAGTGGCTCTCATTTTTCATTTATGCCACAGAAGCTGGCAGGTTTAGGAGAATTCCAGCCATTCTTGCAACATTTGCAAGCATGAATTAATTATCAGAGACTGTGAGAGCCATAGGGAAGGAGGGATTATAAGGGAACCAGATTTCCAGGGAGGCACTCCCAACATAAGCTTCTTTCTTAGAAAGTACAGGAGAAAGATTCTTCAGAAACATGCTCTTTGTTGAAATGCTGTGCAGAGGTGGGAATAAGGCCTCAGTCAGAGGGGTGAAATATAGGCCTGTGCTTTCCAAGAGCCCAAATTTTCTCTCAAGGGGGCTGGTAATTGCCGATTTAGTCAATTGTCTAGATAAGAGTAGACTAGCCTCCTTAAAGACATGCTCCTTAAAGACATGCTCACATTCCAAACTGCTAGGTTGGCAGCAGCAGGGGCCAAGCAATGGGAGCTCACCCCGTCACGGGGATTCGAACTGCCGACCTTCTGATCGGCAAGTCCTAGGCTCTGTGGGATCAGCAAGTCCTAGGCTCTGTGATTTAACCCACAGCACCACCCGCATCCGCTCATGACAGTTTATCTGAAAGCAAAAGAGATGATAGTGGTGTTCTGTTGATCAGCATTTTGAGTACTTAGGTTACAGAACTACAACCAATAATTACTTCATTAAATTTGTTTCCACGAGAATGTGGTGCTTCCTTGAGGGCAGTAGATGAAGAAATTAAACATCAATCTGAAAATCAAAATCTTGTAATACAGCATATAACCCATTGTGACAGACTGTATTCTCCTCAAGAGGATTGCTTGTGGCAATTGTGTAGTTTGAAGTTTGTATTTTTACGTTGTGAATTGCCCTGCGATCTTCGGATGAAGATGGTATACAAATTTAATAAATAAAAATAAAATTCATGTTCTACCTTATGTACACATCAAAGGTGCTTAAAAGGTGCTAGAATAATGTTATATCCCACACTTGAGCAACCTATAGGCAGATGGTATGGCAATAGTTTTATAACGCTGAAAAGAGTGGTTGTCAAATGCCAAACTGATAGGGTTCTCAGATACTTTAAAACATTGTTAGGTGCTGGCAATAATGAATCAATCGCTTGTGCCATAGCTCAACACAATACGGCATGTGGCATCACATACTTTGGTTGCAATGGGCCAAGGAACAACATTGCACAAAAGCCATGTATGCATGCATATGGTTATTTGGGTTACAATTCCTATTCTGTATAAATTTGTTTCTGTATGCAATGCATGTGCTTGTTTCTCTATGCTGTGTTATTGTTATGCCAGAATCTGGACTGGATAGTTCAATGCCTCACATTTTAATTTGGACCTGCTGCTGATTGCAAATAACTGAAGGCTCCCTGAGTGCTATGAAGGGTTGACCCCACAATCTAAGATTAGTTTTAAAATTAAGTTTTATATAATGTGATGGGGTTCAGAAGGTAAGGTGTGTGTCTTGCTTTCATTTGATGCACTTTTATATTTTTGTCACTGGATGTTCAGATTTACCGCTTGATGATTCCTTTTTCCTGCCATGGGGTTTATGTTCCTGACTATATTTTCTCTCTCTTCTGCTGCAGACTAACTTCAATGTAGCTGTTTTAAATGTTGGTGCTCCAGCAGCTGGCATGAATGCTGCCGTTCGCTCTGCCGTGAGGATCGGTATAACCGAAGGACACAAAATGTTTGCTGTCACTGATGGATTTGAAGGCTTTTCTAGAGGGCTGGTTCGTATATACCAAAAATTGTATGGGAAGTGTTCCAGTTGCTGGAAATCACAGGAGGGAAAAGAGTTATTGTGCTCAGGGTCTTGCCTGAAGGTTTCCCACAGGCGGCTACTGTGAGAACAGGATTCTGGACTGGATAGGCCACTGGTCTCATCCAGCAGACCCTTCTTATTTTCTTTTTTTATTTTTGTTTTAACTTGCCCTCTGGCAGGCCCCCATAACTTAATTTTCCAGCTTTCAAAATGCACTTTCATACAAAGATTGCAATTCAAAGAAACCAGAGCTAGGTTTTCCACTGATAGATACTATGCAATGGGAATGGAGAAGAGAGGGTCCTCCTTGGGGAGAACATATGTTGACTGCAGAGATAAATTTAATGAAATTTGTTATGGGAGGGGTGTTTGTGAGGTATTTTTAGAACACTAAACACAAGTGACCAACACCACCAAACAACACGGAGCAGGAGTCTTGTTATGACAGATGGATATTGCGCATCTCCCATAGGAGCTCTCCTCATAGAGGCAGTTTCAAATATAGTAAAAGCATAACGGTTTGATCTATTTTTGCTTGGATTGCAGCTAATTCTACCCCCGTACGTCTAAAAAAATACCCTTTAAATCTTCTTGAAGAAGAAATGATTAACTATGTTTACATGAAGCGTTTGCTTCTTTGATACTTCCTGAGAAATCTTCCATATCAGATTCAATATATTTGGTCTCAAGGGTAGCTTTGAAGTGACCTTGGCAAGAGGCCATATTTGGCAGTTTGCCTATCCCGGAATAGCTGTGGGAGTATGAAATCTATGGAGATAAGAATACACGCTAGATAACTATTTCTGAAATTATATCACAAAATCTGTTGTGTTTGATTCTTGTTTCTCAGTTGTGGTGGTGTTTGTTGAATGCTGCATTTATAGTGTGCCCAGTGCTGGGACTCCTGATGCGGCATGTTTATGAGTCTATAATATATATGTTATTATTATAAATTGTTCAAAATAAATCCAGATTGCCTCTTTGTTAAACAGGTAGAAATTAGCTTGAACATTTCAGAGCATCTCTCAACTGCATCACATTGTGACACTTCTTAGGACTGCAGAGTGGTAGTCAACTTAAGTTTTACTCAGAGTAGATCTATTGAAATTAATGGACCTTTCATTTCAGTGTGTCTTCTCTGAATAAAACATAAATTAATACCACCTGCAAAATTTCATTCCCAAACCATTGACAAGTTGCTTTCCACCGTAAGGAGAGACCATTGCTCAAAAGTACTAAAAATATAAATTTATCTGTAACTTTTATTATTATTTTTATTTATTGAATTTATATACTGCCCTGTACCTGGAGGCCTCTTGTAAGAATCCATTTGGACTTCTATTTTGTTTAACCCATTAGATAAAGTTAGAGCTGAGCCAAAATTTATCAGAAGACATTTTTCTGAGATTTTTCTTTTTCTGAACCCCCTTTACCCCGCAAAAAAAAGAAAGCCACTCCAAATGTTCTGTGCCATATTTTTGTTGGAGCCACCATTCTCTGTCCCTCCATGTCCTTGAACGTCACTAGATCTGGGGCTTTGTGGAGGACACAAAATGGTGGCCAGACTACCAGCACAGTTAGCACTTGCAACAACAGCAAAACACACACACACACCATTGTGGGAGTGGAGAGAAAGAAACTGTGCTGCTGCCATTGCTAATACCGAGCCACATCTCGGAGAAGCTGTCACCATCTTTATCTTCCCCCTGGAAAAATGTGTTGATTTCCCCAGTTTCTCTGCTCACAGAGTGGAGAATATTGAGAGGCCATCTGCACACGAAAAACATCTGAAGGAGTGCCAGAGCCCCGTGCCACATTCTGTGACCTGCCACTGTTTTTGTTTCTCTTCTCATATTAAAGGAATGCAATGTTTTTGTGCAATTGTTCAGGACAGAAGGTGTGTAGGTCTCCCTATTTCATTAGATGGTACCCTGGTCTATTATCCTCTCTGGAAAAGTGGAAGTTGAAAACTGAACTGCAAGAAACATTGGTTTGGACCCGCTGTACAGTGTAGTGCTGAACGAAGTTAACTTTTGTATCCATTGCAGAAATGACCTAAAATGTGTATCTAAACTAAGGCATAGTAATTCAAAAACTATGTCTTTTTTGTTTTGAATGATAGATCAAAGAAATCAGCTGGGGAGATGTTGGAGGTTGGACTGGCCAAGGCGGGTCAATTCTTGGCACAAAACGGTAATGTGATCTTTCATACTGATATCTTTGAGAAAATTAACTTTCACTTGTGTGTGTAATTTAGTGTGAAGATTTATATACAGACTTGATGCAGCAGTCAATAAAGGGGAAATTTTTGTGAACATTGCTAATGCAGACTTTGGAAGATCATAGGGGCTGCAGAGCGAGAGAAGAGGACTGTGAAGTCCCATTTCTTGAGCAGATCTGCTCATGCAGCATTGGATTCTGCCTCATAGTTTTAATTAATGCTTATTATAAAAAGGGAGAGAAGACTTGCTTAATGGTGTGATAGAAGGACCTTCTATAACTTGATCCTGAAATTTAAATGTTTTTACCTCAGCATGTATTATAGATATTGTAAAGGGGAAAATAGAATTTTTTTAAGGAACATAATTAATTTGCAGTTACATTTTTTATGAGGCATAAAGTGTGTGTAGGTCAGACAATGTCAACCAGTCATCACAGGAAGCAAAGGTTTTTCACAAAGTGCTATAATGTAATAGTTTAGAGATTGGGTGTAACCTTCAAAAGTAAGATGTGGAAAAACACTTAGTGTAAAAAATTATAGTCCCTTTTAATCATATAGCCTTAAGTGCCCTGCAAAAAGCCTTTTTAACAGAGATGTGTATATATTTTAGTGCACTCCCTGGAAAGTATTTGGAGAAGATTGCAGAACAAATGCGAACTCATAACATCAATGCCCTCTTGGTAATTGGTGGATTTGAGGTATGTCACTTTGTTTTGTTTCCCTTGTGAATTCTTGTTAAATGAGCATATAACAGCTGAAACATTGTAGTCAACGATTAATGCTAAAATTTAGATTCCAGTAAGACCAGCAAGATTATTTAATTTAAACCTAACCAATCAGTTCACAAGGTTCCAATATGTTAAATGTCTAGATATTAACTAAGTTACGTTGCAGTTATGTAGTAGGAGTTGGAACTCTATGTGCGGTTTCTATTTTCATGTTTCTTATTATGCTTAGAATTATGCAGTGGGTATTTTTTTTAATGAATTGCATTTAATGAATCTTCCCACAGCATGGTGCCAATTCTGAAAGCCAAACTCCTGTTCAGGAGTCCAACTTTCCTAAACATGGCTTTCATAAACCTGTTATTTAATCAACATTATTGATATACTGATGTCATCCGTGTAGGATTGGGGGTGGGGACCTTAAATTTGTAAGATTTTATTCTCTGTGTTATACAATACTTGGAGGAATGCTTAGATGTATTTACAGTATTATGTTGTATGTTGTCTTATATATTCTGTTTTGGCCTTTCCTAGTGTGTCTCTGTGGCTGGCAATAGATAGTCGTTTTCAAGTGCATTGAGAGAGAGGCTTCACTTCCCATCTAGTAGACATTTGTTTCTGTTCTACTAACATCTGCAGTGAAACAGAATTTTGAAACGTTGCGAAAGCCTGTTTACCAAATGTGTCATGAGCAGTGATTCCCTCTTTCAAATCACTTTTGACTCTCTGGAAAAAACCAAACAAACCACTATTTCCAGCATGTGTGTGTTTGTGATACAGTAATCAAACCCCTCTGCCCAAACCCCATCCATGTTGCAAGCCTTGTCCTCTTGTTGTCCCCTCTAATTCTGCATTCGTTACCACATGTGCCCATCAGGCCTACTTGGGACTTTTGGAACTGTCCGCTGCCCGGGAGAAATTTGACGAGTTCTGTATTCCCATGGTTATGGTTCCTGCAACCGTATCCAACAATGTACCGGGTTCTGATTTCAGCATTGGTGCAGACACTGCTCTGAACACTATCACTGATGTAAGTTTCTCTTCTCTTGGTGCATGCTCACTAACATAGCTATCCCAGGTGCTGCTGACCACGGCTAGAGCTGGAGACTTTTGTGAACCAGAACGCCCCCAAAACATGATTGTGGCAGAAACGAGGTGTAAATACATGTGCGTGCACGCACACAGAGAGAGAGAGAGAGAGAAAGAAAATTTTTTTGATTAGCCCATCGATTTCAGAAAGTTTGTAAACTACATTTTTACTTTATTCATTCATTCATACAAAAATTATATTGCACCTTTCCAAAAATTTGATCTTCAAGGGTTTTTACAAATACTTAAAACAATGTAAAAACATATAATAATGGATCCAGTCAGAAAATAGCAGCGAAGACAGATAACGATTAAAAGCTCAGAGTTAATTTGGCATCTAAAAGATTGAAATTATGAATGGTTTTAGTTAATCATCACTCTTTGGCTATTTACTCTCTGAGGATAGAAAGAAATCTGTTTATTTCCATCACACCTCCAATGTGCTTGTGCACATCTGTGTGACTTAAATTCATGGCTAGCATGCTCAGGATTTCTGATGGAGGATTTACCTTTTTAAACAGAATTTTCTATTTCTGTTGCAAAGCAGACTGCTGTCACATCACTGGAAAATAAATACACTGCTGCTTCCCCATCTCCAAGGGCACTTGGTGTAAATTTTCCTCAAGCAGCCTCTTTTCTCCATTCTGTTTGGCAAACTGCTCTTTCTGGTGTCTCCAAAACATTTTATGATTTGTCATAAATCTGCTTTTACATGTGTTGAAAGGCAGAGCATCCCTGAGCAACATGCAGTGAGCTATATAAATCTTTAAAGAACCCTGTAAAATTTGCATGTTTGATTGCAACAGGTTTCATAGGTGCAAGCCTGCTTTATTAGATAAAAAAAAAACAAAAAACAGAGACACCAAGAGCTCAAAGCAGTTCTGCTGTTTCCTGCTTATGTCATTCTTGGCAATTAAAGTTTCCTTCCTCACAAGACACTTAACGTATTTCCAGTTCTGGTACATAACATTCTCCACCTCTAGTTTTATAGGCAAACTAAGGTGAGTAATGGTCTCCTGCATGTTTCTTGTTATCCTCTCTGCTTCATGGATTTTCTTGGGACCTGTAGATTACTTTTCTGAAAGAAATGGTTTTTCCTTCTTTTGCATTATACTCAAAATGCAGATGTCACCAAGTTGGACTAGACTGTAGGTAGATGGTAGTTTCTACATTTCTTTCAGTAGAAGCTGAACCATCTTAGAATCGCTGTGGCTTCTATACAAGGGAAGCATTGTGGCTGGTTTAGCATTTATTTTCTTCGGTCAGTAGTTCTCAAATGGTATTCCGGTGGTGGTAAGGAATAGAGATTTCTCACCACTGTGATCTTCTGCTACCACGTTCAGCCACTGAGTATTATGGAATGCATACTCCGTTTCCAACAGGTACAGCTTGCTCCACACAGGAACTGACCATGTGCCCTAAAGATAACTCAGAATCCTCTGCAACCTGGAAGATGTTGATGAAGAAAGGAAGTTCTAAAAACACTGGCATATATATTGCTTCCAGATGGAGGTTTAGCTTTCAAGCTTTTATTTTTGCCTTGGGCATCTGCCCATCAGGCTGTCACCTGTTGTCCAAAGTCAGGAAGTGCAACATAGTTGAGAATTGCAATGTCGTTACCTGTTCTCACCTGTCCTTTCCTGTCTTCATCTGAGATTGTTCTCTCCCAGTCCTCACTGTTACATTTGATTTTGTGAGATCTTAACCTGTCTGTCCTTTTGTCCATTTTTCTTCTCTCACCATTCTTTTCCCCTCAGTTTCTCTGTCCTCCATCTTGTTTCCTTTCTGCTTCCCTCTCTGTCTCCTTTTCTCACTCCCTGCAGCCATCTTGGGCTCAGGAGTGCTTTTTAAAAAGACAACTCTAGTTTACAGCCACCTCTTTCTGCTCATCTGCCTCCTCCACTGTGGTGGCCGCTCTGTTGAAGGCCACTCCAGGCCACAACTGATCACCAGTTGAGCAAGTCTTACTGCCCAAGTGAAATGGCTTGTAACCTTGGGAATAAAGTTACCACGTCATGTTGGAATTTGTAACAGTAAGCAATGTGAAAATTATGTGTGTTTGGAGGTGTACCCTGAACATTAGGAAGAGCTCAGATTAAAATTGAGTACAATCCCATGGCCTGAAATTTTGAAGGAGAAAAATGTTCAAGAGGGATGAGAGATTGTAGAAAGTGAAATACTGAAGTCATAGTTGCAAGCATTTCCAAGGAGGAGAGAAAATGGGAGACATCTAAATAATTCATTGTGGCTGTGCAGGGGTATGGAGATGGAAGGAAAAGCATTTAACTAAGGGCAAATACAGTAGAGTGGCTTGAACCCATAAGGACTGTGTCAGGAAGGCTAAATCTCAGAATGAACAAAGGCTTCCAGGGGTTTCTGAACACAACAAAAATGGATTCTGTGTTCAGAACAAGAAGGTCAAGAAACAAGCAAATTGCCTGTTTAGGAAAGGTGTTGAAGTATTAACAGAGGGTGGAGAGAAGGTGGAACTACTCAACTCCCATTTCAGGAAAAGTTAGACAAATGATATATGGATGGATTTGCAGTCCAAGATAGGTAAGGAAATAGCTGGAGAAGAGAACACATAACAACTTTAAATAAGTTGATGTCTCCAGGGTCAGATGAAGTACATCCAAACGTGCTGAAGGGGCTTGCAGAGTTTATTTCAGAACTGCTCTCTGAATCTTTGAGAATTCTTGGAGAATGTTTGAGAGCCTGGACAGAGACAAACGTACCTATTTTCAAAAAGGGGAGGAAAGGTGGATCTAGAAAACCACAGACAGTTGGCTTGATGCTGATACTGGGCAAAACTCTAGTCTAGAACATATTATTAAGCAGTCCATCTGTGAGCATCTAAAAATGAATGCACTGATTACTAGGAGCTTTCACAGGTTTATCAAGAATAAGTCCTGCCAGACAACCGTCTCTCCTTTACTGATAGAATGACTACTTTGGTAGATCATGGGAATGCCATGGACATAGTATATCTTGATTTCATTTTGTTGGCTGAACAAAACTACTGTCAAGCAGATTCACAACTGGTTGAACACTTGTACCCAGTGCACGCTTCTTACTGGCTCTGTATCAAACTGGGTATCAGTATAGTGATATGTGTTAGTGTTGGACCTCGGCTAGGGAGGCTGGGCTCAACTCCCTATTCAACCATCAGGCTCACTGACAGTTACAAGTTGACATACCTTACAGTATTGTGTGGATAAACTGTATCCACAATACTTCACGTATGCTAGCCTGTGATCCTTGGGAGAGCGGATTATGTTTGAAAGCTTAAATGTATAATACAATAAATCTCCTTCAAACTGATTGTCAAATTCTTGGCTTGTTAGTTCACTAAATGTAGGAGCTGGTCTCCACGTTATGCAGAAGGAGTTGGTGGAAATTATGGACTGTGGATAGCTATGTTCTTTAATGTGTTCTTTCAAAAACAAAAACAAAATCCTACCTGCACATCAAGGTGATTGTTATGCTAACCCTTTCTGTTTGACATATAAGTTTTCTACAAGTTCTTCTTCCTCCTTTTTCTGATTCGGGGGAATTAAAAAGTTATGAACCTATCCATAGAATCCTGTCACCACATTCTGCATAACATGTGTAGTCCAGTTTTTTTTAAAAGGATTCTTTATAGGAAGGGTTTTTCAAATATTAAGTATGCCTCTTCAGTACACTTGATGTTTCTCAGTCACACAGACTGCTACTCTGCCATGACAGAGCAGGAAGCAGCAAGATCAGTGTGGCACATAACAGTCTAAATGCATTAAGTGCAAAAGATAGACTATAAATTTGAATGAGTTTTTTACATTTAATTTGCAGATTTATAAATAGCTTCACAACCAAAAGTTAACAAACAGGATAAAATAAGATAAAATGCAAAAGGCTACACACTTTGTAAACCGAAGACAACGAAACCATTTCTAAAATCACACAATTAGTAAAATAAAAGGACTGAGTCAGACTTCATAGGAATCCGTCTTAAACACAAATATCTTGATTAGCTGCCCAAATGTCAAAATACTCAGGGCTGTCTGATTCCAGTTAGTAACTCATTCCAGAAGGCTGGATCTGCAACACTAAAAGCCTGCTTTCTAGTGAATACAGTACAATGCAGGAGTGTAGTTGACAGGCACTGTTATTTGGGGAAGGCAATCATTTAGGTCACTTTGTCCCAAGTTGTTTAGGGGTTTTAATGCTAAAGTAAATCCTTGACTTGTGGTAGGGTTGCCTATTGGCACCCAGTACAGTTCCCTCATCAGATGTTATACGGTGTGAATGGCATGTCAGAGCCAGCGACCTAGTTCTGCACCAGCTGCAGTGGGAGATTTAGTGCCTATACTTCCGGGAGAAACTTCTTTGAGAGGAATGAATGAATAAAATAGAACTACATGGCCAAAATCTGAAGATTTTCAGCGCTTGATAGAACACTGCTATATAAAAAGTTCAGTCCTGTTAAGTTAGTGGTTGCATCATTCAGAAGTAAGAATTTAAATGCATCTTGTCAGGGATAAATGCATCTTGCGATAGTGCTGCTCTTGACAGGCCTTCACCAATCTGCTTACCTTTTACTTTGGCCCTCTCATGTGGCCTGTGTTCAGCATTACATGAGAAACACCCTGTCCCCTTGACTTTGGAGATAGAAGAAGAGTTGTCTCATGTCGTACTTTGCTTTGGCAAGCCTTGGCCTGCTCCTCAGCCCAGTGTGATGATATGACTGTCCCTAGCCTCTCTGGCATGTACAGAAAACTGGAGAGGAAGATTAGTAGCGCCCACAAATGATGGCCGGCTAGTAAGCTGTGCCTAGCTTCTTCTGTGCTCCTAATCCATTTTGAAAGCTGAGTTTGACAAGCAGGGTATAAATAACCTAAATGGTTATTTTCCTTAACCTTTCAGAAAACAGAACCGTTGCTAATTTCCTTTACTACTAAATGATTTCAGTCTTTCTGTGCTTTCCACGTTCTGCTTGTTTCACCTTTCTAACTTCTGCCGATCTTTCTTCTGCACCAATGCAGACCCAGCAACCTGTGGTGGGTCTACACGAGCAAAACCCTTCTTAAAATCACCAGCTTGGGAAGTCTTTGCACCCTCGGAAAGTCAGACCTTCCATTGCCATGCACAAAGAGCCACTAGCATAACGCCTAATCAGTAACTATGCAAAGCAAGAGCACCATGTGTGTTGCTTATCATTCCTTGTACCACCACTTCAGGCCTTCGATGGCTGCCTGCAGTTATTTGAAGCACGGCCCCGTTTTGAGGAGTTTTGCATTCCTATCTGCATTGTGCCTGCTACTATTAGCAACAATGTGCCCGGCACTGACCTCAGTATCGGTGCTGACACTTCCCTGAACGCCATTGTAGAGGTAAGACGGAAAATACTTAAACCCATGTCTGCAAGATGAAAGAGAAGAAAGGTTTCCCTTTGGTTTTATGCCACTAAGTTATTGGGGCTGAATCAAAATTGTGGTTTCAAATTCTGAAGGTCACTGCATCAAAACTCATGAAATTTAGCCAGGATCCCATGCACCAGATCTCTTCAACAAGATCAGCCCATAAAATGCAGGTGCTGGTAGACAGGAACAAGTAGGATGCGCCATAGGTTTGTGCACAGGAAGAACTCAAAATGCCAGGTTATGCTCCCAACTGTCAATCATTTTAGCTCCCTAATTTTTAGTTGCTTTAACTATGCGGTTTTGGAGCAGAAAGGTGGCACGAGCATTTAATTGCAACAAATATTATTATTACTATTATTACTATTACATCGTCATCAGTGATTTTTTGGGGGGGAATGGTGCTGGTACTCACCATGAAGTTGTTACAATAAGTGCCACACTTGTAACATTTGGAGAGAAAACAGTGTTGGTACTGCATATAAATAATAATAATAATAATAATTTATTATTTTTACCCCACCCATCTGACTGGGTTTCTCCAGCCACTCTGGGCGGCTTCCAAGAAAAGAGTAAAAATACATTAAAACATCAGTCATTAAAAACTTCCCTAAACAGGGTTGTCTTCTAAACATCAGATAGTTGTTTATTTCTTTGACATCTGATGGGAGGGTGTTCCACAGGGCAGGCGCCACTAGCGAGAAGGCCCTCTGCTCGAGTACCCCTAGAATAAGCTGCTGTTGTTGTTGCTGTTATTATTAAAGATACTTCCTTTGTGGTTGCTATCCTCCAGGAATTCAGAAGAGTGTTGTAAGATCAAAACAGAGATGTTAGAAAGGCACAGTCTCCTACAGCTGAAAGCAGTGTTCTTTAACCTTTGGTGGATCACAGCTCCCATCATCCACAAGCCAAAGATGATGGGAGTTGGGTTTCCAGATGTGGGTGAGTTACAAGGTTGAAGAGCACTGATCCTAGAGGCTAGGGCTGCCAGCTGCGCATCAAACTCCCTCCTTATGGAAGAGGAAAGATGAGCCGGCACAAAGACAGGTGCTTTTGATGTTCTAAATAAGTGGCCCTGTGGTGCCAGGTTGGGGGGGGGGGTTGCATTCTAGGGACAATCAAAACCATGAGATCTTCTCCAGGTGGAAGAGAAAACTCTGACTTCATAGAGGGCAGTTCTGATGTTGGATTCCCATTGTCTGCAGTGCGAAATTTTCCAGTGTCACAGCTCCAGATGGTGATAGGGGTGAGAAGGATATATGTGCTGAGGTTGACCAGGTGAAGGCTGGATGATGATGATGATGATGATTTATTGAATTTGTATACAGTGGTACCTTGGTTTGCAACCATTTTGGATTGCAACCACATCAAACCCTGAAGTGTGTGTCCCTTTTTTATTATTATTACAACCCATTTTGGGGGGATTGCAACCCATTTTTGGGGGGAGGCCCCATTGGCGAAGTCGCACCTTGGGTTACAACCTGTTTTAGTTTACAACTGGACCTCCGGAACAGATTGTGGTTGTAAACCAAGATATCACTGTACTGCCCCATGCCCAGAAGTCTCAGGGCGGTTCAATCTGAAGGACACAACACTTTGCCACTCCTCCAACTCTTTCAAGCCAGCCCTGAAGCTGGTATAGCTCAGTCTCTTTTATTTACTTGGAGGGAAATGTTTTGTTCTTGAAACATAAGAAGTATGGAGGTGCCCAAGAGCATTTCCACCTTGCTGCAAGAATCTTTCAGAGCACTGGGTATGCTAGATGTACCACCTTCAATTCTCTCCCTTCCCTGCCCAAGACACATGGTCCTATGAAACAGGCAGTTGAAGAAACTGTTAGTTAATATTATGACAATATATATCACATGTCAGGCTATTAAGTTACCCAACTGATTGCTTTAGAAGGTAGTAAAGTGTAAGTAACAGTTCTATCTGGATCCATATATTATAAAGTATATAACGTCTGTTTCCTTGCAAGTTATATACACTTTATTTCCATGAACGGAACAGTGTTTCTAGAATGGGCCTTTCCTGCTTTCCTTTGCTACATTTACCCCCAAAATCGGATCTGGAAGGTTGGGGGATATATTGTATTTTGGGGAGGGGGCTGCAGATGAAGGGGAGAGCAGTTGGAAATGGTCGTCTATCTTATATGTACTGAAGAGCAACTTTGGATCTGGAAGCACAATGTTAGCCATGCTTACTCAGAAGTAAGTCCTGTTAAAGTCAGTGAGGCTTACTTCCAAGAATGTGGGGTTAGGATTGCAGCTCAAGCCCTTGTCATTAGAGGGAAAAGACTTGATCTCAGTCATAGCTTATGTTGAAATCTAAGAATCAAGAGGAGTCATGGATTTTTGCTCCAGAAAAACGGCATTTGTAAGATTTTCTGAAAAAAACTACTGGTTTTTTTATGCCAAGTTTCACCTAATATTGTGTGAAGCATTGCAGATGACATGTGAAAATCTCAGAGAAATGTTTCTGAACTAATTATTTTTAGTTCTCATGGTGCATCATAAAAACAAAGCAGTTGTGCTCCGAATGATACTAAAATATCATCCTTAAAGGATGGTGAGCACTTTGGTTTGAAAGTCACTAATAGACCATTCTTTGCTAGACATGCGACCGAATCAAACTGTCGGCAAGTGGGACAAAGCGACGTGTGTTCATCATTGAAACTATGGGCGGCTATTGCGGCTACTTGGCAAATATGGGTGCCCTCGCTGCAGGAGCTGATGCTGCATACATCTTTGAAGAGAAATTTGATATTCGAGAGCTCCAGGTATGCAGATCCTATATTTTACCTATTGGCTACCTCGGGCTCCATTGGGAGGAAGGGCAGAATGTGGACTGAACTCAGTAAGTAATAATATGTAAATTCAATGTCTGTGGAGCAGGTATATCAACAGATTTATCACTGGCTGATGGCTCAATGCTGCATATGAGAACTCTTCTCTCTTGACTAGAGTTGCATTAGGAGTGATATAAAGTAATGGGATTTCTGTCTGGCAGGCCACTTTAAGGATGTGCACAAAGCAAAGGTTAGCAAAGCAAACCTTTGTGCACAAAGCAAATTTACATCACTTGACTCACAGTCATAAATGATGCATTCTTTTTAGGCCAACGTGGAACATTTGACTGAAAAGATGAAAACCAGCATTCAACGTGGTTTGGTGCTGAGGTAAGCTGACTGCTCACTAAAGTGCACTGTAAAAGGAAGTTAATTTGTTGTTGGGATGGTACTTTGGATGGGGAGAGGAGAAGAATGGCAAATGTCACCACTGGAAAGTGCTGTAGTTCACTGACAGAGTGCAGGTTCAATCCCAGAGTGCAGGATCTCTGATGAAAGGAACAACAGAGACCTCTGCCTGAACTCTTGGGAGAGCTCTTGCCAGTTATAGGAGACCAGACTGGAATAGCTGGACCAGTAGTCTAGCCTAGTATAGGAGTAAGCATGGACCAATGGTACCAAATAGTATGGGAAACAGCCTTACTAGAAAAATTAACCAATAAACTAAAACTGACACGGAGACAAATGGAAGAAGACGCCTTCACCCCAGTATGGCTCCCTTTTATCACATACACAGCCCAACAAGACAACAACAAGAATCCACCAACAGCATACGAATCAATATGGCTAACCTGATTAAAAAACACCCCCCACACACATGAAAACAAAGATCACCACAGCAAATCACAAACAAGTAACCGCACCCTAAGCCAACCCCAATTCTCCCACCACCAAAGGAACACAAGCAAATAGTAAAGAGAACCTGCACAAAGGACACTGACACAAAACCCTACACATACATTAAGTAAAACAGAAACATTACCACCTGACCCCACCCCTACCCACCATGGCCCCCTCTACCTCTTCCCCCTTTTCTTCCCAATGTAACAGCAATGTCTCAACAAATGAAACTGACCTGTAGAAAATGTAGCTTGAAAAAAGAGACACTGCACATACTCTTGTAAACCAAAAAAATCTATATATATATAGAGAGAGAGAGAGAGAGAGAGTGTGTGTGTCTAGCCTAGTATAGACAGAGCCATCTCCACTTCCCAAGGGGGCACCTTTGAAAAGTTATGTTGGCTGCCAAGTCAGTTCACCCACCCATACTTGTTGTGGTTGGCAGTGGCAGTGTAATAGCCCACCACAAGCAGTGGCAAAGTCCTTGCCATTTGAGATTTCACTCAAGAAATTTTGGAATGTCAAGCAGCTTCCAGCCACCACACAAACCAAGAAAAGGCCAGACTGGGACTACAATTAGACCCAAACCAGCTCAGGTGTCAGTGCCATATGACAATACTGAGCCTGATTAAAGGGCAGTTACATTTGCTCAGCCATTATCTCTCTCCCTGTCCCCACATTGCAGCTGGACAGCTTTCTTTTTTTAATGTAGTGTCCTATTTCAGTTTTGAAGACGATAAGCTGTAGAGATTTGTACTGACAATTCCCTTCAGTCGTATTTGCACCACTGTTATCGTTACTTGTTTGAGAGTCAAGTTTAGGGGCATGAAATTCCCTCTGGATTTTGTTTTGCTTGGTTTAGTTCTTTTAAAAAAAGCTCAGGATGTTTGGGTCTGGTCCGTGCGTGGGTGGAAGACTTGGGTTCCATAACGAAAGAAAGGCAGGATATACATGTAACTCGATAAAATATAAGCCAACCACACTTATGCTTGTGTTGTACAGGAATGAAAATAGTAGCGAGAATTACACAACTGACTTCATTTACCAGCTCTATTCCGAAGAAGGGAAAGGAGTCTTTGACTGCAGAAAGAACGTACTGGGTCACATGCAGCAGGTAGGCATACCTTACAGATTCTCCAGGATGAAGCAGGAGGCTTAAAATGTTATTCTAGTGCTGCAGTTGTGAGTGCAGGAGCTGGTTTCATGTTTCCCCCTGGACTGGAAACCTCCCAGGACAAATGCTGCAGTGCTTAATTTCTGCATCCATCACCTGGGACAAAATCTGCCATAGAGGCACATACATCTACATAGCTTGAAAGGGACCTTTTTGCCTACTTCAGTGTTGCAGATAGTATTACATAACAAATAGCTCCATTGGCAGAGGTTGTTGTTGTTGTTGTTGTTGTTGTTGTTTAGTCGTTTAGTTATGTCCGACTCTTCGTGACCCCATGGACCAGAGCACGCCAGACACTCCTGTCTTCCACTGCCTCCTGGAGTTTGGTCAAACTCATGCTGGTAGCTTCGAGAACACTGTCCAACCATCTCATCCTCTGTCGCCCTCTTCTCCTTGTGCCCTCCATCTTTCCCAACATCAGGGTCTTTTCCAGAGAGTCTTCTCTTCTCATGAGGTGGACAAAGTATTGGAGTCTCAGCTTCAGGATCTGTCCTTCCAGTGAGCACTCAGGGCTGATTTCCTTAAGAATGGAGAGGTTTGGTCTTCTTGCAGTCCATGGGACTCTCAAGAGTCTCCTCCAGCACCATAATTCAAAAGCATCAATTCTTCGGCGATCAGCCTTCTTTATGGTCCAGCTCTCACTTCCATACATCACTACTGGAAAAACCATAGCTTTTACTATATGGACCTTTGTTGGCAAGGTGATGTCTCTGCTTTTTAAGATGCTGATTGGCAGAGTAAGAGACTCTTAATCTCAGGGTCGTTGGTTCAAGCCCCACAGTGGGTGAAAGTTGCCTGCCTTTTAGGGGGTTGGATTGGATTGGCCTTTGTGGTCCCTTTCAACTCTACAATTCTCTACTCTTAAGTTTAATAGCATTTAACTAGTTTTAATACTAATTCATTGGTAACACCGAGGCATGAAGATATTTGCACTGGGACCGCAGCCATTGAATTGAGGTCTTGCAGCTCTGTATGTCAGTACGATTTAAATTATAACTATCTGATGCTGCACAAAGAACTGTATGTAGAAGCAGTCATTTGTTTATGATGCTGCCTTTGTTCAGTGGAGACCAAGTTCACTGCAGGCGCAGGTAATCTTCCAACCTGGATCCCTAGCTGATGTCCACGACTATGGGCATGCGGCCATGCCTCAATTTCCGCCTAAGTCTCGTAATTGCTTTGTAACTCCGAACAGAGTCCTAAAACTTCAACTCACTGTTCACGTACGTGTTGAATTTCACAGGGTGGCGCTCCTTCGCCATTTGACAGAAACTTTGGGACAAAAATTTCAGCGAAAGCTGTACTTTGGCTCTCCAAGAAACTCAAAGAATGCTATCGAAGAGGTAAGGAAATGCTGATGGCCTTAAAAAAATAAAAATTAACTAGTTTAATGTGTCAGCTGCTAACATCAATAGGAAAGTGCCAAACATGTGATACTGAGTCTGTGAGGCACACCTGTTTCTTCTCTCGTATATTATCACATCTGTGAAAAAAGGCTTAGCTGCCCTGTTTTATTTTTCCTTAGCTTGCTGGAAATATTGAAGCCAGGGACCAGTGAATTGTCTATTTCCAGTAATGGCACCTCATTTGTACAGTGCTCTTCCAGTTTGAAGACTATAGAGTCTTGAATCACTGTTGGCCTTTCGAAAGCAAGCTGTGCTTTGATGTAGTTTTACAGGGGAAAGTATCTTATCCTGCTTGCTTACATTTTTTTTTGACTTAAAAAAAAATTCATAGTTTATATTGCTTGTAAACTGCTTTGCAGGCCCACTTCAGGGCAGAAAGACGGTATAAATTTATTAAAATCTAATATAGCAAACATTTACAAGCGGCCATTAATATTTCTTAACCAGTGAGGCCAGCTCCCTTTCTTCAAGGCACGTTGCACTGAGTCAGTGAGACTTTTGAAAAGACATGTTTAGGACCAAGGTTGTTTGCATTATCAAGAATATTTGAGGCTGATAATTCAGAAAACTTAATCCACAATTCTTTATTTACAGGGGCTAAAGTATCCATGCAGGTTAGGTATACCTCATGGTATTCTATATATCAAGCCACATTCAAGTGCTTGCAACAGAACTAAGTAAAAACCCGTCAGTTACTAAGGAATCCTTTTACTTAACTGACTTCTAATTTTCTGAGCAAAACTAAGCCTAGACAAGCTTACTTAGGGGGTAAGATCCACCAAATTCTAATGGTACATTGTTTGAGTAAACCTGCGTAGGATAAGGCTTCAGATTTCTTAGAATATTAGGCAAATTACCAAAGCTTGCCATGATTTGGTCATGGAGATTGATATTTTACTTCAGGGTAGTCAACTTGGTGCTGTCCAGTGTTTTGGACTACAGTTTCCTTCATTTCTGGCTGGTTAAGCTGATGGATATTATAATTCAAAACATCTGAAAGGCACCATGTTGGCTATCACAGCTCTACTTTTTTATTATTATGACCGACTCCTTAAACTGTGCTAAAATGTGTGAGTAATCTCAGCATTCCAACCCCAACTCCCCAAAAATTAAAAGTTCCTGACAATGATTTGTAAAAACATAGGAATTCACCGCATGAGTTACATATATTCTTCCTTTCTTGTTTTGTTTTCTTGGTTGCTGCACGGATCACAGACGAAGGTAACATGCTTCATTCTTTTGCAATTTTATCAGGTTTGAGGAACAGTTCCTACTGTAATGATGAACAATTTCTAACAACAATTAACTATGGCCAGTGACACCAGTTATTCATCCATTCTCTTTCACTCTAATTACCGATTTGAAAACCATGCCCTCTAACAGTTTCAGTCCCTATTTTTTGTTGTCGTTCTTCACTGTAATATTTCAGTTAACCAAATTCAATTAAAAACCCTATGTGGAATTCTTTAACATTTCATCCCCCCAAGTACACTATTCCCGTATGTTACTCTTTTATAGCTAAAACGAGAAAATGTATGTGTTTTTTTTCAAAGGAAGGGTATTTGCCAACACTGAGGACAGTGTTTGCCTCCTGGGAATGCGCCGGAGGAACCTTATTTTCCAGCCTGTGGTTCAACTGAAGGATGAAACAGACTTTGTGTAAGTAAAGACAGTGCGGGAAAAAACTCCAGCGTCCACACGAAGATTAGAATTAAGAATTGGTATCTCTTTGGGGACAAACGGTAGACTCTAGTTCAACTTCAGCCTTGAAGTGCCCTCCCCTCCCAAAAAAAACTCCTGGGATTATTGAAAGGAGAATTTCTCTTTTACAAGGACCTGGCAGCGCTGAACCAGACACAATCTTCTTTCACCCCCTTTTTAATCTTTCAATAGCAAATGCTTCCAATGTACTGTTGCTGTTGTGGGTGGTGCCCAGCTATTGGGTAGCATGGCAGCTGCTGAATTTTTCAAAATTCTCTTAATCCCTGCATCATCTCTACTGGGCCTTTTGCCCAGCCAAGCTAGGTGCCAAGTCTGAAGCTTGGATTTTAAGAGAAGCAACATGCCCCAGTGGAAGAGCACAAACTTTGCATGTAACATTTTGCTTCTGCAGTACTATTTAGTGGTATCTGTAAAGACCTCAGCCTGAGCCATTTAACTGCTTTGGCTACCTGCACTAGACAAGCCAAGAGTCTCACTGAGCCCATGGTAATGTTGACAGACTTGAATTAAACTGCTTGTCTAAGCAGCAAAACCAGCAAATTAGAATCTTTGTTTTAATGGAAGAAGGGAAGTGTATTTCCATGATCTAATGGCTCTCCTATTGCATCGCTTGTGCAACTAGGCAGCTAGTTTATCTGCTGAGCACAAGTTGACATGACAGCATGTCACTAGCACTAACTCTCCATATAAATCAGCTATTTATATGAGCAGAGTGACAAGACCCTATTTCAGAGTTCCTGTGTCTTGTTTCAAGTTGATCAGCATCCTCAGTTGCTGTTTCTCAAAGCCTGCCTATAGGTTTAAATGAGTTCTAAAAGCATTTCCCCTCTTTCTTGCTAAACAGGCACCGAATTCCCCGTGAACAGTGGTGGCTGAAGTTACGGCCCCTGATGAAAATTCTGGCCAAATACAAGACCAGCTACGATGTGTCAGATTCGGGCCAGTTGGAGCATGTGCTCAGACCAAAACAGGCAGAAGCGTGAGCCGACGAGTCCATGGTGTCCTACTGTTAAAAAGTTGCAATAGCTCTCCATTGTGTGTCAACGATGCTTTAGAATACTTGTTGCAGCTTCGTTTTGTAACATCTAAGTTATTGTACCAGCACTTTATGTGGAAAAACAAAAAGCCGCCATCACAGACACTCTCTACCTGGTATTGTCCTAGGCTTCTTAAAAAGACACCACACAAAACACCCTAGAGCCTAACTTAACAACAAAAAACCCAACTTACCAATGTGTTCCTTACCAATAACCTGTGCAAAAACGGTTCTATGCACTCTGTGTGATGCTATTCATCTCTTGCACTTTTACCAGATAGTGTTTACACTTAAAGAGTATGTTACAGAGGCTTAGTTTTGTGGCAAACTAAAAAGGAAACTTATATATGTCCCCCAACAGAATAAAATACTATATTAAAAGTAAGCTCTGGAGTCATTTGTTCTGTACAACCTGGGACGAGCTTGCTTCATCCTACCCACTGGCTAGAGCTTCTCAGGGCTAGCCCATGTTATTGGTACAACTTTACCAGCCCTAGCTAATGTAACCAATGGTCAGAGGTGATAGGAGCTGTAGTGTGACAACATCTGGAAGGTGCCACATTGGCTAACCTGCACTAACTAGCTGAACGTGCTCTTAAAAGGAAAAAAGCATTGGATTTCAAAGCCTACAAATACAAGGCAATTTCTTGCTTGTGTAGCAAGTTTTTTATGTAGTGCAACCAACTTCAGTCCAGCTGCTTGGGTATCTAAGGAGCAAGAGGTAAAGGTAGCAAATGCAAGATTATGATTTTTCTCTGCTGTAATTGCAAAGAGAGACCCCAACTTCAAAACTAATGTTTGCCACAACCCCTGCAGTGGCTTGGATTCCAAAGCAGATGTAAAGATAGCTTGTTAGATCTGCTCTGGAAGACAAGTGACTTCTCCCTATGCTTAGAGCCCTCAATCAGGGGTGGAGTTAGCAGAGCAGCCACATGGTAAGTAGGCTGGGGCCAAGTAATAAGACAGCTGGAATGCATCCTCATGCGTAAAATCACCACCTGCTTGAGTTGCATATATATATTAAGATGGTAGGAGCAACCCTGTATTTAAAATTCCCAGTGTTGATATGAGTGCTTCTGCCAGTACATCCTTTACTACCTAAAACACCAGGGAGGAAAGGAGTAACCTCTCGCCAACCCCATCACTAAACAAAACGGGCCAGGCACAAACTTGCCTTCTGCTGTGTTGTCTCTAAAGATAAGCTACCTGCTGCGGGAATAAGAAGTCCCCTGACAAGATACTAAGCAGAACAATTCATCAGAGGCTGGCAATATTTAATGGCACAAGGTTGGAATACACAATATTCAAATAAGAGTACTGAAGATGGTCAATAACAGTAATCTTAAAAAAAAGAGGAAACCCGAACTCTATTAGACATGATTTAAAGGAAACAGAAAACTTAATTGTGTGCTTCTACAAAGTGCAAAGTACCATCTAGTTAAACTTAATCATGATCAGCTAGACAGAACCAACAGTAGTTCCGGTGGGAAATTAGTCAGAGTTATTGAGCTAGATTGGGACCATAATCCAGAGCTTCGGCTTGGCAAGTAGTGAAAGACTGACAGAGGGCGAAATCCTGCTTGAGAAGTAAGCACCACTGTGGAGTCAAGCTCTTTAAGATACACAAGTGTAGTGCTGTCCGGTCCTGACAGCACTGCTATAGAGGAGGACCCCAAGTTATTTTGGTATCTGTCACACACGATTGCATTTAATCTGAGCCGGCAGCAAATATCATCGTATAACCCACGAAGGGTCTTTGGCAGTGTGTGGGTTTTCTGGGCCAAGAATAGCCAGTCCTTTTGTTCTCTTCCCAGCGGCAAGATATCTGAAAGTCAACAAAGCATGCACCATTAGTCTACTGTTCATTTGCAATTGTCTGTTCAGCATATAAGTGTAGGGAATATTAGGAGTCTCCAATTCTCAGGACTCAATGGGCAAAAGTGATGCTTTCGTTTTAAATTGCACTGGGATCATTATTGATAAAGGGCAATTCAGAAAGTGAACAGCACATGTCATTCTGAAAAAACGTTTTAATTTTAGACAGCATCAAAGACTCTGGAGCTCCCTTTCACTTGATGCTGGAGAAGTAGAGCATATTTGTATGTACACATTCCTCAGTCTGCAATTCATGCTTGGCTTGCTTTTGAGTTATTCTAGGGCTTCACCACAGTCCCAATGACACCTTAGCATACTGCCATCCAACTAGCTAGATTTGATTCACAAATCTAGGTTCTGTGTAAGTTTTACACATCCAACTGTTTTGTCCCACTATCCCATTCAATAGCCCCATGCCACAGGAAACCCACAATCCTGAAAATTAAAGGGCTGTGTGGCAAACATCAGTTCCCCCCACTCCCCTTTTGGGTTTCGGAAAGCTATCTGAGAAGTCTCGCACTTCCCGGTCAGGCACACAAACTCACTTATTGGCTGCATCTATGAGGTTATCTTTGGAGACGGCAAAAAGATGCTCTCTGTGCCTCTGCTTCATCTCATCGGAGATCCCGTACAAAAAGGTATTCATCCCTACAAAGAATTCACAAATGTTAAGAAAACTAACTTGATTCTTAAGGGTGAAAGCAGCAGGTGGCAAACCACACCTCCATCCTGCAGCTCCTACTTTTAGACAGATCTGTTTCATAACGCACTGAGATCACTCTCAATTCTTCTGGAATGGCGCATGTAGCCAAGAATTATGCAACAAATTTTAGATAATTTCTCCATGTTGGAAATGCCTGATAATGTCAGAAACTCTTTTTGGCTGCGATTTAGACATATGAAACTGGGTCCGCCCCCCCGCCCCCACTGAAAAGCATCAAAGATAACTAAAATATGTGCAAAATCATATTTTGGCTTTCAGACTGATGGCTATTTTGATCCAGGAAAGGCTATTCGCTCACCTCATTTGGCTCAATCCCAAGGTGAGAAGTCAACATACCTTTGTCAGATGGTGCTTGGGGGGCATCCACAGATGCAAACATGGCAAGCTTGGCTTCATCGATGTCTTGCTGCGTGAATTTTCCCGCCTTGGCCCATTCGGCGGCCTTTTCAAAAGTAGACAGGGTACCCATTGAATTTGGATCCCTAAAATGCAAGGAAGGCACAGGTAAGTTTATACAGCCAATTTTTTTTTTACAGAGAAATGACACCACAAAGTGACTTGCCCTTGTTCAAGTGGTTGCTTTATCTAGCTTTGCCTCACACTGTGATCACAGATACATGAAAACCCAACTGCTATTTTTATTGCATTGTTGACTTCTGGAGGGTAATTCTGTCCCAACAACATTGTATTGAGCAGGTTCTTACAATAAATAAATCTGCTGGGTTCTCTGAACTTAGAAAGCTTGAAATCATAGGAACATAGGAATGTGCTTTAAATTGAAATAGACCTTTGGCCAATCTAGCTCCATATTGTCTACACAGACTGGCAGCAGCTCTCCAGGGTTTCAAATGGGGGCCTCTCCCATCCCTACCTGGAGATGCTAGGGACCTTCTGCATGCAAAGCAGATGCTCTAGCATTGCCACTGACCATCAGGACCTGATCCATATATTCAGTACATCCCAACACTTACAAGCCACACACCGCTGGCATTCTGTTCAGCACTGCAAAAGTGGAAAGCAATTACACAGCTTTCCCACCACTGACGTGTTCATGCTTTTTTACGTTATGGGATTTCCTTGCAATTTAAAAGCACTGATTTGAGTGCTCTGGGGCAGATCGCAAGAATCTACTCTCCCTTTACCACTCAATGACTTGTACAATTCCAGTTCCTGAACTCATTTTATTTGGCAGAGAATGCTGGTTTACAAAAAAAGAAAAAGAAAAAGACAAACAAGCACAGTCAAAGGAAGACAGTGTGGTTCCACTCAGTCAACTAGTTACCTATAGGAGTAGAAACTGAATATGCCATTACTGGCAAGTTGCGCACCACCTCCATATGCACCTCCTTTCTCTCTAATTTCTGTATGTAGAAATTTAGCTGTCATTAGCCGGGCGAGGATGCGAAGGCTGAAAAAAGAGAGAGATCGTTAGTGAACAAGAGATTCCTACATTGCAGGGGGTTGAGGCTAGATGAACCTTCCAACCCTTCAATTCTGATTAAGATGCTCTCTCCCTGGCCCTTCCTTTTTTCCTCCTCCTCATCATCATTATAAGTCTGCATGAACAAATGTACCTAATGGGCAAAATTTCAGACTCAGTAAGATTTCATAACTTGTCTCCCCACAGAAGTCAAGATCTCTGATCTCCACATTTCCATACCACATTTTTTCTCCTTTTTAAAAGCCCAAGACTTATGCATGTAAGGGAACGTGCTTCTCCAAGTGGAAGTTTTAATGCACTTGCTAGATCATGGTGCCCTCTAGCTGCTGCTAAGACTCCCAACTCCAGTCAGCAAAGCCAGGTAGGGATGATAGGAATAGTAGCAGTGGCTACCCCTGTCCTGGACATCCCTTGGGGAGAGCGAACTGGGGGCTCCGCAGGCAGAATCAGTGCCAGCTACCTGGTTCCTTCTTGCTGCTCCAAAGCAGCGCCTCCGCCTAATGAGTGCCAGGAGAGCACAGGTGTCATTAGCTCAGAAGTGGTCCCTTATCAGCTGCTGTTACCTTGGCAGCAATGCCCCCTGAAGACACACATGGGAAGCAGTGTTGCTGAAGCCACACCCCCAAGCAAAGCTTGTGAGCCAAACCCACCTGTGCCCCACAGACGCTCTCCTGAGCTGAGAAGCAGGCAGCAACACAGAGCAAACAGGGAGGGGGAAAGAAAGCCCGATTTTGTGCACTGTGGGTCACACTGCCTGTGAGTCCAGACATAAATGCACTACTTGTAGCAGCCTGTAACTCAGAAAACATCCCAGTGTTTTGAAAGCAAACGTCTTCCCGAGAGCACTGTCGGTTATTTCTGAATGCAGATCTCAACACAGCCGCAACTGGAGATTAAGTTTATTCAACTCTGATCATGCACTATTTGGCAGCACTTCCCATCGTCTTACCTTGCATGGTCCGGGGCTGTAAAGGGAACTGTCCGAACGCAGGCGCCAACATAATTGACAGGGAAGGGCAGAAGGAAATGAGTCTTCATTTGGCATGGCTGGAAAGTGGGATCCTGGAGGAAAAGTCACATTGTTTTTGGTTGAGATCACCTCTGGCAGAGAGTGTATAGAGAGAGCAGCGCGGACACTCAATTTTAGGTGGCCGCCTGTTCTTACCCATTCAAGAGCATCAAAAGGAGTCCAGAAAGGTTAATAGTCAACTCTGCGTCTGGTTACTTGGAGAGAGAAGGAAGGAGGAAAATGAGACTGCGGAGTCTCAATGTGATTGCTTGGAGGGCTCAGAACAGCCAGCAGCAAGGGAGAAGAGGGAAAGCATTTTAAGAATTTGATGCCCCTTATTATTGTTTTTTTTAAGGCAGTAGTTGTCAAAGCAAAGGAACAGCTCAGCACAGCCCCACATTTGAAGGGGGCACAGTTTGCAAAGGGGATGTGCATTCCCCAGGCGTTCAACAGAATACACTTTCACTTGACATGTAACTAACTCTCTTCTCCCTCCCTCCCTAGCCTAGTGTTGCCTTTTATAAGCAATGAAGGCAGGGCTTGGGTTAGCTCTAATTTCTGGACACAGCTCAGCAACGTTAGTAGCTTTAGAAATATAACTTTATGAAGCCCCAAGTGGGGATAAATCAGGAGACAATCTCTGGCATACATGAGCAGACTGTTTATATTCCATTCAACTTTTTTTAAAAAGCTACTGTATGCTACTTTGAAGAACTTTATGGAGGCAAAAAAATGTTTCAGAGATGGGTCATAGGTAAGTCGTCGTCCTCCATCCAGTTTGTGGGGCAAAAATTGCACCCTAGATGCACCTGCCATTGTTGAATTTACATAGAAGGAGGCCTACAACAAAGTCTTTCTTGGGTAGGGACAGAAAAGTTACGGCTCCCAGAATCTGCTGGACTCCACTTCCCATCAACCCTGACCACTGAGCTATGCGGACAGAGGCTGATGGGAGTTGGAGACCAACAACAAGGGGGCACAGGATTGCCATTTTTGTTCTAAGACAATTTTCCTGTGCAGGTGACAAACAACATCCTCGATTGCCAGCCACTTATCACTGACCATTCTTCTTCTCATAAATGAAGAAAGCACTCAAACAAAACAAAACAACTCTAAGAAATCTCGATTTTTCCCACTGGGGTGGTTTTTTCTTTTCTGTCCAGCCAGTATGGAGCAATATTTCTAAAAGAAAAACCAACTCATGAAATAGAATTGGGTGCTACCATCACACAATTGTTTTGGGGGGATGGGGACCATTTTACTTCCCTGAGTTTTTATCCAATTTTAGCTTCCTGCAAAGGCCTCAGCCCTCCCCCCCCCCCGCCCAAAGGAGCACATTAATCTTCAGAGCAGTAAGGCTCAATTTGGGGAGTAGTGACAAATACTGGGAACTTCGACCTAAGGCAAATGAACTAAGACTCACCGTAATGAGCTTCCTGGTGATCTGGGAGCAAGCAAGCGCCTCACTGCCATCGGTTTTGGGGTCTGAAGGTTTCTACAAAGAGAAAACATGGTTGAAACAAGAGAGATCCAATTGGTTTCTCCCAAGTAAGCAGCACAGCTTCCCCACGCATTTCCTTTCCGCTGTGTCCAATACTTTGCTGCTGATCACACTAAGGGTTGCATCCAAAACATGTCCTGCAGGCAGTGCTAATGCTGGGGTACCCTGTGAGGATTACAATGCAAGACAGGGGTGGGAAGCCTCCGGGTCAGAGGCCAAATGTGGCCCTCCGTGTCTTTCTATCTGGCTCTCCAAAAACTCCCTCTCCCCAGGCTGAATCCTTCTAGGGCACCTGCTTTGTGCCCCCAGTGTTTCTGCCTAACTTAAACTGTAATAATGCATGAATGGAGAAGGGGGATATGAGTGTGTACAGGAACTTGCGATTTGGGGCCGAAATGCAGCCTATTGCACAAGGCTAAGGGTCACAGCCATTGTTCTGCCCACACCCAACTCTGGCATGTGGCCCCCAGAAGGTTCTCTACAAAGGAATGCGGCTCCCAGGCTGAAATAGGCTCCCACCTAGGCAACGAGAACAGCCAAAGCAGAAGTGACATGGGCTATCAGAAGTGACACCCCCCCAGCCTTCCATCCCTCCTCTGGCTTTAAAAACTGCTGCAGGGGGCTTCATACATTATTTGAGCTCTGTAGACATTTTTCCTGATCTAAATCCCCATCCCACTCCCAGAAGCTATCAGGACCACGGGGGAGAAATACAAGCACTGCTAGGGTATCTCCCTCTATGGAGCTAACAGCATCTTTGGAGGGAAGCAGTCTATGTTTTCTCTCCCTCTCAATACCCCTCAAACTCTATTGCACGGATCAAATTTGGACACCATTAGCAACATGTGAGATCTTGCTCGGAACTGTAGAATTCAGCTGCAATACCAATGAACCAAAAGGCACTGTCCCTTCTCATCTCAGCCTCAGCTCCCTCTGGAAGGGATGGAAGAATAGTACTTGAAACATGCTAACATTTGTAGGAACCACAGCAGGAAGGAAATGTGAGAGAGCAGGGGGAGGCGCCCCTGGCAGCCCGTGTTGCAAGATTTGTATTTCCACAAGCTACAGAGAAATGCACCGGATATGTAGCCAATTCTGCCTCTCGTTTGCATGAGAACTGGAAAGTCACCTGCAATGCAAACGCTTTCTCTGCTAATCCTGCTTTACCTCAATCACATGGGGGCGGATGGGCTTGCGTTCCTTTTTACTCCGGGCGATGCCCTTTATGAACCTTTCGATGTCTTTCGCTGCGTGTGGCATCTGCTGAGGGGTGGCGTTTACCGAACATCTAGGCAGAAATAAAATTGCATCTATCACATGCACAAACACACCGTCTGTGAGGAACAAACTGTGCTTTTACACCTTCTCAATTTTCTGAGTCGAGTTCTCTTTAGCCATCAAATATCATTGGCTTTAAAAAATGCTGGGTGGACTTTAATTCTGGTCTCTGAGTGCTCTGCGTGGCGAGGGCAGTATGTAGCCAGGCTTCCCTCCAACTCTGAAGCTGAAGAGGCTCAGCAGGGAGGTTTCGGTGGTCCTGGCATCAGCGCTGCAACTTCCCCAGCTACAAAGCTGGGAGATTATTTATTTACTGTATAGCCCACCTTTTTCGCTCCAAGGTGGTGTACATGGTTCTTCCTCAATCGCCATGCCCTGCCCTGCAAGGTAGGGTCAATCCTAGGGGCAGTGACTGGCCCAAGGTCACCCAGTGAGCTTCACTAGTCAAGCAGGGATTTGAACCCCGGGCGCCCAAGTCCCAGTCCAACACTTTAATTGCTACATCACAACACTCCCCTCATTGCCACGCCTTCCCAAGCTAGGTTGATGCACTTGCCGCTGCCTGAAATCAGGAGCTGTGTTCAAACTGCAGTAACCCAAGCAATCACACTCCCTTCTTCTCCCTGCTGGTAAGAGGGATGGAGACCAGAATTCTTGCTTTGAGCAGCCAAGAGTTGTGGACTCCCAAGGCCGCCATCTTGAGAAGTAGTATGTTATTTGCCAGCTGCATTTATACAGAGCCTTCCTGGCCAAGGAACTCAAGGCAGTTCAGTTTTAAAATACTATGAACAAGCAAATAGTGAAACACAGAATAACAGCGTTCTCTTGGGTCAATGGAGGGAGGGTGCTCAATAATTCTCCTTTGTTGCTGATGGTTGCATCGCAACAGATTTCATGTATTCCCCCCCTCCTGCAGACCAACGAGCAGTGTTTCCTTATTTAATGCTTTCGTTTGGCACTAGAGTTTCGGATGCTTGAATTCCTGGATAACGCTCAAGAAGGCAGACTAATCCTCTCTTAAATGCTCACTGCCTGATAACTGAATGCTCTGTAGAATACCTGTCTCTCACACAGTTGTGTACATGCAAGATTCACCATTAGGAGGTTAGGGGGGAAACCAGCAAAGGGCTTAGAAATCCACCCGGGGCTAGCTTAGGGTCACATCAGGTGAACATTAACAGAGCCTCACCGCATGTTGTCACTGTTTAAGAGGTATTTCTTGATGCGTGGCAATTTCCGCAGCACTGGCTTAATGTCGGACATTTCTGCAATCCTCTTCATCAATCTCACCTGAACGGAATTGGGGCAGCAGGGAGGAGAGAGGGAATGAATAGTAAAGCAAAAGCAAAGAAAGCCCACCAAGCAGACCTGAGACCTTAAAATATGTGACTATAAACAACTGGGGCGCCTTCTTCCCCACATATGGCTGCTGGGAATTGCTCCCTTGTTTCAATGTGCTTCTCTAGAAACCTCAGGCAAGAACTCTTGTCGGAACAGAAACAGCAGTGTGCAGAAGAGGCTACTTGAGAGACTGCTTCAATCTCTGTGGAGTTGCTGCTGTTATGCAGAGCACATAGCACTGGGCTGGCTAGACAAATCAGACACCTTCATCTAAGCCAGTTCTCCTCTTCCAGAATGATGGAAGCATTCTCCTTTCGGCTGTCCCCTTACCTGCTCCATGCCGTTAAACATTTCCTGCAGCTCTCCGGCTGGCGTCAGGGTTCTGCTGGCTCTAATCGAGGCGTACATGTGCCCAGAATCGGGAATCCCATTCGAGAGCTCTTGAGCCGTCATCTTGACTAGAACCTTGAAGTGTTCCTCATCTTCAAAGTGAGGGCTGCAGAAAGTGGAGAGAGGAAGCAGAAAGGCATGGGGGGGGGGCGGAATCACAGCAGAAAAGCACTGAAAGGGCTTAGACGCAGCCATCACTGAAGACCAACTTCTTCCAAGTATAATCACCAAGAGTTGGGCAAAAAACTTCCAGCTATAACCACCAGCCCTGGTCGTTCCGCTGGAAGGTCTAGAGTGCTTTTCAGAGATGCTCTCAGCAGCTGCTCAGTTTTTAGGGCAATTTCTTCTTCTGAGCATTCAAGTGGCCTGGCTACTGCGTTCTGCACCAGACGCGGCTTCTAGATTAGATATACAGTTGTACCTCGGGTTAAGAACTTAATTCGTTCTGGAGGTCCGTTCTTAACCTGAAACTGTTCTTAACCTGAGGTACCACTTTAGCTAATGGGGCTTCCAGCTGCTGCCGCGCAGCCGCCACACGATTTCTGTTCTCATCCTGAAGCAAAGTTCTTAACCCAAGGTACTACTTCTGGGTTAGTGGAATCTGTAACCTGAAGCGTCTGTAACCTGAGGTACCACTGTAAAGGCAGCCTATTTCTGGGCTCAGATAACCCAGCAAGCTAAGTTTGAATCAAAAGCTTCTCAAGTACTCCATCCAGCTACACCTGATGTGACTCCCACACAAGCAGAGCACTGCCGGATCAGGCCCACAGCCCATCTCGTCCAGCATCCTGTTTGCCAACCAACGCCCTGTGGGAGGTACACAAACAGGGACTGAGCATGACAGCACTCATTCCCCAGACACTGGTAATCAGGGGGGACACTGCCTCCAACAGGGGCGGCAGTTTGTTCACCCAAGTTTGTTCACATCACGCGGAACGATGGCTGCGCATTACATCTTTAAGTGCTTGTGGACTGGGCTCATAATTTGTGGGCAGAGTACATGCCTTGGATGTGAGAAACTCCAGTTTAAGTCTGTTAAAGGTGAGGATCTCAGGCATTCAGGGAAACTGCTTTTCAGCCTGAGACTCACAAGAAGGACTGCCAGGAGGAGACAGGAGACAACAGGCTGCCCCATGGACCAATGGTCTGCTTCAGTAGAATGAACCTTCTTATATTCATGGAGAATCATTGAGTTGGAAGGGACCACAAAGGTCCTCCAACCCCCTGCACTTTAGGAACCTTTTGCTCAATGTGGGGCTCAAATCCATGACCCTGAGATTAAGAGTCTTAGGCTCTACTAACAGAGCTATATTCTTTCTTTTTTAAAAGTAAGTTACCTTGTTATGAATTAAACAAACAAACAAACAAAAGCCATGCTTAATCCTGTGCACATTTAGCTATACACTTATTTCATTTTCAGGGTGATATGAAATGAATGGCCATGTTTTGTGGGTGTTATTCTATTTTCTAGTATCTCCAAGCTTTGTGACATATATCAAAAGCAAGCCATTTAGCTCTTTTAGCAGGAAAGCACACAACTGCAAACAATACACACACACACACACACACAGAGAGAGAGAGAGAGAGAGAGAGAGAGAGAGAGAGTACCTGTTGAATATTTCACTCCAGATGTGCATCATGGCCGGCAGATTTCGATCTAGGCACAGAGAAGAAAAGAGCACACCCTAAAGGAGACATTTAACAAGAAAACTCAGATCAGTAGACAAGCCAGTAAGAGATCCTCAAATAATTACTTAAGGAATAACAGCTGTGATTCCCAGACAGTTATTTACTGGGGATGGTGCCCTAGAAACATGAAGCAGTTCAGCAGCATTGCCAGTCATTAGTTAGGTTTGCATCTCATCTGCAGCAAGGGAGGCACTCACATCTCTAGCCAACACAGCCCCAACATGAAAGAGCGCCAGCGCCACGTGACACCCGACCTGGAGACTGACCTACCTGCTCATACACGTCCAAGTGGGAGTCGTCCACGGTGATATGAGGGCAGACGGAAAGGCCCCCCGTTTTCAGATCTATCTCTTGAGCCTGTTCTCTGTAACTGAGAGCGCCACAGCCCATTCTGCAAGAAGGAGAGAGCAAGTAGGGTGTGGACAGCAGGCCAAGGAAAAGGCTGCAGCATTTAATTATCTTCTCTCCTGGCATTTATTTTGCACATGTTGGAAGAAGGGTTTTGGAAGCCGAGCCCTAAGAGGAATGGCAGAAAGAGCTGGGAAAGAGTAGCCTGGGGGATGGAAGACCTGAAGATTTAGGCAAAAGCCCAATGGCAGCATTAGAGGAGGACATGCCAGGTGTCCTCTTAAAACCTGCTGGCCCAAAACAGCAGCAAACAGGAAAAGGGACTGCTGGAGCCTAGAAGTTCGCTGCAGCTTCTACGAGTAGCATAGCAGATTTGGGGGCAGCAACACTAAACTTTAGCAGCCAAGAAGAAATTATACCCAGCTCTGCGCAATCCCAGGGATGTAGCTCAGCAACCAAGTCTAGACAGCAACAGCTTTAGGGTTGTTATTTCTGTTACTTCATGTTGCATGTTGTTGGAAGTAATCTTGTTGCATTTTTAATATTGGAATGCAGTTTTTTGGTATGTTATTATATTTCTGCTATTAGGAAATGGTTTTGTTACGTTGTTTTGAAATTGTTACTGTGTTCTTGTTTTGCTATGTTATTATGAGACTGTGGTGTTTTGTTTTGAGGTGTTTCTTTGTTGCAAGTCACTTTGAGCATGCAATAAAATGAATGAATGAATGAATGAATGAATGAATGAAAGGTTCCAAGGTTCAATCCCTGGGCATCTCCAGGCAGAGCTGGGAGAGACCACCGCCAGTCTGTGTAAGGGAAGGATGGCAAAATCACTGCCCCCCCCAGATGTGGCTTGACTGCTGCTTCCATCATCCCTGGCAGACAGCTGCAGCTGATAGGGGCTACACCTGGAAGGCCGCAGGTAAGCCACTCCAAATGGCACAAGGCACCTTCCTTTAGAACTAGAGGATCACAGAACTGTGGCATTGAAAGGGACCCAAACGGTCATTTAGTCCAACCTCCTGCAATGCAGGAATTACAGCTGTGCTCTTCTCCCAAAAACTTCGTACCCCAAGTCACCAGCCCCAGTACTGGAGGGCCTGCCCCGCAATTGCTCGGAGAAATGTTTATTAACTTTCTTGGCCAAGGATATACATATTTTGTTCAAGCTCATTACACTATGAAGATAGACTGTAATACAGGGATGCAACAACAGCAGCAAGAGTATTGCTGGCTCAGAAATGGAAGCAAGAAGAAATACCAACGAAAGAAGAATGGCAGACAAAATTAATGGGCTATGCAGAATTGGATAAAATGACAGGAAGGATTCGAAACCTGCGTGACCAGAGATTTACATAAGATTGGAATATACGAATTATTTGAAGAGCAATTGTAATCAACAAATTACGCTAGTAGGACTACACGAAGTTTTGTAAGGAGAAATATATGAAATATTGCAAAGAAGGGAGATATTAGTTATGAGATTTAAATGTAATGGTGAAAATAAGAAATGTAAATTAAGTAAATAGATTTGAAAATTTTCAGATGTGATTGATGGAAGTCAAAAAAATTGTATAAGATGTAAAAGTATTTTCAATTATTGTTGAAAATGATACGTTGAAAAACTAATAAAAAAATTATAAAAAATAGACTGTAATACCATTAAACGAGCAATATCCACAACATGCACCCCAATAGTCTTCCCACAAAAAATAATAATTTGAATTTAGATCAACTCATCAACCCCAAAAGAGGGAAGAAATAGTGTTTATTAACCACCTTTGCTGGAATGAAGTTTATTGCAGAGATAGCCCATGGGGTGCGCTGCAGATGTTCACAGAATCTTAGAATTGTACAGTTGGAAAGGTCCACGAGGGTCATCTAGTTCAATCCCCTGCAATGCAGGAATCTTTTGCCCAACTTGGGCCAGAACTCACGACCCTGAGATTAAGAGTCTCATGCTCTACCAGCTGAGCTATTCCAACCAAGCTGTTGTAGGACTATGCATCACATCAGCCTGAGGGAGTATGGTCGGTGGTCAGGACCGATGAGGAGCTGGCAGTCCAACATCTGGAGGCACCACATGGGCTCTCTCTGGAATAAATCCCCAAAGCACAAATAGAAAGCTCCTCCTTACTTGGTGATGACGTTGCAAAAAAGCGGGACGTAAGGCCGGAGCTCCTCCGGAAGAGTGTTCAGACTGGAAACTGCTCTGAAATACACCATGCCGTTTGTGGGCTGAGCGCAGTACTGGACTGGGACATCCTCAGCTACAGACAAACGAGAAGAACTCATCAATATATGGTGACAGAATTGGAGACTGGAGGGAGCAGTGTTTCAGAAACAAGCCCGGCTTCCTTTGGAAATATAGAGCTCCGTACAATTCAAGCCCAAATCCTTCTCTTGCCTCGTATAAAAGCTTAAGACCCACAGACCCATTCCAAGCTGCCCCACCTCCCAGGTTCGATCCCTTACATCTCTAGGTAAGAGTTGGGAGAAACTCCTTTCTGAAACCCCAAAGAGCTGCTACCAGTCAGTGTTGAAAATACTGGACTAGATAGACTTGTGGTCTGACTCAGAAGGAGACAGTTTCCTCGGAAAACGTGGGAAATGGAATGGAGCACCCAGAAAAATAGACTGGCTGGCTGCAACCCTGGACAGGAGCACTCACTCCTTTAAGACAGCTGCTAAAACCTCCCTGTCCCACCCCAGTCTATCTGGATGCAAAAATCAGTTATGCATACATGACTTTAAATAGCAGTAATTTTATCTGTATGTTATTGATAATTATTTTACTGTCTAGAGACTTTGTGATTAGGCTATTTCTAAATTTTACTGTATCCAGCAAGCATTATGTTGCAGAGCCCTCTCATACTAAACCGAAACCTGCCTGCATTTCCACCTGGGAAGAAACCCAGAGTGGCGTCAACAGACTGAGAAAGAGCTGCTATTCCAACATAAGGCTACCTACGTTCACAGGCTCTACATTTTCTGTTTTGTAACAGAACATCAGCATTGAGTGACTCCGTCTTACCTGTAAGTGACGTCTCCAGCTCAGTAAACACAATCCTAGGCTCAATATCAGAGACCTTCAGAGCCGGGAGGCAAGATGTGTCTTGAGGCTTGCTTTGCAGATCAAGCAGTTCCAACCCTAGAAGGAAAAGTGGAACGTTGGTCAGCGGTTCTGACAAAAACTATCCAACAGGGATTCAGGTTCAGCGGCAACAGGAGGGATTTGACAACGTTCTCCTGGGAATTTAATGAATTTGCTTCCCATACAGCTCCTGGTGGTTTTCAAAGTTAAGTCCCCTGCTGCTAAATTTTGGAGAGGCAGTGGAATACAAAGGGATACAAATCTCCCCTCACTTATTTATTTCATTTAAAACTTTTATACTGCCCTTCATTGAGTGCCACAGGGTGGTTCACAATATAAAAACACAAAAATAAACGTCCGTTTTCAAAGTGCTCATTGACCTCAAATGGGAAACCACAACGAATGTGGTTTGAATTTCTGTTATCTTTTAATACAGAAATGGGGGAAAGGGGAACAAGAAGTGCAATAAGCTGCAGCTTATTCACATCCTCTGTCTGTCTATCCCTCCATCCACATAAATATAAGAGAGTCAAAGCAGGCAGAAAAACACCCCACCTTTTTCATATGTCAGCTTCTTCTCTTCTTCAGAAAGGGCCTCGAGTTTTTCTTTCAGCTTTGCCGCTTCCATCGAGGTTTGCTTCTCATAAAAAGCTCCATCTGGACTCATCGACAACGTCAGCCTATGGGGGTTACCCTTGTTGCCCAGGACCAAGGCGAAGAAAACAGAAAATGGAGTGCCCATCATTGCAAAGAACAGCCTGCTATTTTAAAACCGGGGGTCTCCCATGAGGTGTGTTCTTCAGCCTGGGGCACTTGGCTGACCACTGTCAAGAGACAGGGTGCTGGACGTGATGGACCTTTGCAAGTCCAGAGTTGTCGTCTCCTGCCCTGTAACTGGGTCCTTACCTTAAAGTACTGCTTCATCTTTTTCTGAAGAAACTGGGGGTCCTCCTTAAGGCACTGCCTGAAACGAGCCACTTTCTCGGCGATCTTTAGAAGGTCAACGGGGTCTCCTTCATGGTTCCAACAGGAGGCAATATACTTGAGGGATGAGAAGAGGCGAGGAATTAGAAGCCAGCCACGGAAGACAGGAGTTAAGTAAGTTGGAGTTCTTGTTATTAAATATACCAAGAAAAAAGCACACCAAGAACTCAGGCCAATGTAAGTTTCAATGGTGGGAGTGGTCCCTACTCACAAGTCAATAGTCAATAGTAACAAAAACTAATCCATTCAAAAGTATGCATTCTGTCAAGAATTACAAACTCAAATAAAGATTACAAATTCTAAGAGAGATTACAAACTCTAACACATAAAGATATGTATAACACAATAATTCGTTACAAAGATTTTCTCTTTTCCACTCAACAATAATGTTGATCCTTATAATTTATCAGCTTGCAGATGGAGACTCACTTTCATAGAGCAGAAGTCAAAAGTCAATTATGGATTAGAAGCCAGGACAGGGCCCTGTTTCGATGTAACGAATTATTATTACAAAAATGAAACTTTCCTCTGGTTGTAAATATTAAGATTATACCAGCAAGAACGAATCTTTCTGTAAGAAAAATGATTTAAATCAAATCTTACTGACTAGTGATTTAAATCGGTTTGATTTAAATCAAATCCACCCCGCGCATAACCAAAGCAATACCAATGCCAATGAGTGCAGCAGGGGAAATCTGACGAAAAGATGATTTAGTTTAAAAAGCAATGGCAAGATGGAACTCTTGACGTGATTATCCTGAATATGGAAGGTAAACTTTAAAAGCTAACTGGACTTGGAACTGAAGAAATGCTGTCATTTCTCCCCTGTGATCAACCCATTTCCTACCCTATTACACAGGAATATGACCAACGTATTAACAGGGTATTGTTAAGAAATGCTGTTAACTCGAAAGGAGACAAGCCATGGACCCATCACTGGGGAAACTGCACTTACTGAAGTCAAAGCAAGTCCAAAGCTAGTTGACTGATGCTTCATCTGGATTTCAATCTTGTGAAGCAGTGCTTCAATCCTTTCTTCCTCAAACCCATTCCTTGGGAGAAAACAAACAAGCGAGCGGACAGTTAATATTGCTCTAAAAGCACACACGGAAGGGAGACTTCCACTCCCAAGAAAACATTAAAAAACAGGGAAAAAGAAAGACTCACACACTCAATGACTCACATACTCTCCAGCCACTACAAAACAAAACAAAACCACCCCACACAGCTTTTACTTACTCAATAACTTCATCAACCGTCCTGGAAATAATTTGTTTCACAGTCTCAATGTTCTCTTCGGCGATCCCTTGAAGGCCAACGCTGAAATAAGCCTCTCTTGTGGAGCCATTAAACCTGCAGAACACAAGAAAACGAAGGAAAAAATGTCTTGGCTGCTCACAGCAGGGGTGGGGAGACATGTCGCAATTCAAGGGCCATATCCTTTCAATTGTAGCCTCCTTGGGGCCACAAGACAGTTATGGGTGGAGCCTGAGAAAGTGGGTGGGGCAAGAAAGGTGACCTTAACTTTGTAGAGAAGGCGACGTACTAGCTGTGCACTGCATAGGTTTGTGCAAAGAGAGAGACACACTTATTCTCCCCATCCAGGCAAGGAAGAGGCACCATCTCAGTGGAGGTCTGTGTCCCAGCCAGGCAAAAGCACCCAAAGAAGGGGAACAGCAGGACTACCAAGGGGTGTGGCTTGCAGAGTCCCAAGGACCACACAGAAAGGCTTGGAAGATCCACATTTTGTCCCAAGGGACTGAGATTGCCCACTTCTGGCTTTCGGCCTTCGCTCTTGGGCAGCTGAGTCTTGAAAGAGTTGTGCCCCAGGAAAGGAAGGGCAAGTGGGAAAGAAGTGGCACGCTGTATTAAATGTGGTCCAGTGGCAGAAGAACAGCAGAGCCCAGACAGGGGGCATAAAGGCAAACAGCAAGGGTAGAAACACAGGCGAACAGCCCATTCGCCAGAAGGAAGCTATAACACAGAGCTACGAAGAGTAGTTCTAAAATTTCAGGAAGCCAGAATGCTTTTAGTGCATTTAGCACTAGTTAGAAGTGGGAAGTCCAGACATTCCACAAACTGAGATCCAGTCAACCAGGAATCCTGAGAAGGCGTGGGTCTGATCCGAGTTCCCAGGAGACTTTATCCATGAAATTACAGTACAGGTAATTTGCAACTTACACACATTTAACTTGTGCGCATTCAGCTTTATGCACTTGGCAAAACTGTTTTAAAAAGTTAAAAAGGTGGGTGGGCATCTGGGAAAGACTTTGGCAACCCCATCCGCCACTGAACCCAAAGTTTTGACTATATGTGATTCTGGCTTTGCATGCTCTCCCTCCCAGAGGTAAAGGTAAAGGGACCCCTGACCATTAGGTCCAGTCGTGACCGACTCTGGGGTTGCGGTGCTCATCTCGCTTTACTGGCCGAGGGAGCCGGTGTACAGCTTCCGGGTCATGTGGCCAACATGACTAAGCCGCTTCTGGCAAACCAGAGCAGCGCACGGAAACACCGTTTACCTTCCCGCCAGAGCGGTACCTATTTATCTACTTGCACTTGCTTTCGAACTGCTAGGTTGGCAGGAGCAGGGACCGAGCAACAGGAGCTCACCCCATCATGGGGATCTGAACCGCTGACCGTCTGATCGGCAAGTCCTAGGCTCTGTGGTTTAACCCACAGCACCACCCGCGTCCCTTCTCCCTCCCAGAACATAACCCCAAATCGAGAATTGCCTGCAGTTGGTGTGTTTTCACTTACTTGTTGGTCTTGGCCTGAACTCTTTTCTCCCCCTCAAAGTCAAATCAGGGAACAGCAGTGTGAAATATTTCATTTGTGTCAGCCTAGTGTGACTGGCCCAAAGTCACTCTGTAAACTTTGTGGCATGTGAGGGGATTTTGAACCCGAGTCTTCTGGATCCTAGTCTGACACTCTGATCATAACATCACATTGCCTTGTTGCAACCTTACTTTATGCCACTTAGAAGTCACAGTGTTAAGCAGCATATAAAATGGATGGGTGGATGGGGGCAGGGGAGTGAAATAAAGAGCAAAGTGTGCTTTGCCCCTATTTTAAATGCCCAACCTGAGTAATTTAATTAAAAAACAACAAATTGAACTAAAGTTGTGGGGTGAAGTCCTACACTGCTGCACGCAGCTAACACACTTACCCAACATCTGGCGAAAAATCTGAACCCAGACCAGCCTCGATTAAAGCTTTATAAAAGGGGGAATTGGGGCCACCAACCAACAGCGAAGACAACAAGTTCAGCGTGAAGGATTCGAAATTATCTGTAATGCTAAAAAGAGAAAAAGTTTACAATAGTACCATGGGATTCAGCATATAAAGGACAACGACGGCAGTTAAGACCAAACCGAAACCTGAATCCAGGTGCAGAGTTACACAAGGCTAGTCAAGTTATTCTGGCAAACAATGCAGAAAATGGGAGAGAGTCTTCTGTGACATTTTTATAGGTTCCGGAAACATTCTTAGTAGCTGTGGATTATAGACAGGAACCTCTATAGATTAAGTGCCACTCTCCACATTTGTTGTCATAAATATACGAAATCAATAAAGAAAATGGCCAAATAATTTGTCCTTTTATGACTCCTGAAATCAGGTAGCTGAGGAGCCACTTCAATCTACCCCAGCAGAAGGCTGACTGACCTACCTGATCAGGCTGTGGTAAGTTTTATAACAAAGTAACACATGTGAATCACTTTCAACCTTCTAAAATGCTAATTTCTAAGGATTCTACTGGTAATTCCACGGTGTCCAGTGCTGAGTTAGCTGTGGATTCACTGAGCATTATGAGGGTGGGAAAGTGGCAATGGTGCCACAAGCCTATAGCTTTTGTTTTCTGGTTTTGCCCAAAGTTGTTTGCAAAAAAAGCCAAAATCACCAAAATCTATACTACTGGCACGGGCAATTTCTGCCCAGACACTACTTAAAGGGGCTGAATACCAGCTATGTCCAGAAAATTCCAGACATATGGCAACTCTGTTCTGCCATATTCTGCAAATGTGTAATCCCAACTCATCATATAACTGCAGGGATGTAACCTTCATGGCTTTTAATTGTCAGAGGACTGAAAACATGGCAAAAGACAGCAGCACCCCCTGGTGACAGCTCCACATCACTACTCAACCATGAAGCCTAGTGACTTTCTATCAGTCATATACTGCCTGCCACTGAGTCTTAACTACCTGATAGGATTGTTGTTGGGAGACAATGGACACTGCCCCAAGCTTTTGGGAGATGGGCAGACTGCTTTATAATGTAATCAAGATATGCAAGTTAGCCCTCTGAAAAAAACAATGACCACTGCACCCCTTTCTCAGCTAAGCCTTGCTGAAAAGGAAGTATGGGGGGCGGGGAGCCAGGATCCCAAGGGGCGAGGCTAAGCATCACCAAACTAGTCATTTTATGCTTTTGGTGGCTGGGGTCAATATGCACTAAGCACAACTGGAGAAGGCAGAGATGGTGGGAGCCCAATGCAATGCATTTCAGGGTTCCCTGTTCAGCAGGGAACGGCAAGCTGTTTGAAACTCATCCATTTCCCATTCCACGTACTCTGCTAGGAGGTAGCTGACGCTGACCATCGTCTGCTTCTTGGAGTCTGCAGCAAGCGAATCAGTCCCGCAGGTCACATGGTGTTCCCTCTGCAAAAGAGAAACCGATGATTTGAGAAGGCAGGGGAATGCAGCCCTCTCTCTCTGCCTCCAATATATGGAAGTGCCAGAGTTAAGCTCACTGGCAAGAGACGCCTGAGAGCGAGATGCTGTAGCTGAGCATGTGCAACCTTACACTGAATCAGACCATCGGCCCAGTATACCTTAAGAAGTGTCTCCACCCCCATCGTTCAGCCCGGACACTGAGGTCCAGCTCCAAGGGCCTTCTGGCGGTTCCCTCCCTGCGAGAAGAAAAGTTACAGGGAACCAGGCATAGGGCCTTCTCGGTAGTGGCACCCTCCCATCAGATGTCAAGGAGATAAACAACTATCTGACTTTTAGAAGACATCTGAAGGCAGCCCTGTATTGGGAAGTTTTTAACATTTGGTGCTTTATCGTGTTTTTAGTATTCTGTTGGGAGCTGCCCAGAGTGGCTGGGGAAACCCAGCCAGATGGGCGGGGTAATAAATTATTATTATCTAGTCCAGCATCCTGTTCTTACATTGGTCAACCAGGTGCCTGTGGGAAACCCAAGGAGCAGTACCTGAGCAGAGGAGCACCCTCCCATCCTGTGGTTTCCAGGTATCCAGAAGCATGACTGCCTCCAACTGTACAAGCAGAGAATCACCCAGCACAGTCGAGGCTCGACTGGCTGTGGACCCCCAAAGTCTCAGGCAAGGGTCTTTTTCCAGCCCTGCTTTCCCAAGATCTATTCACTGAAGATAGCAGTCTTTCAGAGCATTTGCACTGCATGCAGAAGGTCAGAGGTTCAGTCAACCAAACAGGCATCTTCAGGCTCTGGCCTGAAGCACTGAAGTGTTGCTGCCAAACAGCGTGGACAATTCTGAGCTACATGGACCAATGGTGTGACACAGTGTAAGGCAGAGCTGCCCATGAACCCGGCCTCTTCCACCCGAGGTAAAACAGGCAGCTAAAAAAAAAAATAGAGACAGGGCCTTCTCTGCAGTGGGGCCCATACTGTGCAACTCCCTCCCGCTATGGATACCTGCCTGGTGCTTAAAACCTTAATTAAATACTGTACAAGGCCCTTGATCTAGTTCAGAACCAAGGCTGCACAACCCTAGATATTATCTCTTTTTCTTGTGCATTGTTATTACGCTATTGTATTTGGATTTTTTATTTTTTTAAAAATTCCTATGCATTTGTGGGAAATATGGCATGTAAACAGACTGAACTGCGACTAAACATTTCCTAGAAATTTTTCCACATTCAAAATGTACCAGAAGAGCTACAGTGGGAGAAGATGAAAAAGCCAGGCAGATTTTCATCTTTCCTCAATCAGGAACTATTCACAAGATAACTAGAAGCCACACTTGACTTGACTGCGGCTGTTACAGTCATCCCTGCTAAACATTTGGGCTGGAAAGTGTTTTTTGGGAAACGACCAAGGACAAAATGGCCTCTGTGTGGGTTTCAAGAGTCACCTATGGAAATCCAGAGTAGAAATCTTGTGGTACTCACAGGTTTATCCCAGAGCTGTTGTATTGGGACAGCAGTGTTCGGCTCAATTTTCTGGAATTTACTCAGGGCATCCTCATGGATCTGTTGCAAGTGTTGTTCCAGTGGGAAGTTACCGTAAGTGAAGAACCTGGAATTTTATTTTTTATTATATACTACTATTAACAGGCAAAATAAGCTTGCATATTCAAAAGCCTGGATCCAAAAACTCCCATTTGCACATATAGATGCCACAAGATTTATGTTCCATGTTTTAGACCATGGTCAAGCCCAAAGGCCCATCTCTGACTCACAGAGGCTGGAGGACCATCTGCCACGTAAGATCCAGTTGAGATTCCTGCCTTGCAGGAGGTTGGACTAGATGTCCCTTCCAACTTTATAATTCTATGATGCTATTATTCTGCAGATCTTTCACTTTTGTTTATACTTTCCCAATGCTAATGATACACATCATTAATCCTAAAATGACAATTCATGGAGCAGTATACCTCAGCATCGCTCCTAAGGAAAAAGCAATTATTTCTACATTTAATCTTAGTCGAAAGTCTGCAAAGCTACTGAAAACCAGTGATTTTTGCATTCTTGGAAAAGTCTAGAAAGCCATAGAAAAAATGGGCTAGAAAGTGAAGAGAGCTCCCTCACTAGAGGCACAGAGATAGGAAGTTGGGGCATGTGGTTGGGCAGAAACATGTACCTTATTTTAAAAAATGGCTCATTGCTTTCTCCGGCCACAATGAAGCACTCGTAGAAAGTGATAAACTGAGTGTCTCATCGGAAGAAGGAAGCTTTGGCCTAGTCAGCCTTAGCCGGCATCCAACATGGCAGAACAACTTTGCGGAGCCCCACCTGGGGCAACCTTGGGCCCTTAAAATTCCCTGGGTCATTTGCACAGGAAATGAAACACACACACCACACACCCAGCTAGGATTGACTTATTTCCTGGCTCCCCCAACTGAGAGCTGAAGCTGCAATAGCTGTGTTGGGCACACCCGGGATTATTACAAAGCACCCCTTTCCCTTTCAGATGCACGCTTCTCACCTTGCATTACTAGGGTGGTAATGTGTTGCGTGGAATTGCTTCAGCTGTTCCCAGGAAAGATCAGGGATCTTCAGTGGGTCGCCGCCGGACACAACTGCGTAGGTGTGGTCAGGGAGAATCTTGTTCTGAAGGTGCTGGGAGAATACTCTCTCGTTGTCTGTCTTAAAAGAAATCATTTAGGTAGGAGTAAAAAAGCTTCAGCAAAACTCACCTGCAACAACCACTGCTACTTCAGGGAGCACATCAGGTAATAGCCACAGTTTTCCTGGAGAACCCAATAATCCCCAGAAAACAGGAAAACAGTGGAAGGAATCACAAAACTGTAGAGTTGAATGGGTTCCTGAGGGTCATCTAGTCCAACCCCGTTCTTAACCAAGACTCAGGATGGAGTTAAGAGTGCATGTGGCCCTCAGCAAGTTTCCCAGGAGGGACAGTGGCCCTCAGGCTGAAGAAGCTTCCCCATTTCAGCATTAAATTGTGGAAAAATATATAGATTGATAGGAAAGGACTGATTTATGCTGTGAACGCACTGAAACATTGTGATGAGTGAGTGTCGCTGGCTTATTATGGTTTGTTGTGAAGAAGCATCATACTGGTACATACTACCTGATCATTCCTGCGTTACTCCTCTGACATGAGAAAGAATTGATCTTACTTGAAGTGCTGATTTAGGAGTGGCTCCAGCATCCCATGATGTAAATGGCTGCCCCCTACAAGCATGGATGACCACCCAGACTTAAAACAATGGTTTGTTGATGGCTTACAAATCCTGGCTTGTTAGGTATTCAGGATCCCGTATTTGGGCCTCACAGGAAGCTGAGCTAAACTGTGGATTCTTGGTTTGTTTCCCCAGCTCATGTCAGGGAGAAGCAGTGCCAGAGTGATGGAGCTGTGTGCACTAATCTACTGCTTGTTTCACAATAAACCATGGTTAGCTAGAAACACTGGTTTACTACAAATACAGTCAATAGGTCAATTGGACATGATGATGATTTTATTATTTATACCCCGCCCATCTGGCTGGGTTTCCCCAGGCACTCTGGGCAGCTCACAGCACATTAAAAATTGTAAAATGTACTATATACATAAAATGTGCTGTATAGATATAAATATACAGGGCTCATCCAGACTTCTGCGTGTGCTGTGCCTAGAAAGCACATGTCCTGGTTGTTTTCCACTTGACCCATGCTTTCTACGTATGGGTCCAAGGAGATTTTCCCTTGCCCCGCTCCTTTCCAATGGAAAAACAGCTCTTTAGTGATATATCAGAACAAATGGCAATCGGGGAAAAACCCAAATTCCTGTTAGCTCTGATTGAGCACTAAAGAGCAGTTTTTTTCCAGGAGGGTGATGGAAGCAGCAGAACAAAGGGAGGAGTGGATAAGCAAATCCACTCCATGTATGCATGGTTAGGAGAGCTTAACTATGAATGTCCGCTGCTGGGAATCACAAGTAGAGAGTGTGCTCTTGCACTCAGGTCCAGTGTGTGGGCTTCCAAAGACATCAGGTTGGCCACTGACGGTACAAGATGCTGGACTTAGATGGGCGTTTGGCCTGATCTGGCAGGACTCTTATTGCGTTCTTAAATTAAAACAATTTTGAAAAAGGAACTTACAAATGCTCCCTTCATCTCATTGAAGACAACTCCTTTGAAGACTAGCGGTGTCTGAGGGTCTGCTGGATCCTCATGTTCTAATCTCCAGCCTTCCTGCCTGTGCAAATGAAGACACGCAACAGAGGGGTCAACACTCCTTCGGGCAGCACCACCATGTGTGTGTATATGTGCCCAAAACATGAAAGTCTTACCAGAAGTCGAGGTGTCTCAAACAAGGGAAAAACACCGCGTCCAGGTATACAGACAGAAGGTTCTGAAAATCTTTGGGATTTTGGGTGGAAAACGGGTAGAGTGTATAGTCGCTAGCTGTGGGAAAAGGTAACAAAATAAATATTAAGAATTTAATGAAGGTGTCCCAGGGACAATGGGATTCCATGGTTCTCCCTTTCCAGGAGGGAGGCCTGTCCTCTGAAGCCCCTTCCTAGCAAGGATTGCTGCTGCAACCCCCCTCCTCTGTTGCAATTCTGAGAAGGGTGTGTGTTCTAGGGCGAGGTTTTAGATCCACTGGATCCATGCTACCAGGATGGACAGGAGATGGTGGGGCTACTGCTAACCTTTCGCTCTAATAGTCTTGCTCATCTTGTTTATGAACAGAGCTCCTCTCAGATATTATAGTTAACAGATCAGGGTGGCAGGTGTTTTTTTTGTAACTCGCTCCCCAAGACCACGATTCCATGGCTATCTACACCCAAAAGTGCCTTACACAGAGTTGCAGCCATCCTCCATTTACCCCACTACCATCTGCAATGACTGGGAGGGGCTCTTCACGATCTCCAGAGACTCTTAACTGCAGATGCCAAGGGTTAAACCCAGAAGTTTCTGCTTGCAAATGATATATTTTGCTCCACCCTTGAACCAAACAGGGCGGGCACATTATCAAGGGCAGCAATTGTCCCCAGATCTGAGCCAGGCGTTAAGCGGACAGTTTTGCAGAAGCTTCCCAGCACTGCGCTCTTGTCTCCTTTTTTTCCAAGTCAGTTTTCTTTCCGTCAGTAAACAGACAAGAAAAATGTATTCATGGGGATCTTGGGGGCAGGGGCTACCTTGTTGACATCCCAAATGGGCTATGCATCACAATGGGGCTGCAGTTTGCATTTTTTCAAGGTCTCAACGCAACGTGCAGAACTCCAATTGCTCCTTAAAGAAAGCGCTGGGTCTCTCAGTACGTCCCATAAGGCTCCTTCCACATATCTGAACCAGTTCTACTGCAACTGACATGCAGTTGAGGCCTGCAATAAAATGTTGCTGCATTTCCTCCTGCCTAAAGGGAGTTTAATGTTCCAGGAACATTCCAAGCAAGGCACTTCATTCTTCTCCCTCCCTACCATGTTATTTTCCAACTGTAAATATATATTCAATATCTGCAGAGCATGCTCAGTCCTGATTGGTGGCTTTTTTACCCTCTTAGTTTTCTTTTCTTTATTTTTGCTCTTGTGCAATGATACACACCGCCCCAAGCATGCATTTACCTCCCCTCTTATTTCTCAGCAGCCTTGGTTTGGCTACAGTCCTGCCGGCACTCTCCACTCGAGTTTGGAATTGGAAGGAGTGACAGGCACCATAGATTTCATCATATGAGTAAGTTGCCGTTTGCACGGGAAAAATGCAAGAGGCTGCTTGTTCCCGTTTGCTCACCTGTAAAGGCATTCATGAACGTGGAGAGTGACCTGTTTAGCATTTTGAAGAAAGGATCTCGGACAGGATACTTCTGCGAACCACAAAGCACAGTGTGTTCGAGGATATGGGGGACGCCTGTACTGTCCATTGGAGTGGTACGGAATTGAACACTGTAAGGTAATCAGGAAAAGGTTGGAGAGGTTAAAATATGGAAGTAAAACATCACCATACATATAAAAATAATTTGTTATTCCTTTAATGCTGGACCCCAGATTTCCCCTCCTTTTCGTGGGAGCTGCATTCTCAGTGGCACCTTAAGAAGCAAGCAGTAGAACCCCACGAATTCTTATACTGACCTCTGACCTTCCAGGGACCTTTCACACAATTGATGGCAGATGCAGCCTTGTCTCCAAACATACTTGGAAGCCCTAAATGGCACTCCCGTAAAGTCACGATTCTATCCCCATCCCTAGCGATCCCAACACACCTACCTGAAGAGATTGTTGGAATCCTCTCTTGCCACATGCAAATACTTGGCTTCCGTCTGATCATGGCTCAGGTTGACAGTAGTTAAGAATAACTCGGGTACAGCTGTCACCTACGGTGGGCAAGCACGCACACACGCGCACACACACATTTATTTCGGTTAATACAAATGGCCACAATCATTTTTATTATCATTAAGCTATTTGACTCACACTAACAACGCTCTCAGAAGCTGAACAATGCACAAATAAATAAAGGCAAAGGTAAAACTTCAGGGCCTCTCCAGTGAGCACAAGCTATTCTACCAAGTTGCCTGGGCACAATTCTTACAGAATGCAGGCAGGCAGTTAAGTACCAAGCAAAAAAAGAAAAGGTAAAAGAGGGGTTAGACATTAAATAAGAGGCATATGAAATAACGCACGGTGTGTAGAATGTGGATACAGATAATTTATTCTCCCTCTCATAACATTAGAGCCTGGAGTCACAGAATCAAAAACATGTAGGGACCCTGAGGGTCATCTAGTCCAACCCCCTGCAATGCTGGAACCTTTCATCCAACGTAGTGCTCGAACCCAGAACCCCAAGATTAAGAGTCTCATGCTCTACTGAGGGATGGTGCTATCCCTCCTATACCCAATGCTAGTAATTCTCAAGAGCAGGCACACTGAAATCAATGGACTTAAGCAACCTCTCCATTGTTGTCCTACTCTGAGCAGCACCAGCATTGGTTATTGCCCAAAGCAGCCGTATGGTAGGAATTTCGGGACAGACAAGATGTGCTTCTGCCACACAGTGCACAACTTGAACTACGGAATTTGCTACCGCAAAATGCAGTCATGCCTCTGAACCCCTGTTGCTGGAGAACCTTGAGCAGGAGAATGCAACTGTTCTCATGCTATATTTGTGGGCTTACTACGGGCATCAGGCTGGCCACTGTGAGAACAGAAGGCTGGACTAGATGGGTCTTTTAGTCTGACCCAGCAGGGCTCTCCTTATGCTTTTAGCCGTTTATAAACTGACTGGTTGAGCCCCCAGAATCAGCTGCAAAATACAGCGTGTGTGTTCCTCCGCTGAGAAGCTGATGTGGAAAGGCCTTCCTGAGTTTTCAAGCTTTTTTTTTTACCGTCAGATCAGACAATACTTTCTTGGGAGACCCCAACTTTCTTGGGAGAAGAGAGCCAGAGAGCCCCGAGCGACCAGGAAAACCAGACAAGTACCTGGTTTACTGTGAATCCATGGATGCGATCTCCAGTTTTGTACTGCAGTGCCCTTTCATTGGCAGAAGTACTCTTCCATCTCCAGAGTCTCTGATTAAATGGCCTGAAACTATATACACAAAAAGAGAGAGGAAGAGGAGAAAGTAAACAATGAGTCTTCCTTTAAAAATAATAATTGGGGTGGGAAACCTTGGGCTCAGGAGCCAATGCATCAAGTTAAGCAAATGTGTGAGCATAGGCAGGTGGCACCCATTTATTCAGTTGTATAATTAATACAACTTAGACTAATTAGGGCACAGGAAAATGGAAGGGGGGAGTGCTAGGAGCCAAATCCTGCAATAAGTACCTATAACTCAGGAGCTAAATTCCAGGGATGTGAAATCTATAAGCTGGTGTTTAGGGCCACACTAGTAGGGTACCTTAGTAAACAAGACTTTTAAAACTCCCAATTTTGGAGGGGTAAAAGGGAACCTCCACTGTGCACACACTTCCACACAGCACAACTCTAGCTAGTGGGAGAGTCAACTTAGTTTTAAGAAGGTGAGGCCTAGCCTTCTTTAAAAACACCACTTGACAGGAATGGAGAGTGCTGATTCAGGACTTAAGAGTCAGAGTTGGAAGGGGCTTTTCTAGAGAACTTGGAGGTCCTCTACTCCAATGTAGGCTCTGCAGTGTGAAATGCAACCACAAAACCCCTGGCCCAACCTCTGCTCAAAGTATGTGCAGGAAGGGAGAGCCCATTATCTCCCAAGGCAGCTTCTTCCATTGTTGAACAGCCCCTTACTGGACATTTCTCCTATAAAGTTTAGCTGAAATCTGCTTCCCTCGCACCTTCAGCCCATTTGTTCTAATCCTGGACTTTGAGAGCACCAGCAAACAGGTGAGATACAAGCGCAAATCCTTAACTATATCAATCTTAGCTCAGCCCAAGTGTTATGAGGCAAGGCCTTCAAAAATCAAACTATACAGTCCAGGCTACAGAATAAAACCATTAAAAGAGTCCTGCTGGATCATACCAAATCTTAGGATAGCAAAACCTGTGGCCTTCCGGTTCTTGGGACTACAACTCGCACCATCCTTGACCAACTATTTCGCTGGCTGGAGCTGATGGTTCGCAAGTCCGATGCCTCCATCCAGGAAGACAACACAGGCCTTCCAGCACTGTGGATCCCCATCATTTGGTGTTTAGAGATAAACTAGCATGACGGCCAGAGTCAGAAAGTTGGGCTTCTCACCCCTAAATAAGACCACTGCTCCCAATACTTCACAAAACCCAACCGCCAAGAATTCCAGGGAGAAATGGGGGATGTTTCACCAGCGGCTTCCACCCCCCCCCCCCCAATTTCTCTTTTCTTTTATCAGTCCCAGGCCAGCAGAGGAGGTAGGTGTGGCAGCAGGGAGAGACAATTAAGACAAAACAGCCTCCTTCAGGAAAAAAAATGTCAGAAAGCAAGCTTTCATCAATCAGATTTTCCAAAAAGGTTAAAGGTAAAGGGACCCCTGACCATTAGGTCCAGTCGTGGCGTACAGCTTCCAGGTCATGTGGCCAGCATGACTAAGCCGCTTCTGGCAAACCAGCAGAGCAGCGCACGGAAACGCCGTTTTCCTTCCCGCCGGAGCAGTACCTATTTATGTACTTGCACTTTGACGTGCGTTCGAACTGCTAGGTGGGCAGGAGCAGGGACCGAGCAACGGGAGCCAAATACCTGAGCTACTAAAAACAACAAGTCTTGGGGTCAAAGACAACCATAAAAAAAAACCCTTTCCCCCAGATGCAGAAAGTGGAAGGCACTCTGCACATGTTTAGAGCCTCCCTTTACCTCTCACTCTCCAGCAAGAAACTCAAATAATAGAATACGGGGGTTCTGAGCGTCGGTTCCCCAGGGGTTCCTCCTAACACCCCCCACCCAGCCCCCAAGCAGCATGACCCATGGAAAAGGATGAGAGAAGCTACAGTCCAACCACTTCTAGGAAGGGCCCCACGGGATGAAACCCCGGCTCGGAATACGGGGCTTCATAAACGTGGGAAAAAGCTGAGGAGGAGAAGGGGAGCCTCTGAGCACGTGCAGAGTGTTTCTTCGCCCCGCCCGGAGAAGCCCCCACCCCACGAGTCGACCAGCGGCGGATGCTGCTCACCGGCCGGGACTCGTCCGCGCCAGCTGCCGCCCCGCGGCGCAGAACCGGCCCCACATGGCGCAGCGCGACCTCCCCGGCGGCAACCGCGGAAGAGAACGGAAGAGGCGGCTGCGCTGCCCCGGACGACCCGCGGAGCGCATGCGCGGGACCTTTTCGCGGAGGGGGCGCGGCGGGTACCAGAGGGCCGCTAGCTCCGCCCCTGGGGCGGGGCCTCTCGGGCGAGGGAGGGCTGCGGAGCTCCGCCCCTTTCCCTGGCGAGGCTGTTTCCCCGCCTGCTCCTCGCATCGCTCTTCTTCCCCGGGAAGCTTTGCGACGGGGCTGCTTGGCGCAGCCGGGCGATTCAGTCTTACCTGCGCTTGCTGGGAGCTGCTCTATCTGATCTCCCTTTAAAGGGGATTGGGAGTTGTAGTTTGTTCAGGGTGCTGGGAACTGTAGGGTTTTTTTTGGGGGGGGGAGTACAGCTCCCAGGATTCATTTGCGCTAGGTGGGTGCAGTGCCAAATTTACGTACAGTGGTACCTCAGGTTAAGTACTTAATTCGTTCCAGAGGTCTGTACTTAACGTGAAACTGTTCTTAACCTGAAGCACCACTTTAGCTAATGGGGCCTCCCGCTGCCACCGCGCCGCCGGTGCATGATTTCTGTTCTCATCCTAAAGCAAAGTTCTTAACCTGAAGCAATATTTCTGGGTTAGCGGAGTCTGTAACCTGAAGCGTATGTAACCCGAGGTATCACTGTAAAAGCTAAACAAGCTATGGGGGTCGCAGGTGGCGCTGTGGGTTAAACCACAGAGCCTAGGACTTGCCGATCAGAAGGTCGGCGGTTCGAACCCCTGCAACGGGGTGAGCTCCCGTTGCTCGGTCCCTGCTCCTGTCAACCTAGCAGTTCGAAAGCACGTCAAAGTGCAAGTAGATAAATAGGTACCGCAGGAAGGTAACCGGTGGGAAGGTAAACGGCTTTTCTGTGCGCTGCTCTGGTTTTCCAGAAGCGGCTTAGTCATGCTGGCCACATGACCCAGAAGCTGTACGCCGGCTCCCTCGGCCAATAAAGCGAGACGAGCGCCGCAACCCCAGAGTCGGTCACGACTGGACCTAATGGTCAGGGGTCCCTTTACCTTTAAACAAGCTATAGCTTAGGGCCCCACTCTCTCGCCCCCCCAAGGAAAAAAACCCTGGATGCACATTTTCAAAATATAAGATAAAAAACAAATAAAATAAAACCTTCATACAGCAACAGTGTTTTGTGTTGTGTCGGCTCCTATTTGTTATGTGCAAATGGCTCTGGATACCTATTAGGTCCATAAATCACCATATAGCATATATTCAACACAAAAAACAGCAACATTTTGTTGTTGACAAAGGACAGCTGGACATATAAAGGGCCCCATTACCTTCAGTAGCTTAGGGCCTCATCAAACCTAAATCCGATCCTGGTTTCTGGGTTCATAGGATTGCAGCCTTTTAGAATCATAGAATCTTAAGAGTTGGAAGGGACCCCAAGGGTCATCTAGTCCAACCCCCTGCAATGCATGGATCTCAACTAAAGCATCCTTGACAGATGGCCACCCAACCTCTGTTTAAAAACCTCCAAGAAAGGAAAGTCTTCTCCCATCTCTTGTGGCAGTCTTTTTTTTTTGTTATTATTAATTTATTTAACATAATTATTACAAAATATAAGCAAAATATTGCAAATACATACATACATATTTCAGATAAGTACACATATATAAAAAAAACAAAAGAGAAAAAATGAAGAAAAGAAAAAGAGAAAATAAAGATAAAAAGAAGAAGTCTATTCCACTGCTGAACAGCTCTTGCTGCCAGAAAGTTTTTCCGAATGTTTAGTCAGAATCACCTTTCTTGCAACATGAAGAATATATCTTTTTAACAGCGTTATAAAGGCCAGTGTAGATCCAGCCCAGGTGAGGTTCAGCAAAATGTATCCTGATTTGCAAAGAAGCCGAATCATCTGAGGCGATGCTCCGGTTGCCCAAGTTTATTTTAATTAGACTGCAAAGTGTGTCCTTTGACGCAACAAACGGAAAGCTTATTGCAAAATAAAATAAAAATATGATTGGTTGCCAACCACAGAACGGATTCCTCCGAACAACAAAGGCTGGCGTAACTGCAAAGCAGGAAGGCCTTGATGCTTCTGCTCTTAAGTGGGCAGCTGGTAGGTCGGCGTCGGTCAGCCTTCCTCTAAATCATCTCCCAAGTAGGAAATGTGCCCCCTGAAACCTCAAGACTGACAAAGAGCTTGTCAGCATAATAATAACTTGGAAAAAAAATAAGCCTAACCACAGTCAATGGATTGAAGCTCTGAATGAACACGTCCAGAATGCATGAATATTCTTGTTTCATCTTCACCGCGATACCCAAATGAAGGGAATGATATCACGTACTCCGGTGCAGAATGAGGTTCATTATGTTCTGCAACATGTCTTTCCTACCTTCCATTGAAGCAGAGGATTCTCTTTCATCTCTGCTCCTAATGAAGACCTGCTACCTCTCGCTGCTTAATTATTAAAGGCACAGACTACTGAGGAGATATTCTGTCAGATTCTTGGCTGGATTGGTAATGGGGAGGGGGGAATTCTAATTATTATTTCTGATCCATCTGGAAGTGAAGCTGGAGAAGTAGACGGGAAGGGGCAAGGGCTCAAGGATCTCTTCTCTCCATTATATATATATATATATATATATGCAAAAAACAAAGTGCTACTGCCTGACTGCGCAGCCCTATACACGGGGAAGTGATGTAGCTCTGTGGTAGAACATCTGTGTTGGAGGCAGAAAGGCCCAGGTTCAATCCTTGATGTCTCCAGGTAGGGATGGGAGAGATTCTCCTATGTCTACTTACAGGTAAGGCCACATCCGCACCATATATTTAAAGTGCACTCACTCCCACTTGGAGATTCGAGTCCTCTCTCTGGCACCTGGAGGGTGTCAGGCAAATCTGGACTTCTTAGTTGACCCCAAGCTCAGCATGAGTCAATACTGTGATGCTGCAGCAGCAGCAACAAAAAATCTAGTGCTATTCTAGGCTGCAGCAATAGAAGTCTAATGTCCAGATCAAGGGATGTAACAGTACCACTCTATTCTGCCTTGGTTGGACCACATCTGGAGTACCATGTCCAGTTCTGGGCACCAAAATTTAAGGAGGATATAGACAAGTTGGGACATGTGCAGAGAAGGACAACCAAAATGGTCAAGGGTCTGGAATCCCAGCCTTGTGAAGAAAGGATGAAGGAACTGAGTACAGTGGTACCTCAGGCTAAAGACGCTTCAGGTTACAGACGCTTCAGGTTACAGACTCTGCTAACCCAGAAACAGTACCTCAGGTTAAGAACTTTGCTTCAGGATGAGAACAGAAATCGCGCAGCAGCAGCGGGAGGCCCCATTAGCTAAAGTGGTACCTCAGGTTAAGAACAGTTTCAGGTTAAGAATGGACATCCAGAACGAATTAAGTTCTTAACCCGAGGTACCACTGTATGTTTAACTTGGAAAAGAGGAGACTGAGAGGAGATACAAGGTGTGACCGGAAAGTTCAGTGAAGGGTCACAGAAATCAGACTGCGAGAAATATGCAAACATACATGCCTTCAAAGTAGGCCCCCTCTGGGACTTCTGGGGTGGCGCCATCGGCAATGGCGGACTCCCTCTGAATTGGAGGGACTAGCTCCGCGCGAAACGGGTCTTCTCCGCTACGGCGAAGCGGGGACCCTTTTAAAAATCACAGGCGGATGAAGCCTGTGACCATGGGACTCGGCGGGCACCCTTAGCGCCCCCCCAACCCGCAAAGGAACCCACTAATGGGCTCCGAAGCGAAGAGGGGGAAGTGGCGCAGTGCTGTGAGTCAACTGCTATTTCCGTGGAGCAAAGCCGCACAGCTGTTGCCGGAGAGCGCTGCCTTTTTCCTGGGACAAATTGGCTTCTAAAATAAGCACCCGTGAGTACTTAAACTTTGAACAATTGGACTTTAAATAAGGACTTGCGAGCAGAAAGGAATTGGACTTAAAATTTTTACTTCAATTTGGTACTGAAACGGGAAGGTCTAAACAGGAAGTCAGCCTTCCGTTTCTTTGTAGACAGAATAAAGCAAAGACAACGTAAACTAGAGCTCAGAAAATCGCCTCTAAAGGATTGGCTTTCATCATTTAAAATTGTTGAACCCCCTTCGGCAGCAGGAGAAGAAGGGGGATCTTTTCTGGACTGTTTAAACCTGCAGAAGTGAGTTTAAAGTAAAGTAACTTTCCACCGTCCTGATCCTGGAGCGGGGTGTCAGGACTGACGTTTGAAGCTCATTGACCAGAAACAAGCGCTTTTGACAGATAGCTAAAAGAAGAGGAACATAGTGATTCCATTGTTTCCTTTCGCACCTTAAAGGAACAAATATTGACAAAATATCTGAAAAAAGGAAACTCTGTTGCTAGACTTGTCTTTAAAAGAAAGATTAAACAGAAGCTTTCCCCCTAGAGGGAGACTGTGAAACTGTAACCAACAGGGAGCTGGCACCTGTTACAGATTACAATCGTGGGAATAGACATCTGACCTTCAGGACAATGTATTCAGAAGCTCTGTTGTGTGCTTTCTATAAAACAAATGCCCTATTGGAACAGTTACATGAGAAGACAAATTTGATGGCTGATTCGATTAGAAATTTTGAACAGGCAGTGGGAAATTTTGAACAGGCAGTGGGAAAATATGTGGAGCCCACCCAGGAATTAAATCAGGAGTGTGTCTTGACAGAACAGGCCCTACAGGAATATGAGCTTTCGGATTTGACAAATGAACTTGGAAAAAGCCAGATTTGGAAAGAAAAAGTTTGGTTTGGTTTGGAAATGGGGGGTTGGATAGACCCTCCTATGAAATTGGACTTTTCAAGTCTGGCAATGGGCCGTGAGATGTTTGGGATTGTGGGGGCTCTTAATTTTGGAGGGATTCTGAAACATGTTTTTAAATACCACATGGAATTTAGTGTTGATTATGGAAAAGGGGCTGATCTGTCGAGAAGGGTCAAAAATATTGCTAAGTTGGAGTTCCCACGAGTGAAAGGAGCAGGAGACAAAGGAAAATACAGCTATAAATATGAAGAAGAGCTGCGGAAGGGACATGGAAGGGAC